AAGATAAAACCCAGACATCCCTAAGAAATAAACCCAGACATCCCTAAGAAAAAACCCAGACATCCCTAAGAAAAAACCCAGACATCCCTAAGAAAAAACCCAGACATCCCTAAGAAGAATAAACCCAGACATCCCTAAGAAAAAAAAACCCAGACATCCCTAAGATAAACCCAGACATCCCTAAGAAATTAAACCCAGACATCCCTAAGAAAAAACCCAGACATCCCTAAGAAAAAACCCAGACATCCCTAAGAAAAAACCCAGACATCCCTAAGAAAAAACCCAGACATCCCTAAGAAGTGGGTGGTGGCAAGCCAAGGCCCAGGGGAGCAAAGTTGGCGCCGAAACCAGGGTCAGAGATGGAGGATTGACCAAAGTTGGCGCCGGGTTCGGGGCCAAGTGGACGTAGATTTCGTGAAGTCGGCGCCGAAACCAAGGACGTAGAGTAGATTTACTAAAGTTGGCGCCAAAGTCGAGGAAGGTGGACGTAGAAGTGGTCGCAGTAGAGTGTAAGTACTGGAAGAGCAGTGTCGAGTAGTTGGGCCAAAAAGTAGGGCCAAAGAGTGCCGGTGGGCCAAAAAGAATCAAAATCGGGGCCAAGTGTGATTATTGCTGGGCGCAAGAGTTCACAGAATTGTGCGCCCGGGCGAAAATCTACGGCAGAAGTGAGAATAGTGCACTGGATCCAGGCGGGAGGGCCTGAAAAAAGAAGTGCCTCGCTGGCGCGAGCAAAAAGAATACAGCACCCCAATTTCACACATGGTCTCCCACTGTATTACTCACTGAGGCTCTTGGCAGCTTGACGCTCGTTGATCGGACGGGAAACAGTATTTTCTACCAAATTTGGCCGTATCCAATATAACAGAAGGGAGCGACGCGCTATATGGCACCGGGCGGGGGTGCAGTTAGCACTGAAGAGAAAGGATTCGGGTGGGGAGGGTAGCCCAGGGAAGGCGGGCATTGGCCGGGGAGAGGGCCGGGGACGGGAGGGATATATATCCAAGGAAGGGGATGGGGACGTGCCGCCGCCCCAAACCGTGCCTATCCCAGCCCCTACGGAGCGTAGCGTAGTAGCGCCGCCTGCGGCGGGCGCCAGCTTCGTGGTGGGGTCGTTGGGGTTGTGTGGGTGCTGTATTGGTGACTTTGGGTTCTGGATAGGCATCAGCGTGGCTACAGCGTTTGGAAAGGGCGGAGGTTGGGCTTGAAACAATGCTGCGGGCTCTAATGGAACGCCCCGTGCTTTTGCGTAGCTTCATTTCGTTGTAGAATGATAGATTATGCTATCTATGTTGGATGGTATGAATGACTCCATAGGCAGCATTTATGCAACCTGAAGAGCCCCAAACAACTTCAAGTAGCACCCATCAACACCAGTTGATGTCCATCTAAAGTAGAATGACATTCTCCCTGACGTTAGTGTGACATTTGACCGAAATAGCACCACATCCTTGCTCCCTCCACTATGTAGCCGTGATTGAATTAAAGCAACAGTTTAACGACTTGCCATTTGTACCCATGACATAGCGTTACTTACTAAAGCCTTTCATCTTGCCCTATCTCACCAGCTTCATCCATCTAGCTTGATATCTGATTGTTCATCACCCCTTTTCTTGACTCCTCAAATCCTTTTATCCGTAACCCTATCTCACTCCCCATCCTTTTGTTCTCCACACCTCAATGCCATATTTTCATATCTGTTCGGGCGAACTTTGATTATGGCAAGTAGTTGATACTTCTCTCAATTCTGGGGTGTAAGATTGCAGTAATTGCTGGTGGCTACGCGACTTTTTGGGGGTGACACGTGTCAGCAGAGAAGTGGCTCACTTATTTGATTAAATAACCAACACAAATTAGTTACACTTGATGTCGTAGTTACAAAATTAATTTGTTTTGTATCTTTGACGTTCTTCACAATTTGGTGAGATGTCAGAAATTTGGGTACTCATTTTGTATATGTGGTGCGACTTTGAGTAGACATCAGAAAGGTTACTTTTAAAAACTATGCTAAAAATCAGAAAGTGAATAAAAGGTGAAGTGAAGCTATCCAAACGCTTGGGATAAATGCTGTAAATTTCTCCTGAGAGTCTCATTGCTTAGCTTTGATACCTAAATGAGATGTGACGTTTGCGGGAAAAGTAAGATGTAAATCGCATCTTATCAATCGAAATTGTCCAAGGGATTTATAATTAGCTAATTTTTTTGCATTTTGACACCTTTGTAGATCGTCAGGATACCTAAATAGACGGTTCTCGCCATAGTTTGATGTTATTAACTGTGATTGAGCTATAACGTCAGTATCTCTCAACTTATCGTCTACAATTTGAACTTTGGACAAAAAACGGGTGTTCTTCAATTCTCTTTTAAAAAAATAAAGCAGGGTTATATCAATTTGATAATGCATAACACGCACCTGTTCCCTTACTGCTCCTAAAGATGAGAATATTGAATGATGGATTTCAATTTGAGTTCTCAATATTTTGCTCAAATGACTACATTTGTGAGATAAGAGGAGCGTCAGGGTTTCTAATGTGGAAGAATTAGTTTAATTTTTGCATCGAAGTAGGCTACTTTAATAGCAACAAGTGCAATGATGAATAGTGGGTACCCCAATTCTGACATTGTCAACGCACAGCAAATAGAGCATACCAAGGATATCCCACAACTGAGAGAGCAGTGATAATAATGACAAGAAAAAATCTAGTATCATTTTCATCTAAAGCTTATGACTTGTAATCATAAGCTACTAACTAATGGCAAACCTGAGACGCGTTTCCGTCAATAGCCGGGGGATGTCTGGGTTTTTGAGGGAACTCTTAGTTGCAAAGTACCTTCTACTACAACAATTGGTAATCCTCATGATAGCCGACAACGAGAGACGAAAGTGATTCTTCTTTTATAGACTGTAGTATTCGATGAACTTAACAAGTAACTCTCGTTAAAGCCTGGAAGATCGTCTTACATTGGAACCCCTCTATAGTTTCCTTTCCATCAGAACAGTAGTCTTTAACGTCTCAAGGCTAGTATCAAACGTTCTATGGATTGAAGGTAAACTTTTGCAGTACTATTGAGGCCTATATAGCCATATACCTAACTGACATCCAAAGTTTATGAACTTAGACGTCGATGTCATAATGTCATTGCATTCCCCTTTAACACCATGGGAACCGTATAAAAAATTATAATAAAAATATACATAGTGTTGAGTGTCTAGTAATCATATATAGCTACTTTAGGGCTCTTCATAGCTTTTCGTAGCTTCAAAATTGCACCGTTGAGCGGTTCGCATATGTAAGTGACATGAAAGTTTCTTTGGAAAGCACTGTCAACGACAAATTTTTAAGCTGTTCAGTCAATATGACAATGTGTAGCTTCCAAATAAGAACCACTTCGCAGCTCAGGCGATTAGCTCGTATTGCTGTTTGTATAAAAGTCTCTCACCATCAGAATTTCTGTATTACCAAGCTCACATCCTAAGTACGAAATAATAGAGAACTTGAGACAAGAAAAAAGACATTCATGCTTGAGACTTTATCGCTTGTTGCCTGGAAAAGATAAGTCATTGGTTCCTTTAGCCATCAAATTTCAGCTTATTCCATTGTCACGCTGGATTGGGAAATATCGTGAAACACTAAGTCATTGAGGACCCCAAAGTAGAAGTCTTATGAGACTCAAAAGCCTCAAACATACGGAAACTTTACGAGAGCGTTTGGAATATAAATAAGCGGTGATTTCCCTTTCTTTACACCATAAAACAACAGAAATCAACATGGCCGCTCAAACTACTCAGAACAAGAACAACGCTCCAAAGGACAACAACTTAAACAAGCACGCTGGTCGTGGTGCTGTGCCCTTCATGTGCACCATTGTCTAGATGAATAAAATCACATCTTTTTATCAGTTGTAGAAGTCATTAAACTCTGATAGCTCAGCAGCTATGAATGCCGTCAAAAAGAGTAGAAAGAACGAATGTCACTTTGGCCGCGGTTGGAAGGACCAAAATTCCAAAGGTATTAGTAGACTAGTTTCGGCTTTTTTAATCGTATCTGAATCTTTTCCATAGGTTTGAGGCTGCCTTTTGGCATTGACACCCGTGCACCGAAATCAAATGTCCTTACGGTCTACGGTAAAAGCAATTTGTACTCCCTCATAATCACTATATCTCACTATGAAACTTGTTGTTTAAGTTAATGCCTTCATAAGCTTCCCTTTCTTTATCCCCGAATTCCTTGTTCATCAGGTTGTATCCCATTTTCCATATCCGATCCCTCAAAATCGCCGACTTGAAACGTCAGATGCTCGTTTAACAACCTTGTATCATCCCGGTCAAGGTGCCTGCTGCTCAAACTCGATGAATCCAACTCCTCTTCCGATGTGTCTCTGTAATCGTCCCCAGGAACTAAATCGAACTCAATCGCTTCAGCCCGGCGCCGTCTATTGACTTTCAGTGAGTTATGCCTCCTCATAACAACAATTGCAATTATGAATATAAGAACCGCTATTGCTAGCAACACTTGTGCATCAATTTCCAATGCACTGTGCTTACCGCCATGGTTAGCCGTCTCCTGAGGGTTCTTAGACTTTTCAGATTCCAGACCTGTGGATATCGTTGAAGTTACAGCATCGGTTGAGGTAATTGACGCCCTATCGGTCGCTTTCGAAGTGGCGGAGGTGGTCAGAAGAACTGTCAGAATTGCTTCAGTAGCGGTGGTCTGTATCAGTACTTCCTTGCTTAAATCTCGACGCTCAGCAGCATAATCCTTGCTTATATCGTACTTTTCTGCTTGACCAGCATCAATTGCCTCACCGAAGAATCGAAGTTGCCAGTTTTTCAAAGTGACCTCATTCTCTCCACGTGAACTCGAAACCTCCAACTTCCAAACTCCCACACCACTCTCACCAAAGTGTGCCACAGACATGAACGTCCAATCCTGAAGGCCAGTTCCAACTCTATCAAATGGTCGACGTTCAGCTAGTTTGCTTACGACTCCTCCAGGCGAAATCAATCTTACTTGGATTTGACCACGAAAAGTGGACTCTATGTTGACTTTCACTGTGACATGTTCAACACGTTCGAAGTTGACGAGCTGCAAATCGTCCTCGGTGATATTTGCACTGCTAGATATCCAGTCACTAGCACCTGTTGTCGTGGACCAGACCGTCTCGTTGACCTCAACTAAATCGGCGTAGTACCAGGCTTGCGGCTTCACAACCTTCCACTCCTTTGCTATATTGACAAGCTTCTCTGTATCCATCTTTCCGTATCCGTACTTGTGGGAGTACTTGAGCCCCAAGGTGGTTTCCTGATACTCCCCGTCATCTTCATTCACAGTCACACCAGCTCTTGCAGCGATATGCTGAACATCTCTCCAGCTTAGCTCTGGATTAGCCTCCAACATCAATGCAATCACTCCAGCGGCCAATGGAGCAGCTGCTGATGTCCCTCCGTGGGTATGACAGCATTGTTCTTTTGAGTCAGTTGTATGAATGGATTCACCTGAGCCTGAACTATAGGTGACCACCATAACAGCAGAACATGACTCTGCGTAGTTTGGAATCAAGTTTTTGTGATCAATGGCGCCCACGGTGATGGAGTATATCGAATTGGTATACCCATCGAAATTGCACTGATCATAGTTGTCAGCACCATTACCACTAGCAAAGACGTAAACTGCCCCTTTATTTTGACGACCGTCCTGTACTCCCTTAATGAAGGCTTTTCGAACCAACAAGCTGGGTCCGGCAACGGTTTGACCGTTATCTGAGGGTCCCCATGAGTTTGAATAAATGTCATTCTCATCAAGACCATAAATCAATGCAGCTGCCTCCTCTTCCAGGGTTACGTGACCTGAAAGTATTCTGATCCCGCTAACTTTTGCCTCATACGCCACACCAATTCCACATTTATCGTTTTTGACAGCTGCAATTTCGCCAGCACAGCGTGTACCGTGGAAATCGTCAAAAAGACGTGGAGCGGGCAAGTCTGTGTTGTCATTAAAGTCCCATGAGCCTTTGGCGTTGAAGTTGGCTTTTAAATCTTCCAGATCGTAGTCTAGACCGTCATCCACCACTGCTACTGTAACGTTGTGACCACGGATACCACTATACCACACGTTCTTGACATTTATGTCGTTTCCAGGGTACCTGGTGTTTAACAAATGCCATTGGCGAAGAAAAAGTGGGTCGTTGATATCAAGCTTTTCGCTTAATTCTTTAAACACATCCAGAGAGTCGTCATTGCCTACCCCTAAAGGAGGAACACTTTTGAGATCCATGGGTACTGGTCTTCGACGCTCAAGTCTCGTAGGATATAGCATTTGGACCAGTTTCAAGCCTGGATGGTTTATCAAAGCATCGTGTGCATCCTCATACCCTGGAGCTCTTTTCATGAGTTTGTGGGTGTCAGAATTATGATTACCCAAAAAATGCAAGTGGTCGTGATCTTTATCAATGCTGAACACGAAGTGATCATCTATTCCCCTGACAGAATGTTCGAACTGGTATTCTGAATGTTCGTTAATGAATGTGTTTAGGTTATGAGCCAGATGGGAGTGATCAATTTCCACAACGAAGTATTGTCGGGAATTGTGGTCTTTAGGCGGAACGGCAAATGCCGCTGTAAGTGCCACATAAGTTTGAAATAAAAGAATTAGCCAAAACATCATAGCTCATCATATTTTGTTGATCATCGCTTAAGTGTGTTGAAGCCGCGTGAGTGGGGATAGAACAATGGGCTAAAAAATAAAGCCACGTAAAGATCTCGCTTAGCCTTCCTGATGCGGTAATATCACATCTTCTCGAGAAGACATTATCTGTGGTGAAGATCAATCGTGAGGTACTACTGGCGAAGGCTGTACTAGAGTGTAGTACACGTTTGTACTAGCTAGCATGTTTTGTAGCCCATCGTATACTTCATTCTTGTTTAAATCAGGACGAAATAGATCACTAGATGGCTAATAGGTCTTTACTTGGAAACCTCATCAAAAGGTCTTGGGTTTGATTAAAGTTTTGCAAACCGATATCAGAACGTTAATTAGCCAGAAGCTATAATGTAATATATCTTACATGATAAATCTAACCTAATAAGTCTCAAGTATGGCAGCTTATCCGAACTTGATTCTCTTAATTGATTACCAAGTATTCCTATTCCAACTCCCCTGATATTGTCTCGAATGTTTTTCCTAATGTCTCACCGATAAAACCACCAGAAGCAGTGTTTTTATGCTGATTTATTGAAACCAATATAATCAAAAGACGACTCTTCGCTTGGACATAATTACAGCTTAGGTGGTGTGCTTATATCTCCAATCACTGCAATTGAAGCACGTTTCTCTTCTTCCTTGCGTTAGGAAGTCAACAGACGCGTCTTCATTCAGAATAAGCTACAAGTATCGAAAAGGCAATGTATGGCACATTTTCTTACCCACGAATTTGAGGCTACCTCAGAATCAACGCGTCTTTTCAGACCTTGTGCCATCAATTGAAGGCAGCGTTACAAGGGTGACAATATGGAAAAACAATTACAAACAAAAATATCACTCAAAAATAAGCAATTGGAAAATTTCCCTCGACTGTATTTCATCTAGCCACTATTGCATATTTCATCGTTCCTGCCTTGTTGAAATGAGAGGCACCCATACCGATGTTGGAAGTTCGCGACTTTAATGATTGAGCTCCTCAAAAGTATACCACAGTTGCAATGATATCCAAGTAATGATCGAAGAAGAAACGTGATTTAACAATCTGTGTCGAACACACTTAACCTTTTTTTCATCACATTGCAAATCACTGTGTACTCATGCCCTAGCAATATTGAGCAGTCTAATCTATACACCCACACATTGACCCACCTCAATGCTTGACCAATCTCCTAAGCTCAGCAATGTCTAACCACCATAGCATTTCCCGAACTGTCTTTAAGTTCTCTTCTGCCAGAACTGCCTCCAATTTTGCACCCTCAGGCCGAATAGAATGTGCACCTTTGAAATTCTTAAGCAAACAGTTGAAAGCCGGGCTGTAATTTTCGTCATCTTCGCTGCTGACATGGATAATAAATGTGATTGCATTACTGCATTCGAAATGAGTGGAGATTGAGGTGTTAGAGGTCACTCCACAAAGCGAAGGAGCCTCTTGCGCCTCACTTAGTAACGCATTTTGGGTTTCGATGTTGTATATTTGATCAACCAACGCAACACGCTCTTCAGAGTCTCCTGTTAGAACGATAGGTTCACTGTTTGACAAGCTGCCTTCAAAGGAATGTCCCGAAATGTCGCTGTCATTCCCCAGAAAGTCACTTTCACTAGCGTACACCAAAGTCGGGTGTAGCAACACAACTATCAATCCAAAGAGAGATACTAACATGGATGGATAGGACTCTATCTTTGCAATTGATTAAGTGGTTTGTTCATAACCTTGTTTCTGCAGTCCAAATTGTCTTGCACAATGAAACCATACGGCTGAACCTTGGACTTCTGGTCTTATTTGGCGAATTGAATTATCGAAATATTCCTGTTGATTATTCTTAGTTCTTCAGTTAGATCAATGATCCTCGAATGGCTTTGCGACAGTTCTGATTCCAGCATCAAAAAAATCTGATGGTGACCGAGACACGGAGATGAATACAATCTTTTGCATTCAGATCATTTTTAATGGCATTTTCGATCATTATTCGAGGATTTCTCGATAGCATGATTATTGTTCGAGTCGGTATATCTGAAGTTTGCCAAGCCATGTATGCGACGTAATGCTGTGAGTCTATTTCAACAGAGAAAACCTAATATTCCTTGGCTTCCAAACGGAATCATTCCACCCATTGGCTACAACTGTTGGGAGAAAGAAAATTTTCAAATCTCGTTTGAAAGACATGCTCCTTGAAAATCGCTGCATCTGAAATCACATTGCCACGCCAAAACTGGAAAAGAGGTGAAACACAGAGCTATTGACCAGCTCAAAACGGCAGTCTTATGAGACTTGAAAGCCTCGAGTATACGAGAGCCTACTAGATATATATATGAGGTGAATTCTCTACATTTCCATCATCAAACAACAAAGAAACAAAATGGCCGCTCAGACTACTCAGAACAAGAACAACGCTCCAAAGGACAACAACTTGAACAAGCACGCTGGACGTGGTGCTGTGCCTTTCATGTGCACCATCGTTTAATTGAATAAATAGTTATCACTTACAACAATTTGTAGTGAATTGTAGCATTTGGTGATCGAAATCACCTTATGATTCAGAATCGAGGAGTTTTGGTTGGGCTGAAAGATTGAAGCAGCCCTACCGTAATTAAACAACATTTCAAAAGTTTTATTCATTTATCTTAAGTAACCCGACATTTTTAGTATCCTCAGTAAAATACGTTCGAAGCCTCACTTTGATTTTCGAACGCGCTCAAAAAGGTTAGTAGAATCAAAACATCCTACTCCAACAGATAAGACCGTTTACCAAATGCCCCTTGAATTCCAATAAATCAGTCCAAAGGGGGTCAGATTGACTTGCTGATTAATATGGTGCTGTTGCTTGTGACATAGCACTTTTCAACTCGATATGACACGCTCGTCATCCATATTTCATCACAACACATTTGTCTGGTACCACACGGAGTAAGCTGGTATTCTAAAGGGCTTATTGGATTACTTGGGATTAAAGCTTTTCAGTCTTCCTACTCGCAAACAGGTCGGATGTTGTGGTGTTAAATTATGGTGATTTGTTGAGATTCATAACAAATTTGAGCTGTTCAAACATGGCGAAGAATCAGCTATTTTGACATGAGTTTGAAGCTTAGAGTCCAAATATCCGAATGGAAGTGTTAAAAATAAGACTGTGATCCGCTGTGTTACATGCTGAGCTCAACCTGGTCCCAATGAGATTGTACCTCCAATCACGACAATGAGGTCTCTCATACGTGTACAAATGAACTTTGGAGCCTTATTACACCTTTAAGAAAGTACTTGAAGCAATTGGCAAGATCTCGAGGACTCATCTACGGGAAAACTACGTGCCCGGTGTGATAATCTCAGAATCGCTCATAACTCGCTCAGCAAGCAAGATATGACCATGAAAACAGCTTTATTTAACAGGCTTTGACCGTCTCATTGTTTAATGGGTCATAACGCCTCATTATAAAGCGTGTGAAACTGTCAAACTGAACCCTCCATGCGAATAGCCAGAGTTGCTCATTTCTTCACACAAAAGAGTCTTTAGAGGTCAAAGCTTGCCGAGGTTGAAATTTTAAGGGTACTCTATGATCTTGTTTTGCAATAATTGACACCGAGGAGGTTTTGCGCTGTCAAACTAGCAGCTATTTCTCATTCTCAGACTACCTCATTTCTAATTCAACAGGATTAAGATGCTGCTAATAGTACCCATTATAGGAAGCTTTTCATCTGCCCGTCACTGCCGTTAGAAATAGGTTGGGTTATTGCTTGCCTATGGTGAACGATTTTAATGTGTGGGGTAATGGAACGTACCTTCTCATACGCATCTGTTAGAGAGAGGAAAACTCACCAAAAAAATTCCATTGCATACCTGTTTCTGCAAAGATCGATCCTGGAAGACATGGGCTGCCCTCGATTTCATTATCTCAGTTCAGGGGCTGATGATATCTACCCAAGACCTCGATGTTAACTAATACGCATACAAAACAAGGTAATAAACACAGAGATAGCTGTTGAATCTCTTTATCTTTGAAGCGAACGAATAATGCCAAATTTCGATTAATAGTTGATGATCATACTTCAAAAATATTTCAAATTAGAAAGGAAGATTCTATTGCACAATGTATACTATCCTTACGTCACATCCAACTAGTTTTTCTTCAGAGCTCTCTCTCAGTAGCCCCGAGAACTCTGTAAATTATCTTCGCCAAGTAGATCAGTCATTTAGTGTAAGCCGACGAAACTGTTCAACGGAAGCACCAAGCTAAGGAATTTTTTTTTCAAGCACATATATGGCCAGAAAAAGAAGAATTGCTTTCTTTTTCTTTTTTTAAATGTTGTTATTGAGGTCATTATCAAATTTTTTTTAAGCTATCATTAGATTGTAGTTTGACCAAAAGTTCATAATATGAGGTGCACATTTTGTATGAGCTATGCGAATTTAGAAGGGCATCGGAAATACCAATTAACATTTTCACCTCAAAAATCAGCTTTTCAATATAATTTAACAGGACTCTCCCCTACTACTTTTCTTCGCAAAATCGGTAAAGCTGACCAATTTTTATCCAGTTATCGTTGACTTGTGGGGTAGAATTCAACTAAATGGATTTGAGGATCTTTTTCTCACAACTTACTACACTCAGGCTCTATAATTGGGAAGGTGAATTCCATTTCAGCTTGAGCCCTAGGGCCTGTAGCAGTTTCGGCTCTTTCATGCTAGTTTATCTCTTCGAATCACTTCTCAAGCATTCACCAATGCTTAAGTATTGGACTAAATGTGTGCGCGAGTCGAGAAGAGACTACGCGTTATTATAAAGAAACCAACCAGTAGTAACCAACTATGCCAACGTTATTACCATTAACTCGTATCAACATTAGAAAAGCGAGAGTCTACACGCGATGAAAGAAGATTAAATTAAAGGGGTATTGCAAGCCAAGAAAGCAGCACACGAATGAAAAATGGTCAGCAGAAGTGAAAAGTATCCTCAAAGTAAAGCGAAAGAATAGACACGAAGTCGAACTAGCAAAATCACAACACGACGAGAAGAGCAAGCGAAAGAAGCCACCGAAAGCCGAATCTCGCAAGAGGAGCTCCGCCTTCATAAGTCGAAACGTAAGCCGTCGTTTGAATAGTCTGAGTGGTATCAGTGACTGGCACACCTGCAACAGTTGAAGGGGCTGGCTTGTGGTCACCAGGCTTCTGGGTCACCAATGGCTCCTTGGTGGTGACAGTGGTGTAGATAATGATGGTACCTTCCACAACCTTTTCACAAACCACCTCGGTGATGGTCTTCTGATGGGTGACATATGTGGTAGTACGAGGAGGTAAAGTGGTGATGGTGGTTGGATGACCGTTTGGCTCGGTAGTCTCACAGATGATGACGGTCTTGGTAACAACCTTACCGTCGGTCTCAGTGCACTCTGTCACAGTTGTGGTTTTCTTTCCATCATCAGAGGTTTTGGTAGGCTTCCCAGTGTCGTCAGGACCTGAGGTAGCGGAGTCAGTGTCGGTAGCAGAGCCAGTATCGGTGGCAGAGCCAGTATCGGTGGCAGAGCCAGTATCGGTGGCAGAGTCAGTATCTGTGGCAGAGCCAGTATCGGTGGCAGAGCCAGTGTCGGTAGCAGAGCCAGTGTCGGTAGCAGAGCCAGTATCGGTGGCAGAGCCAGTATCGGTGGCAGAGCCAGTATCGGTGGCAGAGTCAGAGTCAGAGTCAGAGATGCTGTCTGTCTCAGAGGGTTCGTCTGTGCTTGAAGAGTTATCAGTCTCCAGAGCTGTGTCGGTTTCCGATGTCTCTGGCTCCGAGGTTGGCTCGGGTTCAGAGGGGTCTGGCTCAGAGGAGGAGTCTGGCTCGGAGGTAGGTTCCGGCTCAGAAGTGGTGTTAGGCTCGGATGTATCGTCTGTAGAAGAGGACTCAGGCTCAGAAGTCTCAGGTGGTACCACAGAGCTGGTGTCGGTTTCCTCAGGTGGTGCTGGGAAGTCCTCACACAAACATTGCTCTGGGACTTCACCAGGATAGTCTCCACTGTAGGAGATACTTGTGCCGCCACGTCCAATACCGTTGGTAGAGAAATCGGAATCGGAGTAGCCCTCACCAATACGGAAGTCAATACTGAAGACACCAAGGAAGAACGAAAGTGACAAGACGCCGTCGTTGTACAGATAGTCTGTGAAGCCGGTGTTAACTCTGATTTCGTTACCACCACCAAAACCAAGAACATTGTACGTCTTTGCACCCAAAAGACTAGGTTCCAAACCAAGGACAGACAAGGCCGACGAGGGTGAAGAAAGATAGATTGTCTGATCGTCAGAAACAGACCAAGGAGTGATCTCAAGCTGAAGGTGGCCGTCATCCTTCACATTCACGCAACCAGAACCAGTGATGGTAGTTGTCTGAACCCAGTTGGTACGTTCAAGACAGATGGTACCATCGTTTTCGATGGTGCCAAGTACTTGAGAAATGGTTATCGGGGAAGGAGCCCCGTTCTCTTGCTTAAGATAGATCCTACCAGAGTTTGACCAATCCAAAGCAGAACCGAGAATAATTGGTGGCACCAAGGAGAAGGCACTGATACCAATCCACATATTTCCCGTATTGGAAAACGTTCCAATCGAGTCCAAGTTGTAGTTACTGATAACACTGGCTTGCAATGTATCGAAGACAAGGTCACCGGAGTTAAGGATGGTACCAGAAGCGATAGTGACAGAAGCAGCCAAACCATTAGTGGAAGTGACAAACCAGCTTCCCTTGTTGTCCAAATTGCCAGCAAGAGCAGTAAGGAGGTTGTTTTTGACAGTGTAACTCACTCCCTCATTGACCGTGAGGCTTCCAATGTCCAAATTGACAGGGGAGTCAACAACTGTATCTTGTTCAATAACCAATGCTAGTACCGAAGAAATGTACCACACGGCGATAAGCAAGGCCTGGAATTTAAAGATCCCCATTTTGTGTTGCTTGTGTTATGGAGAACGAAACATAAGGAAGGAAAAGAGAAGGGATTTATATACTTTTGCAAGTGGGCGCAATTCTTTGTTCATGCCATTTCAAGACTAAAACCCCACTTGGCCTAGAAGGAATAAACTTGTTGAAAGAAGAAGTAGCCCCGGATTCTACGTGGTACGATGGCTCGATTGTCTGGTTCTCTGCTTTGTCGTTTTATTGTTGTCCTGTGAAAAGCAACAGAAGCACTTCTCCGAGAGATTCTAGCCCTTCCCTTGGTGATTCTGTAGATATATCTCACATTTCTGGTGGCGTATTCCAGATAAATGCTGTTTATCATGCGAAAAGGTAGCAAATAAAAAACACTGGTCCAGGAGCTTGCATTGATTGAAACTCAGGAGCTGCTCTAAGACAGTCCTAAAAGTTCAAACCCTGTTACTAGACTTGAAGAAGTGTTGACAGGGAGCGGATGGGCTTGTTTGAATTCTTGGCAGGAGTTAGACATCCCAAAGAGAGACAGGCAGTCGAAGATGGAATCTTTTTGGTCACGTATTTTACTTCTTTTCAAAGAACTGACAAATCCCGTTTCGGCCATGGACTCGAAGCTTTCAGAAGGTCGGGGCTTAGTTCATGCATCTCCAGCGAAAAGAGCGTCTCTAGATAATGTCAGTGCCGTATCTCAATGCATTGTTGATTGTCAGGGTCTCGTGCAAGGAACGTTTTTTGTGATGAAGCCACGAAAACTGTCCACTATTTACAAAATATTTCACTGCCTGACGAGGTGTGCAACCCATATGCAAGGGTTGGGTAGTTTCTGTGAAATAACGGTTTTTGTGCCGAGGGTCAATCTACTAACTTTAAAAATTTAAATTGAGCTTAAGCGAGAGTCTCGAATCCAGTTTACGATACACGTGCCTGCACTTTCCGGTAAGTTTTGCGTCCAGAGAAGATCTCATTTACTCGCCTGTCATTGTGACAGCCTCGTAAACCGATCCCATTGTCTTCCAGGCAGGTTTGCAGTGCTGCTTTCCTCTTTCAAATGCACAATATATTGAACGCCGATCACAAAACTGTAGTGTTCGTTGCGTGAAACAAAGGGTTTTACAATTGTCGAGGCATCGTTACACAAAGCCCATTTATGTTGCTCGTCGTAAAGTGGAACACCCCATACTGATGTATCTCCTTGAGCAAAAACCGTCCACACCAACGTATCTACACGCATAGAAGAACTGGCTGCAGCTTGAAAAGCCTCTTAATTTAGGGCGTGCATCTGCTCCAAACTTTTTTCGTTTTTAATTTTGCGTTATCAGGGACCTGATGAAGGGTTTACTCCGCAAACAGATGTCGCGGGGTAAGGACTCGAGTCTTAAAAATAATCGTGAACCAACAACACCCCCGTTCTGCAGTTGTCCCAATTGAGGAACGAGACCGTCAATTTGAGAACAAACGGACTGACATCGCCAAGCCCTTTGTCGAGGCACTGGTCAAGGGTTGTTTAGGCAGAATATGACTGTGGATTCGACTTTGTGAGACTAATATGGTAATGTAATCAAGAGGATAGAGAATGGCTGTATGTGAACGCTTCATGTCACTTGAAAAAAGGATGTCGCAGAATCTGTCTATCAAGCTTTCGCTGACATTTTTTTAGCTCAGCATATGGGGTTTCTCGACATTGCAGGGAGGCTTTGCAGCCGTACATACGCTGCATTCGCGTTGCGAGGTAGATTCCTGTGTTTCCATGATGGTGATTTCTACCTACTGCTACAACACGAGAGGTGATTTGATGGTAATTTTTTTTTGAATAATAGACAATTACTTTCCCAGGGAAGTAAGCTATGAAGAGTGGCAGACCACTTCAAAATGCTCCAAATTCAAATTAAAATATATTTCCTTTACCTCTACCCCCCTTGGGAACAATACAAGCTGCTTCGTAAATACACGAGTTCGAAGCCTCCTCGATACCAATTGATCAAAATGAAGCTAAAGCATTCCGCTAGTCAGGGTACAGTTTCTTTGTAGAGCTCTGATCTGTACACTTACCGTGAGGATATGAATTATGAGGAAGATCCTAAACATTTGGATTCTTCTAAATACCATCGTATCTCCGCATATCTAACAAAACGGATCATTTTAAAGATGCTTCCAGTTTCTGCCTAGCAAACGATTAAAAACATCACAGTCCAAGTAGATTCTATTGCAAAAGAAAAAGAAGTACAACCATGAGTGTATCCCGCTCACCTAAAACTTTGCAGTCACCTTCAACCGCTTCACAGAGCCATCGAGCCCAACCTTGGCCAAATACTGTGGTCCAATGTCTCCACTTTGGAAAAAAATTATCCCAGAAAATGTCAAGCGCAAGAGCTAGCTTCACCCTGAAGCAAGACCCCACAAAGGAATACGACCAACACAACAGTGGTCGGCACCCAAGGCTTTGAGAATTTCACTTCCTTTTCTGATACCTCCATCGATGTGAACAGGATTTCAACCCTTCCAGCTGCCACAATATCAGGCAAGGCATCCAAGGTAGACAATGTTTCATCCATCTGTGTCCCTCCATGGTTTGAAGCAATGATACCATCAGCACCAGCCTCGACAGCGAGGATAGCGTTTTCTGGAGCAAGAATGCCTTTGAGCCAAATAGGTAATGATGTCTTGGATTCGAAGTACTTCTTCTTCTCCCAAGTAAGGGTAGTGTCAAAAGAGGATCTATCGGTGCCATCTTCCATTTCATTTCTGTTGATCCATGGGTAGTTGGAAAATCCAAGATGGCCAGGAAGATGGAAACGGTTTTTCAACTCATTGAGTATTCTGCCCAACCAGGTGGTGTCCACAGTGATAACTTGCTTTATAGCCACTCCTCTCTGCGTTTCTGATGATTGCCAAGTTTGCCTCTTCATCTCTCATCAAGTTCAATTGCTGAGCATAAGCATTTTGGCTGCCATCTCCCGCTTCGATAACCTCACGAATAGGAGTGGTCGAGAAACCGGAAAGAATTATGTTCACGCCCTTTTTTTTGCAGCACGGGATGTTCCAGCTTCACCATCATCATGGGCTAACTTGTGGGCGAGAAACCAAGTAGAAATGCCACATTTGCACCTCAGTGTCCACGGTGCTGTTGTAAATCATCACACGAGGACAAATTTTGTAATTATCAAAGAAATTGATGTTATCATGGTAGGTTTCCTTCCATGGCGTATCCATTGAAGAAATCCCTGGCCATGGGAAGAAGCTTTTCAGAGCCGTCAAGTCTGTAATACAGACGACATTTGGATTTTAGGTTTTAGCGCTGTTCATTGTGATGGAGTAGATGCCATTTGATTTGAAAGGTCTCGAAATTATAGAGATCTACGCCTGATTTGGATCCGTGTCTCCCGCATCCAGTGAAGAAAGCCATTTTGAACCTTGATCATAGCATTGCTAGCGGGATTGACGGTTCATGTTACCACAAAGCAGCTCAAGTTTATCCGAAAACCAGACATGAAGAAATATCCGCAAACAACCGCTCAGATAAACTTTAAAGATAGGCGCTGAGAAAATTCGATGTGAAATGTACTCTCATGGGGAGGGACAATCGTTTCTCTGGTTCAAAGAGAAAAAAAAAAAAAGCCATACTTCTTTGTCTTGTTTTTACTAATCAATCACGGTTCCCAACACAGTGGCTGCAATTTGGTGGAGTAGTACTTCTTGATGCCGTTGAAACCTCTTATAGCTCTACATGCATGTACCGTTGCCGCATGGAAGGCTCAATTGCTTCTCGGTACCACTGCGGCCAAATTCGCCGAATAAAGATCAATTGACACTAACCCCGTGAAATAAGCGATAGCATTTTCTGAACATTTCGTGGAGAGAACTTGTTCATTGAATCAAACGGCCGTGCAAACGTACCATTTTGAAAACCACAAAGCCAACAACGCAAAAAGTAACTCCAAAGGGTTTCGCTCTACGCGTCTCTCGACAATTGCATTTTTTTGGTATTTAGGAGCCTTGGTGACCATACCTTTAGGTTCTGGATTACCCGAAGTTCCTGCACACAAATAGACGGACATCCGTTTGATGCGGCCGGTACATCGGATAATGTTGGATTGGTAGCTCAATGGCATGAAAGCAGCCAGGAGGGAAATATGGTGTAAGCCAGGTCGTGACTGATGGACCAAAATGGCTGAAGTATCTGGGTTCCAAAAGATCTATACTGCATACGAACTGCATACAGGCCTCGGGTAATTCGGCATTAGACCTGTCGGTTCAAGCAGGTCTACCTTTCGGTTATTGAAACTACGGCAAATGCAAAAACTATGGAACAGACGAAAACATATAAAATGGGGTATTTCCACCCTTGATTCACAGCTATAAGCATAATGTCCGACACTATCTCCCTTGGAAGATACCTTTTTGAAAGACTCCATCAAGAGCCAATCGGTTTGCAGTCCATCTTTGGAGTTCCTGGTGATTTCAACTTGACGCTTCTTGATAAAATCAGCGAGGTGGAAAACCTTAAGTGGCGTGGATGTTCCAATGAATTGAACGCCGCTTATGCCACCGATGGCTACTCCAGAGTTAGAGGTAACGCCAGTGCCAATGGTCTTGGATTTGGAGCTCTTGTTACTACTTATGGTGTTGGTGAACTCAGTGCCATCAACGGTGTCGCTGGTTCTTATGCTGAGCATGTTGGTTTGCTTCACATTGTCGGATATCCTTCGTTAGTGGCCCAGAAGAAGCAGTTATTGTTGCACCACACCTTGGGTGAGGGCACCTACGATGCTTTCAACAAGATGGCTGATAACATCTCACAGGCTGACGGAATTCTTGATCACCCGGTTCTGGCGCCCGATGTCATTGACAGAGTCATTAGAGAAGCTTACATTCACCAGAGGCCAGGCTACTTGGGCTTTCCCTCCGATATGGTCAATGTTCAGGTTCCAAAACTGCGTTTGGAAAAACCTCTTGACTTGTCTCCCCTCAAGAACGACCCCAAGGTACAAGCGAAGGTTTTGGAGAAAATCTTGGGAATGATCAAGAACTCTCATAACCCCGTCATCATCGTTGACGTGTGCTGTGGAAGATACAATGTCACCAAGGAGGCAGCTGCTTTGATTGAGGCTACTCAGTTCAAGTACGCCACTGCTCCTATGGCCAAAGGCACCAAACACATTGACGAGAATGGGAAGCTTTTCACGGGCATTTACGTGGGTTCTTTGTCGTACGAAGCCACGAAGAAGGCTGTGGAGGAGTCCGACCTCGTTATTTCTTTAGGATTCTTGCCTAGTGACTTCAACACCGGTGCCTTCTCCTACTGCTTGAGCGAAAATTTCATCGAGCTCCACTCCGACCACACCATCATTGGCGACTCCTTCTATAATCACCTTGCCATGAAGGAGCTTCTCACGGCTCTTGTCCAACTGCCTGAATTGAAGGATGCTCTTGCTCACCATGACACCAACGATCATTTCAAAAACGAATATACCATTGAGCCAATGGACAAAAGTGGCAGGATCACACAAAAGTGGTTGTGGAACCGTTTGTCTGTATTCTTGAAGCCCGAAGACATCGTCATCACCGAAAGCGGAACAGCATCTTTTGGTATCATCAGTACCAGATTTCCCAAAGACGTGTTCGGTATTTCGCAGATTCTTTGGGGATCCATTGGCTACTCTGTTGGTGCAACTCTTGGTGCCGCTGCCGCTGCAAAGGAGACCAATCCTAACAGAAGAGTTATCCTTTTCGTCGGCGACGGATCCTTGCAAATGAGTGTACAAGAGATTTCCACGATGGTGAGAAACGACTTGCATCCATATCTCTTCATCTTGAACAACGAGGGCTACACTGTTGAGAAGTTGATCCACGGTCCTGAAGAAGATTACAACCAGATCCAATTGTGGGACCACCAATTGCTTTTGCCTGCCTTTGGCGCCAAGCAGTACGAGTCCTTGAAGGTTGGGGAGGCTGCCGAACTCAAAAACCTCTTCAACGATGACAAATTCAACAAAAACGACAAAATAAGATTGATCGAGCTTCTCTTGGACAGCAAGGATGCTCCACAGAACCTAGTGGAGCAAGCCAAGCTCGCAAGCAAGGTCAATTCTGCCTAAACTACATAGCATTTCACATAATAGATTTATCGAATCAGAGCGCTCAGAGCTTGTAGTTGAAGTTGGTAGAGTTACTATTGCAGATTGTGTGCTACCGTCAGTGTTTAAGGAGTGGTGAAGGCGTATCTGCAAAATGGGCAAAGTCGGCATCAAGGAGTAGGGTTTCATTGACAGGGGAAAAGTTGAGCTTATTTCTATTCTTCTCGATGTTCACTTCATAAAATGGGAGAGGAGATCATTTTCTGTACATTTCATTCAGTGGTGTAGTCTGGTGTGGAACAATGTTCTGTGCATTATAGAGATTCGGCTAAATATCGGCTTATGATTGGACCGAGGGCTTTGAAAACTGGCCACTACAAAAGCCAGCCTTCAAGATACGAAACAAGTGCATTTCCTACCTCTCTACAAAACCAACCATATACTTTGATAAACTTTTCCAAAATTCAAAACAAAAACCTTTTTCACCGAGTCCTCCTTATCACAGGTGCGATAAGAATGTGGCTCGACGCAGGTGGAAGAGCCGCACGGCACGTCAAGTACATAAGGCCTGCGGACCCCCAGTTTTGATACTTTTCAGTTTTTCAACAATGGATGTTTTTCCTGGAGACTGGGAAAGCTGGACCTTCTTGGTACTTGCGACATTCCTGCTCATTATTTCCCTACCCCCAGATAGGCCCAGGGCAGTTATAGCAGCATTGGGAGTGGCCAGAAGCATAAAGAAAAGCAAATCTCATATGTTGACTGTGTATTGCTTTCTTCCCTTTATGTTTACCCATTACTGGCAGTTGCGTCTTATTTTTTCGGTCTTTTGGGCTTCAGATGCCGTGCTTTCTGGTTTGACCAAGGGTGCGGTTGTTCTGGTGTTCCTAGCAGTCGTCGAATTCCCCTTTGAAGAAGTGAAAGCGTTCCTTCAAAAAGCCACGCTATCTCATATGACGCCGGCATTTGTCAATTGCTACAAAATGGGCTCCATTAGGCTCGAGGATTTAAAAGACGACTTCACTTTTAGTTCAGAAAAAGCCGCCAAAACGTTGGAGAAGAATTTCCACCAAAATCTCATCGAGGCGCTATTTCTCTCCTTTCACAGGACTTTGTTGTCCACATATGCGCTTCAGGGGCTTCGCTATGCTTTGGAGTTCTTGAAACCATACATCTTGCGGAAAATCATTCAGACCGTTGATAGTGGCCTGGATCCTAAGCGTGGAGTCCTTCTTTCCTTGGCTCTTTACATTGATTTCCTTCTAATAACGTACTTGGGAGCGCAAGAAGCATTTAAAGGATCACAGCTCGGCTACGAGATCTCCGCTGCCCTAGAATCCCTCATATTCAAAAAAGCTCAAAGATTGTCCCGCAAATCCAGAGAGCAGTATCCTTCCGGAAAGATCAATACCCTCATTACGACGGATATTGGCAAAATTACATTGATAGTGAAACGATCAGGAGAATTTGTGACTGCGCCAGCGCAGCTTATTTTCTGCATGTTTTCGTTGTGGAAGCTTGTTGGAAACGCAATGCTTGGCGGGTTGGTTATAATCGGCGTTTTCATACCCTTGAACACCTTTATTCTCAGCATTGTTACAAAGTATGTCAAGGCACTGAGAGCCCTGAAAGACCAATTGAGTCAGGCAGTTAGTGACCTTTTCTCATCCATGAAGTTACTCAAGCTCTATACCTGGGAAACGGTTCTTATGGAGAAACTTCTTCAGGTTAAGGAGAAGATTGAGATTCCGATTCAACGCTCCAAGATGACATGGAACAGGGTGGCGAACTTTTTCTGGCTGTTACAGCCGTTTCTTGTTTCGTTTACAACACTTTCATGGTACACCTTTTACTATAAGAAGCCATTGACTGCTGACGTTATATTCCCAGCAATCACACTCCTAAGTGTGCTTCTGACGCCCGTTACAAAGATCCCGCAGCTAATGACACATGTTCTGAACGCTAAGGTGTCACTAAAAAAGGTTATGTCCTTTTTAGATACTGAAGAACTCAACAATGAGAAGCGGACTGACAACTCAGACAATGCCATCCACATTCAAGGCTCATTTTTCTGGGATGAAAAGCCCGCTTTACATGGTGTGAACTTCCATGTGAAAAAAGGGGAGTTTGTGGCTTTGGTAGGAAGGGTAGGATCAGGAAAAACCGCTTTCCTTTCTGCCATATTAGGTGAACTAGATGGAGAACCTCCAATTGTGAACGGATCTGTCGCCTATGTCAGCCAAAATCCGTGGATATTGAATGGATCTCTTCGAGAGAATATACTTTTTGGTCTGAAATACGAGGAGGAGACATACAACGCCGTGTTATTTGCATGTCAGCTCAACACTGATATTGAGAAGTTTCCAGATGGCGACCTCACTATAGTGGGTGAAAAAGGCGTTTCACTTTCAGGTGGTCAAAAGGCTAGGGTGTCATTGGCAAGGGCATTATACTCCGCAGCAGATATTTACATCTTAGATGATGTACTTTCTGCTGTTGATAATCATGTGGGCCAGAAGCTCATACTGAAGGTGTTCTCGAAAAGCGGGATTTTAAGCCTGAAAACAGTGATATTGGCCACCAACAACCTTCCAGTTTTGAGCCAGACCAATCGCATCTACCTCCTCGAAGATGGAAATGTGGTTGAAAATTCTACCTATGATGAAATTTGGAACACATCAAACTCGCCAAAGCTAAAAGAACATGTGCAAATCAAGCAAGCACATGAATGTTCAAACAAAACTAAGGCGCCTATCGTGAAGCAAGCTCCAGAATTCCACTACGATCCATTTGAGCAGCATTTCTTAACCTACAAAGGCAAGTTGCATGAAGAAACAGCCAAAGGTAAAGTTCTGTGGGATATTTATGCTGCCTACTTCAAATCCTGCTCAACACCAGTGGTGATACTGGTTGTTGCTCTTACCTTCATAACCAGTCTTTTGAAAATTGCTACAGACTTGTGGCTCAAAAAGTGGGGCGATAACCACAACAATCCTCTCTTTTATATCACCGGATATGCAATTATAGGCATGAGTGATGAGTTGGTGGGGCTTTTGAGAGGTTGGCTCCTTATATGTGCCTTGGGATTTAACGGAGCTGCCTCGATATTCAGGAATATGACTTGGGGTCTTGTTCACACATCAGTAAGGTTCTTTGACAAGACCCCTAGGGGAAGGATTACTTCAAGGTATTCCGTCGATATTCCGCATATCGAAACCAGTATTCCCAAAATGATCTTTCAAGTGACTCGCCACTTTACCTCAGCTGCGCTTTCACTTTCTGTTCTCGTCTACTCATCTCCTGTGGTGATACCTGTCCTTGTTGTGTTGTCTTTTGCTTACTGGCACCTAAAGCTGGTATACTTAGTAGCCCATCGTGAGTTTCGAAGGCTCAGTGGAGTTACCAAAGCACCTTTGCTTTCTCTTCTTCAGGAAAACCTTGAAGGAGCAGATTCAGTCAGAGCTTATGGCCAAGAAGAGAGGTTTTTACGGATCTGCTATGCGGACAACGATTTCGAGAAGAGGGTGCTGACGTTGAACTCGTACGTCGACAAGTGGTTGGGCTTGAGATTACAATTTTTGACATCCACGATAATTTTCATTGCCTCTTCTTACCTTCTGTGGAAAGGCACATCTGGAGGCATGGTAGGGTTTACATTGAGCTATGTTTTCTCCATTTCGTCTTCCTTGAGAGGGCTTATTGGCATCAGCTCCAGATTGGATGGAGAATTCGTGACAGTGGAAAGGTGTCTAGAATATGCAAATCTAGAACCAGAGGGAACCAAAAATGGTCTTCAAGCGGAATGGAATGGAGGAAGTATCCACTTCAACAACTACTCAGGTGAGTACGACCGTGGTGCCCCAGTCCTTCAGGACATTTCGTTTTCAATAAAGTCAGGAGAAAAAGTCGGTATAGTTGGGAGAACGGGTGCTGGAAAAAGCTCTCTTGTACTTGCCTTGTTCAGAATGTTGCAAAAAACGGAGGGTAAGATCTCGATTGAAGGCACCGATATTGAAAAGCTCGACTTGACCTCTCTTAGACGGAACTTGGCCATTATTCCGCAAGACTTCTTTTTATTTCTGGGTACCATCAGAGAAAACATAGATCCACTCAAGGAGTATCTGGATGGGACAATCATAGAAGTGCTTAAGGATGTTGATTTGGACAAGACCATTACTGACCTTTACAGTAAAGTAAGCGAAAGTGGGTCCAATTTTTCTGCTGGACAGAAACAGCTTTTGTGTCTTGCTAGGGCTTTTTTGAAGAACTCCAGTATCCTTGTGTTGGACGAAGCAACTGCCTCGGTAGATACCCAAACAGATAAGCTTGTTCACGAGATTCTTCGCAAAAAGGCCAAGGATAAGGCTGTCATCACAATTGCCCATAGAACAGATACGGTATTGGAAAGTGATAAGATTCTAGGGTTGGAGGAGGGCCGTGTTGTTGAGTTCGATACTCCAGAGAATTTGTTGAAAAGGGACAGTTTGTTTCATCGCTTGATCAAAGCAAACACATAGCAGACTTGAGATTTTTTTATAGAATTATAGAGTGATACTTCTTGCTTCGGTAAGTCATGAATACACCATAAACTTATTTCATGCATTCTAATAACCTGATTTACGCCACAGAGGCTTTTACCGTGCATAGGCGAGTCTAAAGACGATCTAAGCCATGAAATTGTTCTAGACCTCTAAATTTAATTGAGCCATCAAAGCGTCAAAGTTTTGTATCTGTACTTCCCATATTTTGCAAATTCAGCCGCATTCTACACATCGGTGATTCAGTTTCTATCAGATTATCATAAGTCGTGTAATATATACCTTTTAGAGCCAGCCTAGATCAAGAATCTGAAGTCCTCCTTGACCTCAGAACCGTCGTTACCCTTACCAAGCTCCTTCTCCCAGTTCATCGTACCGTCATCGATTCTCTTGTTCAAGACCTGCAATCTCCATCTCAAAGCCACAGCACACACAATGGCAAGACCAACGAAAACACAGTTACAGGTGAAGGCGACAGTGTAACGAGGACCAGCAGAAGATGGGTACAAGTAAGCGTTCCAGATGGAGGCGGAGTTGGACAAACAGTTCATCAAAGAAAGCGCAATGGCACGCTTTAATGGAGGACGAGGACACGAGTTGGACATCCAGGACAAAATCGTAGTGAAAGAACAGTAGATTGCAGGAACCATGATGACCATGGAGAAGTATCTTGCACCGGTGTTCAATGTTGATACGGCGATAATGAAGGCAGCCAACGCAATGACCATAGGGGAAACGACGTGCCAGAAACGCTCTCCTGTTTTATCGGCATGGAGGGCCCAAAGGAAAGTGGTGATCACAGCAAGAATGTATGGTGGAGCAGTCAAACACAAGGTGATAACACGGTTGAACTCCAAGGTCTCAACGATAGAGGGGAAAAAGTTGGTGACACCAGCGGCAGAAACCAACCAAGACAAAATACCAGTACAGGCCCAGACCTTGATATCGGAAATAGCGAGCTTGAAAGCACCCCAGTAGGATTCCTGGTTCTCCTCATCGGAGTCGTCCTGACCGGTCTCACATCTGATCTTGTACAAGACGACATCCTTCTCAAAGTCAGACAACATCTTGGAGTTGTGAGGCATGTCTGGCAAAATAAAGTAGGCCAAAGGAGCAATACCCACGGTAATGGCACCCTCAATGATAAACAACCATCTCCAAGATCTCAAACCGTGGAGGTAGTCCATGTTGTCGACAATACCGGCGGCAATAAGACCGGAGAAAGCACCAGAAAGCAAGGAACCAGAGTAAAGCAAGGAGTTTCTGAAACTGAGCTGCTTTCTGGTGTACCAACAGGACAAGACGTAAAGGGCACTTCCGAAGAAACCAGCTTCAACAAAACCCAACATCAAACGAATTGCCAACAAACCACCGAAGTTCTGCACGGCAGCAGTACAGGTGGAAATGGTACCCCAACTACCCATGATGGTAGCCATGAAAATGGAGGGTCTCTTGAACTTGTTCAAGAACATGTTGGCGGGAATTTGCATAAGAATGTAACCGACGAAAAGAATGGAAATACATGTTTGGTACTCGTTACCCACCAAACCCAAGTCCTCTTCCAAACCACCCAATCTCGCACTGGCGATGTTGTTTCTGTCGAGGTAGTTCAAAATGTACAAAAGCACCAACATTGGGATCAAACGCAAGTCGATCTTTCTGGTGATTTTTTTGTGGAACGCATCGATCTCCTCCTCCGAGTACTGCTTCAACAGGTCTGGCTTTTCCACAACAAAAGCGTCTCTGGTGTCGGTTTCAATGTTACTCTCGATGTGAGAGATGTTTGGCTTCTCCACAGAGCCTGTTTCAACCTTGTCCATGAATAGAAAATTGATAAGATTAGAGATTCAGGAGGGAAACATTTGCAATTTATACCCCAGAGCAGAACGCCGTGCCTTGGGTGCAATACTTGGGGAAGGCTACACTTTCAGGATTATGCAACCTCTCGTAACAAGTTGGCCTTGTATGCGGGGTACTGTGGGGGCGCCGTGGGGCAGTAGTTTCTTATACGTCAAGACGTTTACGGAACAACTCCCAGGGCGCCTGCACCATGCACCCCGAGGTAGGCGCCTAGGCGACAATAGAGGAAAAGCATGTTGCTACAGGGCCGGCATGTCTAGGTGTAGTCCGCCAAGCTCCGTTCCTAACCGATCAAGAAAAAATGTCGGCGGGACCCCCACGCTGGAAAAACTCATCGATCGGAGTTTTTTGTTTCTTTTAAAGGGCCTGGAATCGCTTTGAAACAGGGCCCCTGGTGGACCATCTATTTGTGAAACATAAACTCTCGCATATGTAGTATATTGTGGGACGAGCCACTGCGGTTTTTTAGCCGCGCTATATTTTTACGACCAGCGTTTTTCCATCCACTTTTCTTGACCCGCATGGTGCGCTCCGGTTGACGTGTTACCGAGTTTCAAAATTTGTCGACAACTTGAAAAAGAAGAAAGAATCTACTGGCATCGACAAGTACCGGAAAATTTCTACAAATTAAGCCGTGTGCCCCCATCCTTGCCCGAAGAGTTTCAGCCCTTTTTTGCCCCATCTACTTCTCCCTTAGGGCATCTGTCCTGCACACAATCGGGGCTTCGAGCTGATGCCCATTGTTCTTTGATTCGCCAGCTTGGTGAAGATGCCGTGGGGCCGCCTTTTCATCGCGTTTTCCGGATTTGCTCCGCCTGCCCCAGAAAATTTTCTTTTATTTTGTAATAGTAAGAAATTCTCGGATTAATTGCGCGTTATACCGGACGTCTCTCCTGATGTAACATGAACCAAGAGATTTCTTTTTTTTTGCTTCCTGGATATCGCAGTGTGGGGGTTTTATCCTTGCCCCGCTTATCTGGAATGAGCCTCCTATCACCGAGGAACTCCCTGGATTGAGAGCCCTGATTCGGTAACAGATACGAAAGGAGCCTATTATGTTGCAGCTCTTATGTTTCAAAATTTCTTTAACCCATGGCGTGCTATTGTTGCTCGTGTCGCTGTACATCTACAAGAATGCAGCGACGCTTTCTATGCACAGGCTGCAGTTGCAAAACCCAAAAAGACCCTCGTGAAATAGGCGGTTTTATTGGGTTGTGTTTTCGTGTAAATGGGTTGCTTTTGTGATACTTTTTACGAATGGGGCGTCGCATCTGGCAGGAGTCTCAGAACCTTATCTAGAGTTGGCCGACCCCTGGCCTAGATTCTCGCCGGATAAACTGCGTGATTTTGCAATGTGATTATTTTTGGCAGAAAAAAGTATTATGAAGATCTATATAAGACTATGCTTGGCAAGATGGATTTAAAAATTGGGTCTACAGACGCTTGATCCGGAAAAGTCCGGATCTCGGAAGATCTTGCATTTTTTGTGCTTCAATTTCTTAAACCTCCCAACCTCAAAGTTGCATTATCCTTGTCGAGTGATTTGAGGAGTGATCGTACAACCCTGTCCCAAACCCCTGTTACAGGAATGATTCAACGGACCACCATGAAAACACTCAATCTATAAAACCAAACCTCTGTATCTCTAGGACCGCATACTCAACTGATGAGGTTCCTTTCGCTTCATGAATGGCTCACAGTGGCCTTTTACGTCTCTGGAATATGGGGCTTGACCGTCTCCCAGGACACGGTAATCATCGACCCACCAAACTTGGAAATCGGGGATCTTATAATTCAAAGAGGTGCATCCTACTCCATTGTGAATAATATACTTACTGCTCTTGGTGGAAACTTATTCAATGAGGGCAGATTTTTCGTGACTTCTACAAACAAATTGGCTTCCTCTGTATCGATCACCTCTGGAACCATCTACAACAATGGCGTGATAGCCTTCAATTCGCTTGATTCCAGTATTGTCAGCAGTTACACGTTAGACTCAATTGGCGATTTCACCAATCTTGGTTTCATGTGGTTTGGAATCGCCTCCCATTCAATGGTACCGCCAGTTTTTCTCGCATCGGTTACGAACTGGCAGAATTCAGGTAACATCTTCATTCGTCAGGCTCAAGGAGAGCCTTCCTCTATCACAATCTCACAGGTAGCTGGGTCCATTACCAATAATGGTGCAATTTGCTTGGAAAACGTCAACTGGGTACAGACCACAAGTATCCAAGGAACTGGCTGTGTATCTGTAATGGAGGATGCTAAACTCCAGCTTCAAACTAGCCCTTGGGGAGTCGACCCTGAACAGACGATTTACCTTGGCTCTCCCACTTCTAAGTTGTCCGTTTTGGGTTTGTCCGAAGGTATTACTGGTACGAAGACTTACCAAGTCAGAGGGTTTGGAAACGGTAACGAGATTAGCGTCAACTTGGGATTCACAGGCCACAAATATGAAGGAGGAGTCTTGACACTTACGTTTCTCGGCGGCTTGTTCAAGTTAGGTTTTGACATCGGCGACGATTATGACAAAAATGGCTTTACCACCAACGGACCTTTTGGAACGGGAGACAAAATCTACTATAAAGGCGACCACAAGATCATTATTCCCGCTGTGTGTTTATGCGTTCAATTCCCTGATCCACCAACTGTGGCCTTACCTTCTTCGACTATTGGGGATTCAAGCAGTATCTATACATCGGAGGAGATCCTGACAGACGTTGAATCATCAAGAGAGCCAGTTTCAGAGCCTGCAACATCAAGCGATTCAGTTTCCGAGCCTGCAACATCTAGCGGTTCAGTTTCCGAACCTGCAACATCTAGCGATTCAGTTGCAGAACCTGCAGCATCTAGCGATTCAGTTTCAGAGACTGCAATATCAAGTGAGTCAGCTTCAGAGACTGCAGCATCTAGAGAGTCAGTTTCAGAGACTGCCACATCTAGCGGTTCAGTTTCCGAACCTGCAACATCTAGCGATTCAGTTGCAGAACCTGCCACATCTAGCGATTCAGTTTCAGAGACTGCAATATCAAGTGAGTCAGCTTCAGAGACTGCAGCATCTAGTGAGTCAGTTTCAGAGACTGCAATATCAAGTGAGTCAGCTTCAGAGATTGCAACATCTAGCGATTCAGTTGCAGAACCTGCAGCATCTAGCGATTCAGTTTCAGAGACTGCAATATCAAGTGAGTCAGCTTCAGAGACTGCAATATCAAGTGAGTCAGCTTCAGAGATTGCAACATCTAGCGATTCAGTTGCAGAACCTGCAACCCTGGAACACACTTTGTCTGAGAATTCCAAGTCTGAGACTTCCAGATCTGAGACGAATTCGTGGGATCACTCTGAAGAGGTTTCTGAAGCCTCACACGAGGGTCCATCCAAAACGTCAGAGGAGCCTTCAGATTCGTTGACTTCAGATCAAGCTTCGTTGACTTCGGATCCAGATTCGTTAACTTCTGATCACTCTCAGATCACTACTTCTCCTACCTTGACTGAGTACACCACGACATGGACCACCGAAGACGAGGATGGTAAGCCAACTACAGAATCAGGAATCGTAGTGGTTACCACAGATTCTGAAGGCGTTGTTACCACAACCACCTCGGTGATCAGCTTGCCCTCAGAATCAGACAAGCCCTCGGAGTCATGGCCTACTTCAGAAACCACAAAGACCGAACCTGAATTATCCTCAACAACTGGAGATTCAAGTAGTGACTTCGAAACGCCTTCCGAGACTTGGCCAGACCAATCTACTACGAAATCCTCAGAATCACATCCCGACTCGTCCTCGATACCTGGACCTGATTTCTCCAGTTCAGAGTCTTCAAAGTCGCTTCCCGATACCTCCTTGACATCAAGCGGCGCTGAGACCACAGTTGATGTTTCATGGACATCAAGCGGCGCTGATACTACAGACATTGTTTCATGGACATCAAGCGGCTCTGATACCACAAATGACGTTTCATGGACAGCAAGCGGTTCTGATACCACAGATGACGTTTCATGGACATCAGAGAGCACGGGTCCTTGGCCTGGCCAGTCTTCAAAGACTACAGAGACAACGCCAGACTTTTCCTCTGATTCTTCAGATTCGTGGTCTGACTATCCATCGACCTCAAAGTCGTCTGAGACATGGAACGATAAGTCTTCGACTGAGACGTCGAAAACGTCCAAACCTTCAGATTCCTGGCCAGATGCGTCTTCCACCTATGAGTCTTCAAAGCCGCATCCCGATGTTTCGTCGGCGTCCAGATCTTCGGAATCTTTCCCTGATGTGTCGTTGACCTCGGATGTTTCAAAGCCATGGCCTGACCACTCTTCAGCATCGGAGCCTTCGAGGCCAGTACCAGAATTTTCTTCCACTTCCGATCGCTCCGAAACTCCAGAATGGTCTTCATCAAAGCCGTCGAAGTCCTCTGAGACTTGGTCAGATGTCTCTTCCACTTGGGAGCCTTCAAACCCATGGCCCGACCATTCCACCTCGAAGTCTTCAGAGACAAAGCCAGGCCATTCATCGACATCAGATTGCTCCGATTGTTCCGATTCAATCACATTCTGGCCTTCTTCATCGAATCCCCAGATGTACCGTCAATCTCAGAGCACTCTGAAACCTCAGAGTGCTCTGAAACCTCGGTAGATGTTTCAAAAACACAGTCAGACTTGTCTTCAACGTCGAAACACTCAAAGCCCTGGCCTGACTTCTCGCTGGCCTCAGAACATTCCAACACTCTTCCGGATGTATCTTCTAAACCATCTGAGACGTTCCCTAATGTTTCATCAACGTCAGACTGCTCCACGACGGTTACTGATTTCTCTTCATCGAAGTCTTCAAAACCAGTGCCTGATGTCTCCTCGAGCTCTAAGCCTTCTAAATCGTGGGCCCACCCCGCTGTGTCATCGACATCTGAGTCCAAGAGCCATCCTGGTGTATCTTCTACCATCGATACAAGCATCATTTCTGGTACATCGTCATGGCCTGAGTGTACATCGTTGACCACATTCACCACCACATGGACCACCACTGATGAAAATGGAGAATGCATAACCGACAGTGGTGTCGTGGTTATCAGCTGTGACAAGGGTACTTTGAAAACGTCCACCTCTACTTGTGATGGATGGACAACAGAAGATGTTTCGTCATCAGTGGAGCCAGACAGCTTGAGCACAACTCACTCTTCATGCACTGACTCAATTTGTGAGTGGAGTTCTGTTGGACCATCCTCCAGGCCTGTTGAATCTGGAGACAATTCGTGGCCTTCTTCAATTCCAACACCAACCACATTGGAATGTTCATCGGAGTCCTGCCCATCGACATCACCAGTATCCTTAACCACAAGCTGTGACGAGATTCCACCAGTATCCTTAACCACAAGCTGTGATGAGATTCTGTGTGTCACTTCCTACACCACGATCTGTACGACTACAGATGTGGAAGGTCGTCCGACGACTCACTCAGATGTGGTTATTGTGACTTCAGACGAGAATGGTGCTGTTACAACGACAGTTCCGGTTGCAACGACCACCATGGAAGTTACCAAAACCACCACGATCTGCTCGGAAGAAGTGTGCTCGACTTTGACTGAAACAACGACTTTGACGGATTGTACTGGTACAATCTGCTATATTTCTGAAACCGATAAGGTATTTACTCTGACTATCTGTGAAACAACAACTCCTGTCACTTACACCACCACGGTTTGTGAAACTGATGCTGAGGGCTCTGTTGCTACACACACTGTCGTGATTTGTGAAACAACCGACGCTGAAGGTGAAACACACACATCGACAATTCAAGAGATTGAAGGTAAGCCGGTCCATACTGTGCAACCAGAACCGTCAGTTCAAGAACGCCATATTCCTCAAACGGTCGCTGGAAAAGCCACCAGAATTGTTGATGACCATATTGCATCTGCTCATTCCAGTGCAGTTTTGGAAGTCAAGCCATTAGCCACACTGGGTGTGGAAGCCGCTCCAAATGAAAATGGTACACTTCAAACAGTTGCTGGTGTTTCAGTGACTGCAGAGCAAATTCATCAGACCGATGCTGGCCATATTGGCTCAACTGACGAGCATCAACCTGACATAACTGCAGATATTGAGTCTATCTACGTTTCCAGTGAGATCACGCCCAAGAGCATCTCGAAGTTCGAAGGCTCTGGAGCCGTTTTACGTCTTGGTGTGGAGGTGGTGCTTCCTCTTGCACTTCTCTTCTTCTGATACCCACCTTAGTCTGGTGAATAGTTGTTGAATGCTACGATGTTTTATTTGGTGTTTTGTAATCAGTACTTCTCCGAAGCGATTCTGGGGTTATAATTGAAGGTCCATGCTGTGTTGGGTTCGTCACATGCTGAGCATAATGCAAGGTCTTCTACACTCGAAGTGTCGACTATCTGACGGAATCATGGGTCCTTCAGCTTCTGGTGATTCTTCTAAGACAATTTCGTTCACCGCAAATTGTGTCACCGATACTTCGAGTAATGTTTCCACCAAGTCTGCTACTGTAACTCAAATCAAAGATTCAGAGCCTTTTCTGGTTCAGCAAATCACCCAAAGTGGTGACTTTGAGGAATCTTCCAAAGTGAAGCCCACAAAGCTTCTCCCCACTTGACTAGCGACCATGTTCCAGCACAAACTGGCGCAACCGGCATTTCAAAGGAGGCCCCTGCTGATAAGGAAGTTTGTAAAACCAGAAAGGCCGAAATTCCTGACCGCTAACCCCTGGCGTCTGTTTCCGTCGTTGTTTCTGAGAATATCACTCTCACTGCTGAATCCACTCTGGTTTCACAACCACATGCCACTTCGGGCATCGATTCTGTTTATATTTCCTGTGAATTTTCACCACAAGCCGTTTTACTCACGAGGCTGCCGGTTCTCACGTTCTTTCGGTGCACAGTGGGTCCTTTCTACAATCCTCGCCATTGGATTTCCCTCATTCATGGCCTTATATAAATAAATTTTCTGTTTGTTAAAGTATGCTGTATTGGTTGAAGTCGGAGATACGGAGCCGCCTATAGCAGCAGTCAGATGTGAGACAGCATCTTCCAATTTGGGTCCGATGCAGCCTCGTATTTTCTTGTGATTGGCCTTTCTTGTAATACACTACAACTTGACAAGCCGCTCCTAGTACATTCATGGCTTCGATACTCAAACCCCAATTCATATTCAGATCTTTATCAATCCCAAAAACAGTTAACTTCCACAATCACCTCACCCACCTTCTTCAAAACACAGGGCGAATGCGTCACTAAGGAAAATTCATATCAGGACCTGCTGCGGAACGGTACATTTCAAGATCCGAAAAAAACGAGACACAACGCTCGAGACAGCTTGACGCAGCTGCACCTGTACCTGACATTGGCATATTTCGTCCCGCCATGCCACACTGCGTCAACAGCCATGCAGTTATCTGATCGATCTGGCGGTGATAAGTGGAATTTTAATAGGGAACGATCTTTTTTTTTTCTTTTTTGATATTCAATTTCAGTCATTGGCTAGGCTGGCTCCCCAGCCCTCCATAAGATGTCGAATTATCTCCCTTATGCTGCTTCCCAACACTTGGGTGAGCCGCACGGGCTTCGAGTCCTCCTTAAGCCTCCCTTTAATTGGCCTCTTTTCCCTCTTGCAGGGCCGTATATCGGCTTCAAGTGTCTATATAGTCCAGTGCATCTCTTCCTTGTAAATTCGAAAGAGAAATGCACCAGCAGGGCTCTATAGAAGCTCAGAGTGGCTCCGATATCGAAAAGAGAGCAGACGGTGACCATGAGTCTGTTTCTAGGGTAAGCACTGACGATAATGGCATCACCACCAATATAGATAAACACGCAGAGGTGGTCACAGACAGAGGTGTCTACCGTGTGGAATCGCTCAAAAAGGTGCTTTACACTCATAAGAATGGTCTTCGTATGAGGGTGATTTTGGGCGTTTCGGTGCTTCTTTGTGCATGGGCTGCTGCTTTAGATTCTAGTGTAACCACGAGTTTGCAGCCGTGGGCTACTTCTGCTTTCAACCATCACTCCATGGGTCTCGGTACCTTGAACGTTGCTGTCCAGATTATCAACGGTATTTCCAAACCTGTTTGGGCTAGAACCGCCAATATTGTGTCTAGACCAGCGACATACACACTTTCCATGTTGTTCTACGTTCTAGGTTACGTTATCGTGGCTTCCAGTCATACGATTTCCGCCTACATTGTCGGTTCGGCTTTGTCCGCTGCTGGCAGTTCTGGTGTGGATTTCTTGAATTCCATCATTGTGGCTGATATGACATCTTTGAAATGGAGAGCTTTGGCTACCTCCATCTTGAGTACACCCTACATTATAAACACATGGTACGCAGGCTATATTGTCCAGGACTTGGGCTCCTCGGGCTGGAGATGGGGTTATGGCATGTTCTGTATCATCATGCCTGTGGTTCTTTCCCCTGCTACTATCATCATGTTTTTGTATGAGGGCAAGGCCCATGAGTACCTTGGTCAGCAGGAGAAGTCTGACTACAAGCAGGAGATGGGATTCAAGAAAAACTGGAAAAAGCTCTTGTGGCGTGTTTTGATTGAGGTTGACGCTTTGGGCTTGCTACTTATCGGTTTCGGGTTTTCTCTTATTTTGTTGCCATTCTCCTTGTATGATGGTGCAGAGGGCAAATGGAAGAACCCCAGTTTGATTGCCATGTTTGTTGTTGGTGGTGTGTTGATCATCTTCTTCTTCATGTACGAGTTCATCTGGGCTCCCTTCCCCATTGTCCCCAGAAGATGTCTCAACAGAACCCTTGTTGCTTCAGTTGTCATTGACTTCTTCTACCAGCTTGCAGGTATGATTCCCCTTGTCTACCTTTCCTCTTTTGTCTACATCGTCAAAGACTGGAGTGATCAAGACTGGACCTACTACAACAACACCTTGACAATGTCGCTTTGTGTGTTCGGTGTCGTTGCTGGTGTATGTATGAGAGTCACTCACAGGTACAAGGTTTTCCAGTACATTGGTGTCATTTTGGCTATTCTCGGTTCCAGTATAATGCTTGATGGCAGAACAGCCAGTGACGGTACTTTGAACATCATTTGGTCACAAATCCTCAACGGTATGGGTGGTGGTTTCAATGTTGTTGCTTCTGGAGTCGCCTTGCAAGCTTCTATTCCTCACAGAGACATGGCCATTTCCATTTCGATCGTCAACTTGATCTCGTCTATTGGTTCCTCTATCGGTTCTTCCATTTCCACAGCCATTTGGCAAGGAAAGATGGAGCAGACGTTGAGAAAGTACATGCCTTCCAGTGTAACCGATAGCGAAGTCAGCGAGTTCTTTGCCAGCATCACTAACCTCCGTAACTACGAGTTCAGCAGTGATGTTAGACAAGCAGGTATCAAGGCCTACAGAGAAGTCAATTTCTATTTTTACCCCATTGCCGTGAGCTTGCAGTTTATTCGTCTTGCTGCTGTCTTTTTCCAGAGCAATTACTACCTTGGTGACACTCACAATGCCGTGGAGACTGACGATCATAAGCCTATTGAGAAGAGGGAGGACGAGGAGCCGAAGAAAAAGTCCTGGAAGCACATCTTGCTTGGCTTGGAAGAGTGAGGGAGAATCGGAGGAGTTTTTTATTCTTGATTTCGTTAAATATGGGTTTTAGTATTGTTGTCTGGATTTTTGATGGTGTTTGTAGTTTTTGCAGCAATTGCGCGGCGCCACATAAATTCTTTAAAGTGAAGGTCTGTAGGAGTTGAGGAGGCCAACTGAAAACACAAAAAAAAAACTATATTAGTCGATGAAGTCAAAATACTCCATTCTGGTTTATGGAAACTTGTTGCCTTTTCTGCGCTGGTCAAAAAATCAGGTACGGCAGCCATGCAATAGGTATAAAGTAGTTTGACGGTATGCTGCCTTGGCATTTTCACACTTGTTGCCGTGACGCTCTTCAAAGCAGGACTTTGAAGTGTAGAGTTACTGCCACTAAACAAATATAGTGGTAATTTTTTGATCTTAGCTTTGGCTTCTAATCTATGTCTGCTAAACGAAATATCACCATCAAAGCCTGCATTGGCAGCTGCAAAATCTCTAGGCAGTCTTAATTCATGGAGTTTGAGTGGTTAGTTGACACATGCCAAATGCATAACGATGCAGAGGCTCCAGCAGCCCTGGTGAAACGTTTGTCTATATTTATGCGATGTTCGTCGCTTCGGAGTTGCAGTTATGAATGCCGACGAGAAAAGAGACTATTCTAAATCGAAAAATGACAAACACGAGCCAAACAGAGAATGCAGTTTGGATCCAATTCCTTGAACATTCATTCTTTCCAACTAGGTACTTCCATGAAGGGAAAGATGATTACTGTTGAAGAACAGAGAAAGAAGGAGGAGGAGAATGATGGAAAGAAAAAGAAGAGAAGCTGGAAGAAGATTTTGCTCAATGTGGAGGACTAATATGTCGTGGAACACCGGATGTATATGCAATTTAATAAGTAATGCTAGTTGATTTTGTAGCTGTCTGAGAAAGGCTCCGGAGACTCCTCCCTTTTGTTGTCTCGTACTTGGAGATGTCTTATAGCTATGGCCACAATTATGCTTGCTATTGCCGTTGCAATCATGGCCCATTTACCGTTGGTGAAATAGGGCGCTGTAGAAGCTCCGTAAAAGAGAAGCAGCCACCATGCATTGACAGCATTGCTGAACATGTTCATAGAGGCCAAAACCACAGCACGTTCTTCCAAATCATCATAACACACGACATTGGCCCAGGAGAAAAACACAGGCTGTCCAGCGTATGAGAATCCACTGAGATAGTGTGCAACGAAAACGTACCCCGTCGAAAGTGGCCCCACCAAGAGCAATATTGACGAGATTATCATCACCACGCCAATGAGAATAGCCGCTCGATAGTGATGTCGTGCGTTGGTGGCATCAATGTACCAGCAGCACACGAAATTTGCCAAAACTCCCACAGCGTACACGCCCATAGGAAAGTGGTTTCTGTCTGCCACGGAGTAGTCAAAGTATTGAAGCCAGAGAGCGAAGAGCGAGTTTGTGGCATAAGACTCGTTTTCACCGCCTAGGACCCAGAAGAACGAAAAGAGCCACCAATGCCATCTACTCACCACTCTTTTGAAGATTGTCCAGTCGAATGATGTTTTAGGACGCTTCTTGAGCCTCAGATGAGCCAACATACGCTTTTCCTCACTAAAGTAGAAAGCACGGCTTGTTTCAGGCGTATCGGGAAAGCAGAAAAAGCCGTAAACCGAGATGGGGACAGTGATGAGGAAATCCACAATAAACAACCAGCGCCAGCCGGCTAGCCCTGCGACGTCATCCATGCTCTCATAAATAGCCGCTTGCATGGTCAGCGAGAATATGTTGCCAATGAGACCCGAAGATGTGAAAACGGCAGTTCTCTTACCCAACTCAGTTTCTGTGTACCACGAAGCCAACAAAAGATGGCACCCACTGAACGTCAGTGCTTCTAGGGTGGCTTGAAAGAAACGAATTGCACAAAGAGCCCTATAATCGTAAACCCAGGCCATGGCAAAGGTCAACAACCCCCATGCTAGGGAACAAAACGAAAGCCATATTCTAGGTCGAACCCGAAGCAAAATCAAGTTGTGTGGAATAAGCGCCACGATGTAGCCCACGTTGAAACACGTATTAATAACATTGAGCTCGTTGCCGTGCATGGAGAGATCCTCCTTCATGCCACTAACATAAGCATTACTCAAGTTGAGTCTGTCCAAGTAGTTGACCCAGTATAAAAGACAGGCAAAGGAAAGAACAAACCAGTCGATTTTCACGAGAAGCCGGGCCTCAACGGGATTGGAAGGCTTGACGCCCCATATGAGTTCCCGGGTTTTGCCGAGCATGGGGCAATGGCATGGGCTTCACGGAAGTGGTTGGTGATAATTTTCGGTAAAGAGTCGCGATGTCCGATTTGTGGGGGGTTCAGAGGTGGATGTGGGATCAAGGGGGATTAAGGGCAGGTGATTTGAAATATGTATAAAAATAGGGAGATTTCGAAGGGATGATGGACTTTGAACCTTTTATAGATCGGGTTTGGGAAATGGAGTCCGGAAGTTGGGCTATACGACGGAGTTAAGAGGTACGACTCTCCCCAGATCCAACATAAGCATGAAGCTGCATTTTTCAATTTAAAAATACATAAGAAGTTTATATTACTTTGGCTCGAAAAGCAGAAAAGAAGCAAAATACCCTGATTACGAAACTGTCGTAGTAGCTCCTATGAGTTACAAGCCAACCCTACATCATGAATAATCATAATAATCATTTCCTTTTTTTATTCATTTTTTTTTGCGTTTTTATTGCCCAAAAGAATTCTGGTCGTCTTATCATAGCTATTTGTCTCACCATATCCATCACATCTCAGACACCTCCTCTAATCCGTTCTCTGAGCATCGTACTTCAATACAGCATTCAACATCACCTCAAGACCCTCATGCACTTGCTCAGGCGTGCTGTACTCCTCAGGATTATGAGAAACTCCGTCCCTGGATGGAATAAAGATCATGGCGGTAGGACACTTCAATGCAGTGAGTCCGCTATCATGGCCAGCTCCACTGACAATTGGGAGCGTCTGTTCAGCACCATAGAGATCCTCGGCAGCATCCTTGATGCAATTCTTGCAAGTTTCATCAAAATGGACGGCCTTTTGGTGAAGAAGCTCGGTGAGCTCATACTCCAACTTTACACCACTTTCCTTGGTGATACTGGCCATTGCCGTTTTGAAATCTTCAAACATCTTTCCAAGTTTGGTATCGTCGGGGTTTCTCATGTCGCAGATGAATCTGACGTCTTGTGGAATCACGTTCACCACCGCAGGAACCAATTCCATGATACCCGCACTGCAAAGACCATCGTGCTTTTGTGCAAGCTCATTACCCTTGACCACCATTTTCGAAGCAGCAAGAAGTGCATCGCTCCTGCTCCTCAATGGAGTAGTACCCGTGTGCTGAGCTTTTCCTCTCACCTTGACTTCAAACCATCTGAGAGCCTGGATGCCCTGGACAAGACCGATCTTCTTATTTGTCTCTTCCAAAATAGGACCCTGTTCTATGTGGAGCTCGAAATGCGCCTTCAAAGGATTGGCCTCGTAGGAACACTCCACATCACCCAAGTACTGGATTCTCTCCAACTCATCTCTCACACTGACTGGTTTTTGGTCAGTCACACTCTCCAAATTATAGATATTTTCCAAAGTGTGGGAGCCTGCCCAAACCGAGGAAGCCATCATGCTGACTGGAAAACGAGCTCCTTCTTCATTGGTCCAGTTGACCACACAGACTGGGTAGTTGGGCACAAAGTTGTTTTCCTTGAAAGTACGCAAAACCTCGAGTCCGGTCAAAACACCCAAAACGCCGTCGTAACGGCCTCCTGTGGGTTGAGTATCCAAATGAGAGCCAATGGCTGTGGGCAATCCGTTCTTCTTTCCTGGGTATACTGCAAAGATGTTGCCCAACTTGTCGATGATGATCTTGCAGCCGAGTTTGGATGTCTCTTCCACAAACCAGTCTCTTACTTTTTTGTCCAAATCAGACAAGGCGAGTCTGCAAACGCCGGTTTCAGTTTCCTGGGTTCCCCATCTTCCTTTGGCACCAAAACGAGCGGTTTCATGAATAGCAGACAAAAGGCGTCCAGGCTTCACCGACAAACCTGTGGTTGCTTTGATGGAGGAAGTAGCAGTAGATGTTAAAGTCATTTTGGATCTGGGGTTTGGCCTTATCAGGAACCCTGAGCTTTATATAGCTCTGGGGTAGTCTGGATTCGGGTTGCCAAATCGGGTAACTCGTATCGCGTCTGATAAGAGTCAAGGTCTCCAAGTGCGCTATGGAGGGTTGCCAGATTGGAGGAGATGTTCAATTGATTAAGTTCAAATCCTAAAATTCGAAAGGGTTTTGTTTAGATAAAAAGGTTTCTTAATTTATTGGGTATGCAGCAGGTATTGGGTGTTGGAAACTTGGTGATAGGGTGCCTCGGAGATCTCCATCACCTCCCGAACAGGCTTAAGGTTTGGACTTTGAAATTATTGGCATTTGATTGGGTGAAGGAGATGACAGATTGGAAAGCTCGTGGCTTTGGAATTTGAAGTTTGAGAGAAGTAGGGGTATATCGACGCCATCAATGAAGTTCAGCTATCGTTGAAACATCTAGAATGAACAAGCGAACATGAACAAGCGAACCGTTGCCAACTGACTGTCAAAACAGAGGAATGACTCAAAAACAAAAACTATTCCTCGATTGAGAGATACACATTCAAAGACCCCAAAAAGAACCTACTCCAACTCAAACATCAGCGACCTGCGCTCATTATCAACTACTACCCTAAAGCAGCATCCTGACCAGAATCATGACTAACGGCGGTCAACGCCCTAGTGTCCAAAAGAAGGCCAAACGGCTCATCTCCACCGTAAATCTCCCAGAGCCCCTCCAAATAGCTGCTTGCCCTGTTGATAAGATGCAGCCCAGACCGAGTACCTAGTTTCTGCAAAGTGTGAATAAAAAAACGCCGATCACTGTCAGCAGTAGCGGCACTGGCTGCTATGAAACTCGACCAGATGGGAATCACCACGTATTCGTTCGAATCCCCCACAAGGCGTACTAGAGCGTCTATCAGTGGCTGCAAAATGGAGGCTCTCAAACCAGGATCAAGCATTTTGCGAAGTAGAATCATCAGCGTATGAAGCACCACTTTCGCCACGGTAAGGGTATCAAAAATTTGCACGGTGGGGGCGCTGAGTGTCTCCAGAGTAAGGAGGCACGTTTCTGCAAGCTGGAGGAGCTCACAGTGTAGTAGTTTGTCTGAATCAGCTAGTGGAAGTCTGAGACGACACAGCCATGAGGCTTTCGCTGCAATTTGAAAGGCGGTGATAGATAATCGGCTCAGAGCAGGATCCTCGTAGTCCTGGCAAAGCTCAAAAAAGCGTTGGTAGTGGGTACTGAAAAGGCCAAACGGGCTGGGGATGAGTTTTTCAATCTGTGCATCGTCGCAGAACATAATCGTCAAGCTGTAGTTGAACAAAAAGTTCTCGATCATGGCCCGTTCTAGCGAAGATACTGAGGCATGACTTTGGAGGATATTCTTCATAAACAACTCGTAAGCAGCGCTAAGGTGTACAGCACAGCGGGTAGCATTGCATCCCATAGTGGGGTCTCGAAGACTGAGAGTTTGCAATACCTGGATGGCCAAAAAAAGCCACTCTTCGCTGCCCAAAACACCGTTTTTCATGGTTTTGATGAAAAGCGACAAGGCAGAAACATACCGTTTTTGAGCCACCGCCCTGAACGCCTGGTCGTCAAAGGCTACTAGTGAGGCTCCACAAGCTATGGACATTTGCCGCAAAAGATCCAGCTTTTCGGCTACGGAATGAACAAGGCTTTGCGTGGGAACCTTGTGGTTGAAATGCGGCTGTGCCAAAGTGGGAAGAAACCGCTGGGCAAATTGCACAAGGAAGATGCTGTCTATCTGGATGGATAGGTGGTTGCGAGGTACGAGCGTTGCTAATTGCAGGGGGCCAATATCGATATCTTGAATCTGTTCCTCTTCCGTTTCACTAGATTTCATCTCTGGATACTGGCATTCGAGATCCCGGCGGACACAGTTCATACATTTTCCTTTCGTTTCGTCACATTTGATCTTTCGGCGTTTGCAGCTGAAGCACCCCTTCACAGACCGTTTATACGATTTTGTAGGTTTCCGCAGCACGATTTTGTGTGCCTTGAGCTGGAGCACGCCCTGGTACTCCTTGTATCCCATGGAAAGAGTGGTAGGTGGGTGATGATGTGAGCTCGGGTTACCCGATCGGGAAGGTAACCCCATGGAGCCAAGCCCCAGGGGCGAGAACGGGGAATTGTTGCTTAAGGGATATTAGTTTAGCGGTGGTAGTTTAGCGGGATTAAGGTCGGTGGTTTGAATTTTTTATTTTGGGTGATAATGTGGGATGGTTGGGCGATGTAGATAGGGTGTTATCTGGAGGGTTTGTTCCTCAGACGGAATTCGATGGAGTGTGGATGCCGCCATAAGCAAATCTTCATAATTGGATCTTCAAAAGCTATTTATATTAACGCCAGGACAATCTAGCGCATTTTAGGCTAATGGAGATAATTTGCAATGTCCCAAGATCCAACATGAATGGCTGCAAACTGCGAAAAGGAAGACCACCCAAGGCGAACAATACATGTGATACAAAAAAGCTAAGAGGCATTCAAATGAAGCTGCCCGTGGACGTAAATTGCTCAATTGATTTAAACAACTTTTTTAAAATGCTGTTACCTTTAAGCCAAGGGACGCATACATCCGATGGGTCGATAGCATACACTTTTACCGTATTGAGAAGACAGGCTAGGGCCTAATGGCGACACAGGGCGTTAGGAACACGTTAGGAACTATGGATACACGCTTAACATCAATGTCAGGTATCAAACATAGATGAGGAAGTTCCCCGCTAGAGCTGGTTTCCTGATTTGATGAAGGACACTAGGTGATACACGTTATAACAGGAAGTTCACGGTCTCTCAGATATCAGACAAGAGCCGTTTATGGAAATGGTAAAATAACAGATCACAAATAGCTCTATGTTCAAGTATTTAGTGCTCTTAGTTCAGAAGTTAAGGAAGTTATATCCAAGTGTCAGTCGGAAGTCATATCCAAGTGTCAGTCGGAAGTCATATCCAAGTGTCAGTCGGAAGTCATATCCAAGTGTCAGTCGGAAGTCATATCCAAGTGTCAGTCGGAAGTCATATCTAAGTGTTAGTCGGAAGTTATATCTAAGTGTTAGTCGTAATTTACTATGGATGCACCCGAGCATCTGGAAGCTGATAAGATGGTCTTTTCTCTATGTAGCTTTAAATTGGGTTTTCCATTGATGGATTAAACAAAAAAAAAAAAAAAAAGAAAAAAACCGCTGGCACATGTTTTGGTTGGGACTTATAAATAATTCTATCATTATTGTAAATTATTTAGAAGTTTATAGTACATCTCTTTTTTCATATTCCCACCCACACTTGCCGTCGACACTGCACCATGGTCCAAAGCCACAAACCTCGATGCACCCTTAGTTATCTGATAAGGTCTCCGTATTTTCCGACTTTCCGAAACTTTGACACCTTCCCAACATCTTACGAAAGCTTCCAGATCTACCACAGAAACACTGGACCCACGAATATCTGTCTACTTTTTTCATTCTCCATGATGTACCATTCACACTCTTCAGTATATGTGAAGGAAGGTACCCTTGTAATTATCCTAGGTGGCTTCCCAAAAGCGGGGGTTTCGAAAAAGCTATCCTTTCCATCTTAACCCCTCCTTTTGTTACTCGCCATCTCATTACCCCATGGTCTATCTAACTGTTTCGCAGCCATAGTACCATCCTACAAGCCCAAACAAAAGAAACCCCACCGGTCCGAACCCTATCGCTTCAAAATCACAAAAACTATGTAATCGAATGCACTTAAGACAGCAAATAGCAATTGAGAATCGGTCGATTGCACCCAATTGTTCGAGTATCCCTACCTCAGTGGCCTGATGGATCCACCATACTCCAACTTGCCAACCCTGAGCCCGTTAAAGCCAATTCTCCACTTCTGCTTAATTTCACTAGAAAGCTTTGTTTTCCGATCAAAACCACCTTCACTCTTTTCAATCATCCCTCATTTTTCTCTTTTTCCATAATACCTCCACCCTGCGGCACCCTGTGTGGCACGGAAAATGCGGCGCAATCGCGATTCTGATAACCACAGTAACTCCTCTTCATCTTCACTCATCATGGATATGGAGAAAGATTACATCACCGTCACGCCCCGCCAGGGTCCCGTGCGCCGGTTTGTCAAGTTCACCATTGTCGCTTTGGCGGTGATGGTGTGTCTTATCAAGCTTGACTTTTCGTTGTTTTCCGTGGAGAGAATCGAGAACCCAGAGGACATTGTCTTGAACGCCTTGAAGGAGAATTACGCCAGCAATTGGCTGTTGAAGTATGCGTCCGAGAAGCACTTGGCCGGTACGAACTACGGTCTTGTTGAATTCACCAGGAAAAAGCTTGCTGACTATGGCGCTAAGACCACTGTGGATGACTACGACGTCTTGTTGAGTTACCCCGAGGACCACGCCTTGCACTTGTTGGACAAGAAGGGTAAGGTCGAGTACACGGCGCCTTTGAAAGAGGACGCCTTCGAGGAGGACTTCACCTCTGTGAACGACACCATCCCCACTTTCTTGGGGTTCGCTGCCAACGGCAATGTCACTGCCGACTACGTTTACGTGAACTACGGCCGTACCGAGGACTTTGCCTGGTTGAAGGAAAATGGCGTCAGTGTCAAGGGAAAAATCGCTATTGCCCGCTACGGCGAGCTTTTCCGTGGCCTCAAGGTCAAGTTTGCTCAGGAAAACGGTGCTGTGGGTGTTTTGCTCTACACTGACCCTGCCGACGATGGCGAGCTTGTCCCTAAGAATGGCTACAAGCAGTACCCTGAGGGTCCCGCTCGTGCTGAAAGTGCCGTCCAAAGAGGTAGCGCCATGTTCTTGGGCGGTGTGGGTGCTCAACCCGGTGACCCAACTACTCCTGGCTACGCTTCCAAGAAGGGTGTCGAGAGAAAGGACCCATACAACAGTATTGGCAAGATTCCTGCTCTCCCTATCTCCTACAGAGAGGTGAAGCCAATCTTGGCCAAGCTCAATGGTCACGGCAAGAAGGCACCAAAGGACTGGAAGGGAGGCTTGGACGAGTTCGACTACACCACCGGCCCCAACCCAGACGCGTCTTTGAACTTGTACAGCAACCAGACTTTCAAGATCACTCCTATTTGGAACGTGTACGGTGAGTTTGTGGGCGAGAACAGAAACGAGGCCATTTTGATTGGTAACCACCGTGATGCTTGGATCAAGGGCGGCGCTGGCGACCCTAACTCGGGTACTGCTGTACTCCTCGAGATTGCCAGAGCCCTTGGCCAGCTTCAGGACGCCGGCTACAAGTTCAAGAGAAGCATCATTTTGCAAAACTGGGACGGTGAGGAATACGGTCTTATCGGATCTACTGAGTTTGGCGAATACGCTGCCAAGAGCTTGCAGAAGGATGTCGTTGCTTACTTGAACGTCGACGTTGGTGTTCAGGGTAAGTTCTTGCAATTGAGTGCCTCTCCAGTTTTGAACAGAGTCTTGAGAAAGGTGGCCAGATGGTTGCCATACCCCGGCAAGGGCGGTCTTTCTTTGTACGACCACTACAAGAAGGAGGCCGGCGACCGTATTATCAACTTGGGTTCCGGTTCGGACTACACTGTGTTCTTGGAGCACTTGGGTATCCCCTCCGCTGACATTGGTTTCAAGAGCGGCCCTAAGGACCCAATCTACCAGTACCACTCGAACTACGACTCATACCACTGGATGGAGAAGTTTGGCGACAAGGGATTCGTTTTCCACAACTTGGCTGCCAAGTACATCTCTCTTGTGGCCTTGGAGTTGACCAAGCACAAGGTTATCGAGTTTTCGTTGAATGACTACGCCAAGGACTTGATTTCCTACTTTGAGCAGGTCAAGGAGCTTGTGCCTAAGAAGTGGCTCGACAAGGAGGTTCCTCATCCCGTCATGGCCCAGTATATCACGAACGACCGTGAGGACCTTGAGGCTGTTTACGAGGCCACTCAGAGCTACTACATTGACAGACACGTTTTTGCCTTTGAGGAGCTTTTGGAACCTTACCAGTGCAGACACATGCTGACGATGTTGATGAAGGACTCTCTGCACCACAAGAAGCTCAAGTTCGGAGATCTTTTGAGACACACCGACGCTCACTTGGAGAACTTGGAGAAGGACTCGTTGGCATTTGACGCTGAGAGTGCCGTTTTGCAAGAGCGTTTCGACAACAGAGGTGATTTGCACTGGTGGCAGAGAATCAAGCTCCACTTTGAAATCAAGCACCACAACAAGCTCCTCCAGTACTTCGAGAGAAACTTCTTGTACAAGCACGGTCTTCACGAAAGACCATGGTTCAAGCACATTGTGTTCGCTTCTGGCCGTTTGACTGGTTACGCTGGACAAACCTGGCCTGGTATCAGAGAGGCTATTGAGGATGAGGACTTTGAGAGAACCTCCAAATGGGTCGGTATTGCAGCCAAGGCTGTTAAAAGAGCCACTGGCGGCTTATCAGTCGAGTAAGTATGACGTAATACAATGTGACTCTGATATCTCGTTTTTCATATTTCTGCGTGTAGCCCGATCAGGCAAACATATTACAAACGTCAAACGAGGTGTGCGTCCTAATGCGGAAATAGGTAAACAGAAGAACTCGCTTAGAGAGGACCGTGCCGCAGCATTAATCACGAATTATAAAACCTGAAATTTCCTCGCTCCACGACTCAGCAAAGCATGTCTCTTTCTCCATTCTACGTGGCTCCCGCTTTGTTGCCCTTGGTTGTTGCAGCCAACTTGGGTGGTTTCGATAACCCCGGAGATTCTGGGGAAACCACGGCTGCTAATGAAAACCAGAATACGGAGAACACAAATGCTAACACCGCCACAGCCAACACTGCAGCCACCGCTAACACAGCCAACACAGCTAATACCGCCAACACAGCCAACACAGCAAATACCGCTAACACAGCCAACACAGCAAATACTGCAACAGCAAACACGGCTAACACAGCCAATACTGAAACAGCTAACACAGCTAATACAGCCACGGCTGAAACAGGCACTGCAACAGGTACAGCCACAGGTACCCTTGACACCAGAATTGACACAGCCAACACCGCTCAAAGTGAAACACCTACTGAAACTGCGCTGAACACAGCTTTGGACTCAACCACTGGTGGTTCAGCCACATTCAACAAGTGGGGCTTCACAGGCGACCAGTCTGTCTGGCAAGCCGAGACTGCTACTTCAGCTGTCTCTAATTCCGGATCCGAGTCCAAGTCCCATACAGCTTCCATTCTGGGTAACAAGACCTCTGGCGCTATGAGAGTCGGAGGAGCCACAGAAATCAGCTGGAAAACAACGGCTTTTATCGGCGCAATTGCCGCCTTGACTTTGGGACTCCACGCCCTTTGAGTATTGCATAATTAGGTTAAATAAATCCACGGTTCATTTGGTCCATGAGCGTGCGCTCGTACTTGCTATGTAGTTCATTGAGACGGAGCAAAAGCCCAGCACAGATACTCTTGACCTTTTCGTCTATAAGTGTCTCCCAGACATTGGTGAAAAAGTCCTGAATTTTGGCCAACTCAACCAGCATCTGTGCTATGAGGAAACTGTCGTCTACCACATCCATTACCAAGAGCACTCCAGTGCACAAGGCTTCGATCACAGGAAGTTGCTCAGAATCGAGGGTTGGGATTATCAGAATCAAAAGCCCAAGGTACTCTCGTGCCATTTCGAGGAGATCAGACGCTGAAGGGTACGCCGCATGTAGAATCAACGAAAGTGTCTTGAGATAGTGTGCCGTGAGTATAGGGGTATAAGCACCGATATTTATACCACCACTTTGCCACCAGACATTGACAAGTGGGAAGAAAAATGTCTTTCCAACGGACTTGTTGAAGGAATTGAGAGCATCCTTGGGGATGAGCGGAGCAGATGCTTGAGGCTTCTTTTTGAGAGAAGCAGATACTCGAAGAATCCGGCCTCCTGCAAGTTCATCCCTAGCATCCTCAGCAGCTTCACCCATAAGCTGGTTTTGGATATCAGCTTGTATTGCCAGACTGCCGTACTCCTCAATCTTACCCTCTGCAGCCAAGTACTGCTGGTGAAGCTTCCCCGGAAGCATTTGAGTAGGGAAGATTTGATTCGAATGGCTCAGAGCTACCATTTCGTCTTTGTATCCTCTGAGCTCTCTAGCAGATAATGACATGGTAGAGAGAAGGCAAATTCGCTGTTGGAGGGAGTAGTCTCCAGTGAGAAGCAAGTGACACAAGTGGGTAGTCACAGGTGGGTGACTCACAACGACCGCAATCATGGCATTGAGCTTGGAAGTCTCGAAGGATGCATCCTCGTAGAAGTTGGTCATTCCCGCTAGCTTTGATAGAAGATCCTCGGCATAAAATGCAACTTCTTCACCGAAACCTTTCTTCTGTCTGATAAGGGTTGGCGCCGTCTTGAGCGCCATTTGAATTTTTTCGTATGCTTGTGGTGCCTTCGTATCAGCCAGAAGGTACTCTAATAGATCACGGATATAGATCGGCAGCTGGACTTTTGGGGCATTAGCGAGCGTGGGATCGTCTTCTTCGTCACTCATATTATCATCATCTGCTTCCTTGCCGAGAGACTCTTTAAACGCTTTTTCAAGTTCGTCAACCTCAGGCTCCGGGAGCTCTACCAGAGGAGCTCGAAGCTGGCTCCATGCCTCACTCTGGTCAATCGTGGGAATTAGGCCCACTGGCTCAGGAAATGCCACACCCAAGACTGATCCGCTCATATTAAAAATCCGTTCGTGATCTGCTAGTTCGCATACCCTGTCGGCAAAGTAGACCCAAGGCTTCTCACTCTCTCTGAGATAGCCTGTAGCCTTGTGGATATGGCATCGATGAAAGGCTTCTGACCAAGAAGCTCATGCAAGGTTTCCCGGGGCACCAAGGCACACAATGCAACAAGGAGGTGTGTTCTGAAGCCTTGAGTCACGATTGGTTCGCCCTTCATGTGGATGGCATTTCCCCAAACTTGTAGAGTCTTGTAGACTAAAGAGACGTAGTTTGCGTCATCAAGGCCAGCCCTCGCTAAATGAGCGGCTAATGTGTTAATTGCATAGCTGGAGCGTCCAATAACAGACTCCATCATGATGCTATCCCACACCGAGTGGTCAAAGCAGTACTTTGTGAGGGTATATAGCGCAGGCACTGAATCTAGGATATCCTTGCGAATATAGGCATTCTGAATGAACAGAAGGAATCGAAGCAAGATGTTCTTCCGCTCAAATCGCTTCATTTCGATCACACATCCTCGGAGAAAGCCCACATGGTCAGGCGAGAACATTGTGTCGAAGAATTGGAAAGTGGTATCTTGATTCACACTTTGAAGCGAGTGTACCAAGGAATTGACAACTTTTGGATCACACGATGCGTACACAGAGAGCAATTCGTGGCATAGATATGCAGCATAGGTGCCCAGATCCCGGCAGACCTCGGGAACATAGACCCCATTAAGCTTGTAGTCAGCCTCTCTAAGAATAGAGTAGCACTTTCCCTTGAAAAGCAACCGATCAACCTCTTTGACTTCTATGGTCAGACGGCCCGGTATTAGATGGCCTAGGAGGCCCGGCTCAAGCACTTTTCCTAGAAGCCGAGTATGGCAGTTCACAGCCAGAAGCACATCCAACAGAGTATCTGCCTTCAGACGAAGCAACATTTCAATTTTCGCTAGCAAGTTCCCTAGACCCACGGCCGAACGGAACGCTGCTGCCACAATCTCCTGCGTAGGCGCCGTCAAGTGGCGATATGTCTCTGGAACCGTGTATTTGAGTAATGCAACCACCACCTCCAACTGCTCCTTCTGGGACGGATTGCCCTGGAGGTAAGGGTGTAGAAGAATTGGGATTTCATTGGCCAGGGGCTTTTCCCGAAGCCTCGCCGCAAGCTCTCCAGCAGCAGAGCAGTCCATAGTATCTAAGGCTGGTCTAATGAGACCCATATGGAGGTGAGCATCAACACTGCGAAAGTGCAAAATACTACTACTCCATGAAATCGGCGTTTGCAAAACAAGCTGCCACCATGCAGGCGGTGCTCCGTGAGGCGCTTGACCAGTACTTTGCAACGGCCCAATTCAACTTCACTAAAGATACCTACATTACAGCTTTGCGCCAGTCGATGGAGGCTGTCTACCTCAGAAAGAGACCTTTGGTCAGTATAGATATCGAGGCGTTTGAAAGGAATCCTTCTAAAGTAACGGAGGTTGGAGTGGCCATCTACGATCCTGAAGGACAGCAGCTCCTGCTTCAGCCGACTATAAAGACACTTCACATCATCATCAGAGAGAACAAGCTGATGATCAACACGCGCTTTGTACCAAACAAGAAGTTTGAGTTCAACGGCGGCTGTTCTTATGAGCTTCTGATGATCCAGCTGCGCCAGTTTCTTACAAAGCTCTTCAACCACTACCTTGTTGACTGCAGAGGCAGTCTTGTGGGTCACAATGTGGATGGTGACATCAAGTGGATCAGAGGCATGGGAGTCAAGTTTGATAACCCTTCTGTGGTTGACACGATGCGTATATTCGGCTACTCCCGGTCCAAGGGCGCCACGCTTCGTGGAATTTTGAGAACTATGGGTATTCCACATGCCAACTTGCACAATGCCGCCAACGACGCCTACTACACTTTGCTCGCGTCGTTTGCCCTTTGTGATCCACAGCAGCGAGAACGGTTCAATTTGGATACCTATTTGACTTTGTACCCTAGCGATCTTCCGAAAAAGTTGCGTGATGAGGACAAAAGGCGTGAAAAGTTTCTGGACTTTGCGTTGTTGGAGTTACTGCAGCCCACTTTTGAGGAGTTCCGTGACTCAGCGCTGTGGTTCAACAGCAAGGTGCAAGTGACAAGTTATCCTTATGATAGAGAAGCAGCCGAGGCAGCTGCAGCTGAAGCGAAAGCAGCGAAAGAAAACGGACAAGCCGAGTTGGTAGTTGAGGTGACGGAGGAGGTGAAGGAGGACCAGCCAAGAGAAGCTCCTCCCCAGAGGCCGAAGCCTAAGCACAAGAGGTGGAAGAAATAGATGGTGCTTCCGTGATGTTTTAGAGAAGGCATTCTAGAGGACTTCGAGATGTAATTTGGACACAACAGAATGGCGAGGGCTTTTTATGGAGGAAGACCACTCGATATGGAGGAAGACCGCTCGATAGGGAAGGTTCAGAGCCTGTCTGACGGTAATACACTGAACTTGTCGAGAGACCAATTGCTCTTGACATTATATGTGAGCGATGGAAACAAAGTTCGTGACTCTCAAATCAACTTGAAGCATATTTGATAATTCAACTTTTGTCTTACTTGTTTGTGACCCAAGAAATGTCTGCTCAGGTTCATGGATGTCACTCCGGGCTCATTGGACATCAACGACTTTGCCAGTTTACCCCACCACAAACACTTGCTGCCGCAATTGACAACAACACTAGAAAATGCTTGCATAGCAAAGCAATAGATCAATAAACCCTTGTAAATAGAAAGATGATCCCTCACTAAGTGATCATCTCATATCAACGCATACGCATCATCGCATTTCGCACCCACATTATCTCAACCAACATGGCTCCAAGGTAAGTCATCCACCACAATCTTCCAGCATTTCTAACAAACCCAGCAAAGCCGCGTCAGGCTCAATTAAGAAAAGCGCCAAGAAAGCCGCTAAAGAACCCACTTTCCAGTACCCCAGGGTAGAGTGCAAGTTCAAGTTTGGTGCTCATGTTTCCGTGGCAGGAGGCGTTTCCAAGGCTGTCACCAATGCCATGAACATTGGAGCTAATTCATTTGCTCTTTTCTTGAAAAATCCAAACAGATGGGCTGCTCCCGAGGTCAAGGAGCTGGAAGTAGCGGAATTCAAGAACTTGTGTGAAAAGTACGGCTACAACCCAAGAACAGACGTGTTGCCACACGGATCGTACCTCATCAACATGGCCAATCCAGACGATGAGAAGTCGGAAAAAGCGTATCTTTCATTTGTCGACGATTTGAAGCGTTGCGAGAAGCTCGACATTGGTCTTTACAATTTCCACCCAGGATCCAGCCTTGATGGTGACCATAGAGCAGCACTCAAGAAGCTCGCTCAGAACATTAACAGGGCTATTGCGGAGACGCTGTTTGTGAAGATTGTCATCGAAAACATGGCCGGCCATGGCAACTTGATCGGATCGGATCTTCAGGATATCAAAGATGTGATCGATATGGTGGAGGACAAGTCCCGTGTGGGCGTTTGTATCGACACATGCCACTCTTTTGCTGCTGGTTACGATATCAGTGACGAGACAAAGTTTAGGGATTTCTGGGACACCTACGATAAGATCATTGGGTTTGAGTTCTTGAGCGCTATTCACTTGAACGACTCAAAGGCTCCGCTTGGAGCAAACAGAGATTTACACCAGAAGCTTGGATACGGCTTTTTGGGGCTTGAGGCGTTTAGAGTAATTGCCAATGAGCCCAGGATCCAGGGTCTTCCGGTCATTTTGGAGACGCCTGTGGGCAAGGACGATTCGGTGTATGGAGAGGAGATCAAGCTTTTGGAGTGGTTACAGGACAAGAAGCCTTCCGATGAGGAAGTTATAGAAAAACTCGAAGAGCTCAGCAAGCTTGGCGCTAAGGAACGAGCTGAACAGTTAAAGAAGTTTGAAACAAAGACAGCAAAGAAGAAGCGTGCGGCTGAAAAGGACATTTCGCTGCTTTTAGGCAAGAAAGCAAAGAAAGGGAAGACAGACGGAGAAGCGAAAGAGGAAGTAAAGGAGGAGATCAAGGAGGAGGCCAATGGGGAGCTCGAGGCTGAGCTGAAGGAGTGATGCATTGGATGGGACAATAGTAATGGAGATGGAAAAAAGGAGTTGTAGGTGGATTAATGATATCTGATGGGCACCAACGGGTTTTTACTAGTTTTCATTTTCTGGTGCCGAAGTACTATTTCCCAATTCGTGGTGAATTGGTTGCGAAACTCATAATGTAAGCCGTATATGAGATTGGTTCATCATTGAGAACTTCAATCAAAAAATTAAACAGCATCGATATTCTTTGAAAGTTCTTCAAAATTACTAAACTCTTGAAACTCCAAGTCTTTTGAGGCAAAAATTGTCCAATTGTATGTGGCTTCAATCCACATTCCTGGTTGCCCTACCTCATTCAACTCGTAAGTTCCCATGTAAAGCCCTTGTAAACTCATGACCCTCAAAAAGCCAATAGCCCTCTTAACAGCCTTCAATTCCAAAATCTACAGATCCCACCTTGTTTTCCCAAAATCCCCTAAATTCGTAGCCGTTTGGATGACGTCCACGTGACTTGCATGCGACCTCAGTAGGAAAACATCAAGGAAAAAACTGCAACTACCAACATTAAAATCTCACGAAACCCAGCCAATTGAGATGTTTGGGAGGTCCACATCAGGATTCGGCGGCTTCAGCAGCACCGCCAACAACCTGTCCTCTCCGTTCCTGTCGAACACTAACAATAATACAACGACCTCGCCGTTTGGTCAAAGTAACAACACCGGCAGTGCTTTTGGGTCGAGTTCAGGAGGTGGCCTTTTTGGCGCCAACAACAACACTGCCAACAATAATAACTCAGCTTTTGGTGGCTCGGGCACATCAGCATTTGGCTCCAATAACAACACGGCCAACACTGGTGGAAGTGCATTCGGATCCTCCAATACTGGGTTTGGATCTTCTGGCGGATCGGTATTTGGAAGCAGCAACAACAACACCACGCAAGCAAATGCCTCTCCTTTTGGAAGCAGTAGCAACACTGGAGGAGGAGCGTTCGGTAGCAGCAATACCGGTGGTGGTCTTTTTGGAAGCAGTGCCAACAAACCCTTTGGCTCCAGTTTTGGTACACCTCAAAACAACTCTGTCTCGCCATTCGGTGGAGCTGCTACTACCACTGGTTTTGGAGCTGCTGGTGCCTCCAATGACAACAATGGTACCGCTGTGAAACCATTCACTCCCTTCCTGGAAAAAGACTCCTCGGGAACCAATTTATACCATAACGTTTCGAACATGCCAGAGTACAGTAACTTCTCTTTCGATGAGTTGCGTCTCAAGGACTACGAACAGGGCAGACGCTACGGTAACGGCAATACTGGAACCGGTACAGGCTTTGGTGCGAACCAACAACAACTGGGCGGTTTTGGCTTTGGTGCCAACACAGGAAACACTGGCTCTGCTTTTGGCGGAGGCAATTCTGCCTTTGGCTCTAACAACACTGGAACTTCTGCCTTTGGCCAGAGCAATACCGGTACCTCTGCCTTTGGCCAAAGCTCTGGTGGATTTGGTCTGAACAACAACACTAGCGGTGGTCTTTTTGGCCAAAGCAACAACACAGCCAACAACAGTTCGCCATTTGGCGGTAATACTGGAACTTCTGCCTTTGGTGGTGGCTCCAGTGCTTTTGGAGGCGGTTCGTCCGCTTTCAACAAGCCTTCAGGCTTTGGCGGAGGCTCAGCTTTTGGTCAGAACAACAATAACAACACCTCAAGTGTATTTGGATCGAACAACAACCAATCTGCGTTTGGTAGCGGTAACACAGGCTCTGCGTTTGGTCAGAACAACAATAATAGCTCGCCATTTGGCGCCAGCAACAACAATGCCTTGGGTTCCGGTGGATTCGGCTCCAGCAACACTGGCGGTGGCCTCTTTGGATCCAGCAATAAACCAAGCACTGGCTTTGGTGGTGGCGGCTCGGCATTTGGTCAAAACACCAACAATAATAACACCTCCGGAGGTCTTTTCGGAGGTGGAGGCGGTTCAGCTTTTGGCAAGCCTGCCACTGGCGGAGGTCTCTTTGGATCCCAAAACAATACCAATAATCAGAGTTCCGGATTTGGTCAGTCTAATACTGGCGGAGGTCTTTTTGGCCAGAACAACCAATCATCTGGTAACACTGGAGGTGGCCTCTTTGGCAGCAACAACAACACCCAAAACAACCAAAGTAACACTGGTGGTGGTTTGTTTGGAAGCAACAACCAATCGAACAACAGCGGAGGTCTCTTTGGCAGCAATAACCAAAACAACCAATCCAGCGGTGGCGGTCTCTTTGGCTCTAAGCCCGCAGGCCAGACCGGCGGAGGTCTCTTTGGTAGCCTGAACAATACTGGATCCACTGGTTTCGGTGCCACTCAAAATAACAGCAATGCTGGGGGCTTCGGCAGCAAACCTGGTCTTGGAGGCGGTGGCGGAGGTTTGTTTGGTTCTAACAACAACGCTTCTACCGGAACCGGCGGTGGCTTGTTTGGCCTGAGCAACAACAACCAAAACACGGGAACTGGCGGAGGCCTTTTCGGTGGAGCAAACAACAATACTGCTGGTGGTGCTGCTGGCGGCTCTAATACCTCTGGCGGCCTCTTCAGCAAGCCATCCACTACTTTTGGTGGTCTGACTGGAGGCGGTTTGTTTGGCCTGAACAACAACCAACAGCAGACTAACAACAATAACACCTCTGGCGGTCTTTTCGGTGGTGGCTCTTTGCTTGGGGCCAACAGCAACAACAGCAGAACCAGAACCAAAACCAAGGCCAGCAAAGTCTTGTCAACATTGGCACTCAAAACCCATACGGAAACAACAGCTTGTTCCAGAGCATACAAGGCCCTAACCAGAATGTCAACGGACAACCTGAGGCCCCACAGGCTATCGCTGTGAACCCGCCTGCTAAGAAGCGTGTTACGCTTTTAGCTGCTCATAAGGTCTCACCACTTTTTGCTGCTAACAAGTCAGTGCCATTTACCACCAGAAGAAAGGACAGCATCACCTCTTCAGAACGCAAGGAGAACAAGAGGAAGGATTTGTTCAATGCTGATGTCGACGCAGCTATCATGTCGTCTGATATCTTTGCTCCAAAGACCAACTACAAGAAGTTGGTGTTGAACGGAAGCAGTAATGGCAGCACCAACTTGATCACATACAAGGAAAATAACAGCAGGCCGCAGCAGGTGTCATTTACTGTTGAAGGTGAGCAGAAGCAGATTGAAAACTCCGAGACGAAGCCAGAATCTATCGAGCAAGAAGAGGTCGACGAGGACGGCTACTACATGTTGCCTCCATTGTCTGAACTCAAGAAGAAGCCATTGGGAGAGTTGAGAGCAATTGAAAACTACACAGTGGGCAGAAAGCATTACGGTGAAGTCAAGTTCCTCAAGCCTGTGGACTTGTCAGCATTCAACCTCGACGAAATATGCGGAAACCTCATCGTGTTCGGACCAAAGAATGTTATTGTGTACCCTGACGACGATAAGCCCAAGGAAGGCGAGAGCTTTAACATTCCAGCTCAAGTGACGCTAGAAGGGTGCTACCCAATCAACAAGAAGACCAAGTTGTCCATCTTGGACCCCAAGGACGAGATCGTGAAGAAGCACATTGAGAAGTTGAAGTCTCTTCCGGACATGACGTTCAAGGACTACGATCCAACGAGCGGCAACTGGACGTTCACGTTTGAGCACGTCTGATGCATAGTTTATAGAAGTTTATAGGAAATCACGTTTGGGACCGACACGTTATGTAGGTGCGCATCCATCTACATCTAGAGCGCGTTTCTTCACTACCACCATGGGTGTTAAAGGTATGAAAAATAGCAGCATTATCAAAATGATAAATTCTAACAACAGGTCTCAATCAGCTTGTTAAAGAACATGCTCCAGAAGCTTTCAAGGAGCTCACCATGAAGACGCTTTTTGGCAGAAAAGTCGCCATCGATGCCTCCATGTGCCTATATCAATATCTTATTGCTGTTAGACAGCAAGATGGTCAGCAATTGACCTCTGAAGATGGAGAGACAACGTCACATTTGCTGGGAATGTTCTACAGAACCATCAGAATGGTGGAGAACGGCATGAAGCCAATGTACGTCTTTGATGGTAAGCCACCAGTGTTAAAGGGAGGCGAACTAGAGAAGAGAATGTTGAGGAAAGCCGAAGCTCAAAGCAAGCTTGAAGAGCTTAAGGAGACGGGTACTGTGGAGGAGCTCCTCAAGCACGAGAAGAGAACCGTGAGAGCTTCAAGACAACAAAGTGAGGAGGCACAAAAGCTTCTTAAACTCATGGGTATTCCTTATATGATCGCCCCCAGTGAAGCTGAGGCACAATGTGCTGCTCTAGCGAAGGGTGGAAAGGTGTTTGCTGCTGCCTCAGAGGATATGGATACTTTATGTTACGAGCCTCCCTTCCTTTTAAGACATTTGACCGTTGCTGAGGCAAGAAAGATGCCAATTGACCAAATCGAGTACCTGGAGGCGCTCAAGGGCTTGGGAATGGACCGCCTGACGTTCGTGGACTTGTGTATTTTGCTAGGATGTGACTACTGTGAGACTATCAAGGGAGTCGGTCCTGTGACCGCTTACAAGCTCATTAAGGAGCACGGTTCCTTGGAGAATATCGTCAAGTGGATCGAGGCAAACCCCGAAAAGACAAAGTACAAGATTCCTGAAAACTGGCCGTGGGCCGAGGCTAAGGAATTGTTCATGAACCCGAGATCACCCAGGTGACCAACGCTGAGGATGTCAGTGTCAAATGGGAGGAGCCCGATGTGGACGGTCTTGTCGAGTTTATGGTCCAGCAGAAGGGCTTTAACGAGGACAGAATCCGTAGTGGTGCTGAAAAGCTCAAGAAATCGTTGAAGGGTGGAACACAGGGCCGTCTCGATGGATTCTTCACCGTGGTCAAGCTGAGCCCTGCTAAACGTGCCGCCGAACCCAAGGGCAAGGGCAAAAAGAAGGCTAAGCGTTAGAGCCACAGTCAATGCTACAAAGACAGAGATACCCCAACTACAGTGGGTGCAACAAGTGTTGCCCACATCCTTAATGTGTATATTAACCAACCTACTCCTTCGAAGAGGGCTTCTTTTTCTCGGCCTCCGCCTGCTTCTCGGCCTCGATCTCCTCCACGTACTTGGTGATCTCCTCCACAGACAACTGCTCGATGGAGCCCTGAGGCCTCAACACAGTGATCTCGATGTTCTTGGCACCCGTCTGTACAACCTCTAACAAAGACTTGACCGTCAACTTGATCGTCTGCTCGTCGGTCTGGCCCTCCTCGTAGTTCTTCTCCAAAAACTCCTTGACCGTCTTGGCAGAACGACCAATAGCATGCGCCTTCCACGCATTGAACACCCCACTGGGCTCTGTCTGGTACAACTTGGGCGTGGTATCGTTCACGTCGAAGCCTGCTATCATCGTGGCGATACCAAACGGCCTGACACCGCCGGACTGAGTGTATTTCTGCTGCACTCCAGCAACGTACTTGGTCAAGTATTCAATCAGCACGGGATCCTCCAAATTCAAACGGTGGGATTGTGCCTCCACACGGGCCTTGTCGACCAAAATACGAGCATCGGCGTTCAATCCGGCAAATGTCAATACAACATGGCCGTCCACTTTACAGATCTTGGACGGGGTGATTCTAGGGTCTTGTAGCTTCAACGTGGTTCTTTTCTCACAGCCCAAAACAACACACAGAGAGCCCTTGACGCCCACGGCAGACATGCCTCTTTTCACTGCCTCGGAGGCATATTCGACCTCTGTTGGTTAGTAACATTCACTTAGCTATGGAAGCTGTAACATACGGAAAACGTGGCCATCAGGTCTGCGGTTAGTATAAATGATGTAAATTGGACATTGAAGGTTCGAACATACGAGAAAATGGATAATGCACTGTCGTAGCCACTCATTGATATAACTACTGATGAAGGTGAGTGAGTGGTTCTCAGTTCGCCTTCAGAGTCGGTACTGCAGGGCGGTGGACACAGGCGAGTATCTGGGTATGTGGATAAAGAAGGGAGACTTAAATTTTTTGACTTTTTTTTTAATAAATCAGAAAATTAACATTTATAAAGCAATAGGTTATACCAATCTTATTGAGTAACGTCTTTGGTGGCTCTATTACGGTATACCTATGGTGGATGGGTGGGTGCAAATGGCAATTCGCAGCCTAGCAAAATACACATAGTATAGGTCTGCTCACTTGTATCATCAAGCCAACTCCTTATATTTCATATAAACAACTCCCACATTAAAATATCCTCATGGCCAAAAACGTCAAACTACCGAGAGTCAGTAAAGACCACTACGCTCGAACATCCTTTCTATTCCAAGCAGCACATCTCCATCTACAGAATGGAAACCCCATACTAGCCCGATCCATGGCCAGAAACATGGACCTTGTGGCGAAACGAACGGTTCTTAAGCTTCTGCCGCATGTGAAGCGGAACTTCTGCAAAAAATGCCATTCGCTTTTGGTGCCTGGACTTTCGATGACGGTCCATCTCGAAAATCTACTGAAGAACCAGCTGGAGAAGGCTGATGTGTTGGTGGTGGAATGCAACCAATGCTACACAAGTAAGAGGTATCCCGTTGGAAAGAACCGAGACTATTTATTGTTCTGTGATCGGCCCGGCGTGAAACACGAGTAGGGCCTGCCAATATCTGGAGTATACCATAGAGACATACACGACACCTGAGTCTTGCTTCTGATTCAGAAAAGCAATAAGAGGACACTTCGGGGCAAAGTGCCAAGTCCCGCCTTCAGGGTATCCTCTTTCTGTCGACCTTTCACATCCAAAGCTCAGTACGATGACTCCCACAACTCCAAAATCTCCAGACACAGCATTATAATCCCAAAGCACATGGACCATCCATCACCCGAGGCAGTCAACAGAAATACTACCTCATTTGCATGCAAAACTCACGGTAGGACACCAATATCATCACTTTGTCACCACTCTACACTCTCTCATTACCGTCACCCATTAGAACTAAACCCTAAATAAACTTGGGCTTCTGCTGAAGGTGTCTTCTCGGAGGCTGCACCCTAGCACCCACAAAGCCGTATTTGAAGCCCACCTCGTGGGCAAAGATCTCACCGAACCCAAGCATGATTCCGTTGATGAAGGGCAAGACCAAATTTATGGCGCCCTTTTGAAGAATGCTCCAAATATTGAAACTAACGACAGTCTGGCCATTGGCATCCTTTTCTTCCTCTCGGCCGGCCTCAATGATAGTATGTGTGGTGGAAATGTCCTCGTTGTTGACGAGCTCGTCGGATGATAGCTGTGACGAGATCACAGTTACGTCATTCTCCTCCTGAAGGTCAGTCACGTCCGTCGGACGAGCGGAGGGCGAGGTGTAAACAGACATTTGGGGAGTATATGATGATGTTTCTAGTTGGTGATAATCACGAGTGGTGAGAGGATACTTTGTGCACACTGGGTGCAAAAAATGGCTACACCGGTTTTTCCTATATTATGCATTCATATAAAATTTACCTGATCTAGGTGCCCTTCTTGACTCCAACGGACTTGCCGTCCTTCAATCTTCTCTCGGTCAAAGCGGCAATGACAGCAGCTCCGACACCAGAACCGTCCTCAGCAGCAACAATAACCACAGGGTCCTCCTCGCCTTCAGCCCAGCCAAAGATGTCTCTCAAACCCTGGGCAGCTCTCTCCTTGAAGTATGGGTACTTTTCGTACACGGAACCGTCGGCGGCACAGTGAGCGCTCTTGTAGCCTCTCTTCTTGCAAATGGCAGCAATACCACAGACAGACAAACGAGCAGATCTCTCACCGAGCAACTCAGACAATCTTCTGATCACCTTTCTCTCAGCAACAGTGGTCTGGATGTTCAAATTGTTCTGGAAAAGCTCCTGGACATCAGACAAGTTCTCGAATGGGTCCTCCTCAATACGGGCTGGGAAGGAAGTGTCCATGACGAACGACTCATGCAATTTAGTCAAATCCTGACCTTCGAAGATCAACTTCTTCTCATCGGCCAACTCGAGCAAAATCAATCTCAAGAGCTCACCCAAGTAGTAACCAGAAATCATCTTCTCAAAAGACTGCTGGCCTGGTCTGGCAGACTCCTTGTCGAGAATCTTGTCGAATCTGGTTCTTGGCAACACAGCGTGCTCATTGTCGAAAGAACCGTACTCACAGTTGATGGCCATGAGCATGTCTGGGGTGACATCGTCCTCGAGTCTACCCTCCAACTTTGGAATTTCGCTGATCTTCTCGTAGTAAGCACCGTTGACACCAGTACCGAAGATAAGACCCATCTTGGCCTCAGAGTCAGTGTACATGGAGGCAACCATGGTACCAGTGGTGTCGTTGATCAAGGCGACAACCTCAATTGGGATGTTAACCTTGGCAATAGCTTCCTGCAACATAGGCACGACATTCTTGCCCTCAACACCGTCAATGTCCCAACCCTTGGTCCATCTCTGCAAGTAACCCTCAGTAATGTTGTCCTGAGAAGCAGGATAGGAGAAAGTGAAACCCAAAGGCAAGGTATGCTTGACACCATCTGGGAAGAACTCAGCGAGGAACTTGGCCAAACACTCAGCGATGAAAGTCCACAATTCTTCAGACTTGGCGGTTCTCATGTTCTTTGGCAAGGCGAACTTGGATTGGGTAGTGTCGAACTTGTGGTCACCCAAGAGCGAGACCAAGACGACTCTCAAGTTAGTTCCACCCAAGTCGATAGCCAAGTAGTCACCAGTCTCCTGACCAGTTGGGAAGTCAAGAACCCAACCGGGGATCATGGGAATGTTACCTCCCTCCTTGGACAAACCTTTGGTGAGTTCACTGACGAAGTGATCGGAAATCTTGGTTAAGGTTTCGCCGGAGACGGTGAAGAGATCTTCCATTTGGTGGATCTCGTCAAGCAACTCCTTGGACACACCCGTGAAGGTGCCTTTTCTGTGCTGTGGTGGTTTTGGACCTAATCTAACCATTATGTGTATGTGTAGTTTGTTTGGAGGCGAGCAAGCCGGAAAATCTCACCTTTATATGCGTTGAAAAATTCGGGTATCGCTCTCGGAGCTGCTCAGCGAACCTCACTGTGTGCAGACCAGCAACATGCACTAAGCAGGAAACGACTAGATCATTTTGCACGGCGACTTCAGAGCTTTCGATAAATGTATTCTTCGATTCATCTCACGCCCTTTACCGTTATTTTCCAGTCGAAATCCCCCCGGATAAACTGTCTATCAAACCCGTAGTTTTCTTGAGTTGACGCACCTCGATCGTGCGTCAGGTGGTGGTGCATCAAATTTCCCCGATTTCTTCCCCTAAGAAGACGGTTTCGGGTGACCTCACTCCGCGCCCGCCTGGGGTGCGTGTGGGGCCCCGCCTTAACTATGACCAGTACGTCTCAGATGGTCTGCGGTTGTTGCCGGGTGGCGTTGCTGTTTCGAGTTTTTCCGGCTTAGCCGCGGTGATAATACTCCGGCATCAAGTTGTTCCGGTGAAAATAGACGTTGCCGGGTAAATCAACAAAAAAAACTTTCTCGGAGGCACGCAAAACTGTCGCGTCACCTGTACTATGAACGCCCCACATGCTGAGATCATGGATTTCATGGTCCTCGGCCTCTCCCGCAAAGCCTCACCTGATAGTAGCGAGCCAAAAGGTGTCCACACACAGGCTGGAACTGCTGATGATGAGTGTCGATCCTGAAGCTTAATTGGACGGACCAAAGCTGCCACATATGAGGGGCCTGTCAGACAATAAAATAACCGTTGTCAACACGCATCATAACCGCCTAAAACGCTCAGCAAGCATGAGGCTCTGCCAATGCTAAAGATGCAAAAAGGGGCACACTTGAAAGTAAAACTCCATCAAAACCACCCTCCTTTTAGTCTTTTCCTGTATCACCAGATGGCTGGCCCGCAGCATCACCATAAGTCCTTGGTGGTGTCATCGAACTTGGCCATGCTTTTCGCTACCGCAGCCAAGTTCTGCCTGACATCATCGACATAATCATTAAGCTCGTCAAAATCTTTCGTCTCCTCGTTGGTGTTTTCCCTCTCATTGCCAAAGAAAAAATCATGCATTTTCTTCTGTTTTGCCTCATTATCCTTGCGAATAGCTTCTTCCTCCATCCGCTCTATGGGGGTTTGCTCGAGCTGTTCTTTCATTTCTTGCCGGCTCTTTTCGCTGAGTTCGTGATGCCGGCCCATCACATCTAGGAGCCGCTGCTGGGCCTCCTTCATCTGGATAAGCTTCTCGCTGAACTCCTCACTCAAGAAGGACCCTCGTTCCTGAACCTCCTGGGCCATCTTCTTGACATCGTCCAAAACGTCAATTTGTGTCCAGAGCTTGTCCAGCATGGTCACGCTGGCACGTGCCGTGGAGAGCTGGTCCACGGTTCGAAGACTCTGGTTGTCTAGGTTCAGATTGACATCTGTGGTTGTGTTGGTTTCACTTCTGTTCATGTTGCGGTATGGTTTCTGCCGTTGCAGTGTGGCAAATGACGCCATCAGCAGGACAGAATCATGGATCCCGTGGCGTGACATATTTAATATTATTTGGGTGTTCTTTAAAGTTGTAGTAGGAATGAGGGTGTGTAGGTGAGAAGTGCGATATTGGTGATACTACTGCGACCTCCACCATGGCAGTGTGGAAGAAGCTTCTATATGTGGAGCAGCCGTTTCCCGATAACTATACGCCGGCACTGTTTTTGGATCAGCTCAAACGAAATACCACTGTCTCGAAGTACCTGTTTCGAAAGCTTTATCATGACTTCAGCTTAGTGGCCTTATATGCGCTGCTCTTGTTACTAGTGAACCTTAACTTTCTGGGGATATACCTGGGTTACTGGAAAGCTCTGGTGGCTACGGCCTGTGGAACTCTTTTAGCAGGTTTGGGACTCGTGGCGCTCAATTCATACACAAATCTGTACGAGACGGTCAAGCTGAACACGGTGATTTTGCTTATGCTCTTGTTACTTTCGCCTGTGCTTCGATCTTTGACCAAATCGACCTCGTCCGACTCGATTTGGGCCCTTTCCAGTGTTCTTACTTGCCTTAACGTTGTGTGTCACGATTACGCCTTGGAAACGTCTCAAAGCTACAGGGCTGTGATTTCCACAAATCTCAGCTTCACCAACGGCATTGTGCTAGCATCACGGCTTCTGCTGTCAATGGATGCCTTCGTGTTCTTGGTGTTTGCCACCGAGGTCTGTATTCTATTCCCCATGTTCGATCTACGGCTTCGAGAGAAGCTGTACTCGGCTCACTTCAGCGTGATGCTCTTCGTTTACGGCGTAGTGGCTAGCGTCATCTACGTTATTCATGGTACCTGGTTTCTGTTGGTGTACGTTCTGGGCGTAATTTTTGTGCTGATGTGTCTTCCATGGTACTTTATGTCGTTACAGCGGTACAAGAACGAGCTCCAGGGTCCCTGGGACACCGCCAAACCGAAGATCAATTCAGCATAGGCAGGCAGCAGAGAAGGGTTTTCATCAAAGGGAGTTGAAAAGCCCGAAGGTTGATACTCATATCCTACAATACTGTCCGATCCGCCTATAACAGCTTGAAAGTTCAGACAGTCATTTCGATTTCCACGTTCCTTGCAATTGGCCTAATACGTTTAACTTGCCAAGCCATAAAATTCAAAAGCCTCGACAGCTTAGGAACAAACCGGGCCGAGTCAGTAAGCCGTCAGATTCCGCGAAACCACCGTCATCATAGTTCACACAATCTATGCCTGAACTGGACCGACTAATCCAAAAAACCGTGATGGAAAATTACGAGATTTACGCTACTGGTGCAGGAAACGAACGTCACGGCTCCTAATATATCCATATCATTGGCTTAACTAGATGGCCTTCGGGCGTGTTGCCCTTTTGGTCAGTTCCTGAACTTCAGAGAAACGGACATCTACGAGAGATTCAAGAGCCGTGATATCATCGATCGGGCCGATCCGCATTATTAGCCGGGTCCCACGAGGATTCAATGATGCTAAATACTACATTCTTAATGAGCTGACCTGTTCCCTTTTGCATCATGGTAAACTCCTATAGACCCACCTCCCGCCTACAAGGCCCTTCCTAGACTGCCTATTACCTTGAAGAACCAGAGATGCTCCCTACAAACCGAGGAGTACAACACCCTCAAAGACAATGATATTGTATACATTGTCGACGACAACTCCCTGATGAGATGGGTGGATAGAAAGCTGGGGATTGTACCCTGGACACAAACTCGTGATTCACTGGCCCTGCTTACCAGTATATGTGCCGAATGGGGCGACCAAGGCCAGGCTATCAGAGCCATTGTTGGACTTATCTCCCGAAGAGATCCAGCTTTAGTTCGACGGCAGAAGCCCTGTTGGAACTGCAAATATGGCAAGCACTCTTCTACGGCTTGTTCAGCGATACTTTGGTGACTTCATCTACGGACAGACCAAAGCGTTAAACATCGTTGTCATCTCAGATAGAGCTTTTTCCGAGGAGTTGGCCAACACGGTAGCCTGGACTGTGCAGCAACAAGAAGTATTCAAGGTGCCTGAGGAGCATTTGGGAATTCAGTTTGTCCAAGTTGGTGCATAAAATACAACAAGAAAAAACCTAAGACATCTTAGCATCATGATAGATGAAAAGAAACTCGGGATATAGTGGATATTATCCCCTGGGAGAGCGGTCACTGTAACCGGTTTACTGGTGAGTACCTAGGGAGAGCGGTGAGTAAATCTGTTCACCGACGCTTATCACCAGGAGAAGCACGAAAGCGCCCAACACGACGCTGGCGGCGTCTACTATGTGCATAAACACAATTTTTAATTTCACGAATCACGAAATATCAAAGTAAGTCGGTGTAGTGGTAAGTAGTAGTCGTGCGCGGCACACGACTTCAAGTGTTTTCAACTGAGCACTCCATAACCAACAACTTCAACAATGGCCAATCCTGCCCCGACGGATCAAAACTCGCTGGCCAATAGGCCTGCGGCAAAGGGCCAGCAGCAATTCACACAAGCTGATCTCAACCGAATTGTTATGGAGTACCTCAACAAGAAAGGGTTCCACAAGACAGAGGCCATGTTCCGTTTGGAAAGTTCCAATACGGCTACGCCTCTGGCAGGAATGCCTACTCCAGCCAGCACTTCGTACCCTGGACCGACGGAAATCTCGCTGGGCTATCCAACTGGTGGCAAGCAGACCAAGGCTGACATAGAACTTAGAGAAATGAGAGATAAGGTCGCAAGAACCGAAAGGGAATTAAGGGATTACAAGGACAAGGGCTCGTACGACCGGAAGGAGGAAGAGCTTCGGCTGTTGAAGGAAGAGGAGGAGAAACAGAAACGGGAGAACGATCCAGACATTTACGCTAGAGCGTACTCGATCCTCAGAAGCTGGGTCGAGACGTCCTTGGACTTGTACAAACCGGAGTTGTCCCGTATCTTGTACCCACTTTTCGTTCATTGTTACTTGGAGCTCGTGTCCAAGAATTTTATTAAGCACGCCAAAATATTTTACGACAATTTCAAGGACGACCACATGATCTTGCATGGATTGGAAGTGAAGCAGCTTGCAGGTATCTCTTTGCCTGATCACTTGAAGGAAGACCCGTTGGCTCAGGCTTACCGCACCAACAAGTACAGAATCTTGGTTTCCAAGACGACGATGAACCTTTTACTATATTTCCTCCACGAGAACGAGGCCGTTGGCGGTGCCGTTCTTATTCGAATCATTAACCAGTACCTCAATCCCATCATATCCACGACTAGACCAGATAAGGTCACGCAAGAGGGAGAGGCCGATCCCGCTGAGGGAATTCCAGGTTACATCACCAGCACAAACGAGATCGAGAAGTTCAACGAGCAGCCCGTTCAGCTTGGCAAGCTACCGTTGGATGAAGATACGCAAAAAGAGGTTGAGGCCGAGTTGAAGGTGAAGGATGAAACTACAGAGCCCGTGGACGGCAAGACCCTCGTGAAAGAGTTTGAAGAGCTCAAGGAACCAGACAAAGATTCACCTGCAGCAGACTCGATCCCACTACCCTTGAAGGACGCTTCAGACGTTAAAAGAATGATTCTCTCCGTGGAGGACTCCCGCTCCAAAATCAAGTTGGGTGCCCTTCAGGCCAGTGCTCCTTCTGTGTGCATGTACACTTTTCACAACACGAACAACGACATGACATGTCTTGAGTTCAACGAGGACTCCAATACCGTTGCCGCGGGATTCCAGGACAGCTTCATCAAATTGTGGAGTCTCGACGGGCGCCCTCTCAAATCGGTATTCAAGAGAGATTCGAGCAACAACGATAACACCAGACGACTTGTCGGCCACAGTGGGCCAGTGTACGGTTTATCGTTTTCTCCAGACAACAAATACTTGATCTCCTCTTCGGAAGACAAGACGGCACGTCTTTGGTCGATGGACACCTACACCGCCTTGGTTTCTTACAAGGGCCACAATCAGCCGGTTTGGGATGTCAAATTCTCCCCCTTTGGCCACTACTTTGCGACAGCCTCGCACGATCAAACGGCCCGTCTTTGGGCAACAGACCACATCTACCCATTGCGTATTTTCGCTGGTCACATTAACGACGTGGACTGCGTTGAATTCCATCCAAATTCCAACTACGTTTTCACAGGCTCCTCAGACAAGACCGCCAGAATGTGGGATGTGCAGACCGGTAACGCCGTGCGTATTTTCATGGGACACACTGGTGCTGTCAACTGTATGGCCGTTTCACCCGACGGTAGATGGGTGGCTACTGCAGGTGAAGACACTGTGATTAATATCTGGGATGCTGGTTCTGGTCGTCGCTTAAAGAGTATGAGAGGTCACGGACGTTCCTCTATTTATTCTTTGGCATTCAGTCGCGATGGTGGTGTTCTTGTCAGTGGTGCATCTGATAATACCGTTAGAGTCTGGGACGTCAAGAGAAACACTAATGACGCGGGCCCTACACCTGAGCCATTGAACGGTGAAGGCATAAACGGCAGCAGCTTGACGTCATCTTCGGGCAGCGAGGGAAAGAAGCCTGCCGAAAGAGTAAGCAGAAAGGAAATTGTCGCCACGAGCGACCACATGACGGCATACTTTACAAAAAAGACACCCGTGTATAAGGTACACTTTTCGAGAAGGAACCTTTGTCTTGCTGGAGGCTCGCTTCAGATCTAAGCATTCACGGCATTTGAGGTCGACCCACGAGGTGACGTTACAATATACAGCGCGTCCAGTGCTGGCTTGTTTCAGCCTTAGAGGCAGTATTTTTGACCGGCCCCTATCAGTTCGCAGTGTGTATCTACAATGGCTTTTGTGAGCTAAATGGCTATGTTATCACACAGCCACCCAGCAAGCACCAGCTAGGCTATGTCCAGAACAAAGTGCTACGAGGGTGGAACAATATGCAAAATAATTTCTGAAACAATCAAAATTATGCCAGTGATGGATATCGTTCGGGCAGTTTGCCGTTGCAGTCTTGCGACATAGTCGGCAAAACGACAGTTCGCACTTGGTCCCATTTGCAGCAGGGTCCAAGGTACACCACCTACAAAATAGGAAGGTCGCCAGGAACAACTCATTCACGGTGCATAGGTGGTCAGGGGTGCAGGTTTTGACAGGCAGTGCAGTTCCCACTCGCGTTTGCGGAATGGCTGCAAAGCCATCAAGGTGTGCAAAACACCTCCATAGAAGTGCCCACCACTGCCTCTGAGGCTATACGGTCTTTGGGTATAAATACAGAGGGAAACGAGACCAGAGGAAGCAGAAAGCACAAACTTACAAACTCAATCAAAAAGAAAAATGCAATTCTCCCACATTCTTGCCTTGGCCTCTGTTTTGGCCTTCACCAATGCTATCTCCGGCGAGGGCGCCGGTGGAGGTGACTCTTCCAGCGGCGGCTCCAGCGGTGGTTCTGGTGACTCTTCCAGCGGCGGTTCCAGCGGTGGTTCTGGTGACTCTTCCAGCGGCGGCTCCAGCGGCGGCTCCAGCGGTGGATCCAGTGGCGGATCCAGTGAGGGCGGTTCCAGTGGCTCTTCTGGTTCTTCCGGTGACTCTTCTTCTGGTGGTTCCTCTGGTGGTTCCTCCGGTGGTGACTCGTCCAGCGGTTCCTCTGGTTCCTCTGGCTCTTCTGGTGGACTCGCTGGCTTGGGTTCTTCCGGATCTTCTGAGTCTGCTTCGCCATCTGGCTCCTCCGGTTCTTCCGGCAGCCTGGCTAGCGGCATTGCTGGCTCTGCCGCCTCTGACTCCTCCGACTCCTCGTCTTCTGGCTCCTCCGGTTCTTCTGGATCTTCCGGTTCCCTGAGCAAGTCTGGCTCTTCTGACGCTTCTGCCAATCCTTCCGCTTCTGCCAGTGCTGCTGCTGGTGGCAAGACCGCTGGCGGTGCTGTGGCTGTGGCTGCCATTGTGGGCAACTTGTTGCTCTAAGTTATTAAATAGATGTAATGAACATCGAGAAGAATCAAGAGTAGGACCTACACTGTCGAAACGCTAAAGGCAGTAAGCACATGAGAGCCCCATAGCGATGCAGATCCTGACGATCCTTTCGTTTATGGGACCATCAACTCTAGAATCACCACCTTCTATCTATGTAACGTTACAGCAAATACGGCCATTTCAACAATCACATTATTGTCTTTGTATATGCACCTGCTTGGAAAAAACGCTCAACCCAAGACGCAAAAGTCTTCTTCCACCAAATCACACTATTTCCCCACAAATCCCAAAAAGCCATAAAACACCATCCTTTCAGCCATATCCCATCTATAATAGGAAATTCCACTTAATCAGATGAAGTTTACAAAAAAAGAAAAAAACATCTAAGCTCTCACACGGATATGGCTCACATACAGCCTCGTCTATACTTGGTAAGACAGGAGGGCGTCTGACAGGAAACCCCTAACCGTTAGAGGAAGTGGGAGACGCAAACGGTGATTGGTCAATCCGAATGACGAATGGACGAAATCTGATAAAAATAAAACGAGGAGCAATCATCCACAAAAAAAAAAAAAAAAAAGCTATCCTCGCTACGGCTAAAGAGGGAAGAGGGCAATTCGATTATCAGCCTAGGTGGGGCTCAGTGGAAAGGCGGTATCAGCAAAAGCGGCTAAATCATGGAGTACGACCCTTCGGCGATTCCTTTGCATACTTCCACGACAACTCTCCAGTAAGCAAAATGAATCATTTTTGTACGCAGAAACAATTGTTTTTCTTCACTGTACCTGTAAGTGCTCAGGACCACTGGGTTTGTATTTTTACGGCTGTACTGCCGAGGCTGTTTTTTCTTCACTTTCCCCACATTTCTTGCGTTTACCGTTTGTGCACACGACTGGTCCCTTTAAGCGGGATATCGGCGCAGATCCATCCATATCTTTGTGACACAGATTGAAGATTTTTTTTTTTTCGCAACCGTGAATGCCCCCTCTCTTTCGCACCTCTTTCTCTTTTTTTCTCTGTATGGCGATCTGCTCAATGCATAGCGCATGCCTAATAGAGAAGTGGATACTGCACACAACGTACCCTCAGCTGTGATCTTGCCTGTTTGGGCAAATTGATGGATCCCATTCTGTCGTTCGGCACAGATCATACCTTGCCTGTTGGCGTCACATTGCCTCTCCAGAAAAATCCTCTAGACGCAGAGCTTCCCCTCAACGACATATAAATACGAGCCGACCCGCCCGGTCTTCGCCACCAACAACCTACCTTTTTTTGTTCCCAAATCCTCCACTTTTCGTCCACTTATCACAATGAAGATTGCATCCCTTGCCAGCGTGCTCGCCCTTGCTGCCTCCGGTGTCAAAGCCGCCAACTCTGACGATGCTGAGTTCTTGACCAAGTTGGTCTCTGACTACGACTCCCACAAGACGCAGTATCTTGCTTTCGCTAAAACTGCTTCTGCTCCATCTGAACTCACAGAGTTGGCCACTCAGGTTGCCACTTACAAGGACGACTCATACACGACGCTCTTGGACAACTCGGACTACGACATCTCTGCCTTGAAGGACTTCGCCACCGAGTTGCCTTGGTACTCCAGAATCAAGGGCTCTGGCTCCTCTGGCTCTAGCTCCGAGTCTGGTTCTTCCGACAGCTCCAAATCTACCAGCGCTGGCGGAGCCGGCTCTGCCATGGTTGCACCTGTGGGAGCTGCTCTCGGTGCTTTTGCTCTCGCCTTGTTGTAAATTAGTTGTATACCCAGAAAATGCATTTGAAGACGTTGAAACTATTGTTGTAGCTAGTGGCTGTTGGCTGCAGCGGACTCTGGCGCCGTCATGAACAAGAGAAGATGCTTTAGGTTCCACAAAAGGTTATCAATGCCTTCGGAAGGCAGTGTTAGCCGCTTTGCTTTGTGGTCGAAAAGCTGTGAGTAAAGATTGGAAGCAGCGTCGATCAACGTGACCAAGTTCTTGTTAAGAAGATGTAGGCCCTGCTCGAACTTGATATTTTTAAGCTGCGTTCGGCGCCCGTTGGAATCCACCACTTTTTCACTGTGCCTTGCATCAAAAAATAACGGGTACGTCACTTTGACAGATTTTCTCGTGCTGTCTGCAAGGTGGTCCACCACTGTGCTGCGACTGCCCAAGTACTTCATAGCGTAGTTAAGCAGCACCCCTAGTATATCAGCAAGAATGAGCATTAAGGCAACAATGTACGAGAGCCCTGCATTGATTCTGTCAACTGACGTCGGGAGGTCTGGGACTTGTGCCTTCAGTGTATCGTAGCAGGTGTTGAGAAGCTCTTTGGTCGAGCTGGGGAAGTCGATTCCCAATATTGAGAACCTCTCCTCACCCACAGATTCTATAAGGAAACACCGTGAGATAATATCTCCCATGGCTCTCAAAGACAGCACAATTTCTGGATTGACAGCAGCGCCGAGCAGCTCGTGGATCGGGTCGATCTGCGATGTGACGTATTCGAGTTGGCCCTCACAGAGATCCTTGAAAGGAGGGAAGTGATCCTCTAATGCTCGCTGAAGATTTCCTATAAGCACTTTGCGTTCGTAAACTTTGGAGCTCAACGTATCGTTGTTATTTCGTTGTTTCGTGATGTATCGGTGCAAAGTGTGGATTCGAAACTTAAGGGCCCTGGATTCCTCTGGATCGTGCTCAGATACCTTCCCCTTAACAGAATCCAAAACCGAGTCAATTTGGTTCAGAAGCTTCATATTCAGCAATGTCAATTCCTTGACGCCCGTATCTAGACTAGTCAAAAGGCGTATGTCGTCCACATTGTAGGACATCTTGGGTACATTTCTGCCTCTAGTCAGGGAGGCTCTCCGGTGAGCTTCCATTATGCTTTTGTTGTTGATGTTCTCAGGCAATGTGTATTCACGCTCGTCGAAACACCAAATGATGCTGTTTTCCTTCAAGTCCTCGTCGTCTAACTCTCTAGACGGCCTTCGAAGCAATGCCAATCTTCGTAGATCCACCACTGCTTCAAAGTGGAGTGTCCAAGAGTCAAGTTTTTGCCATAGCCTAACCACGACATGGTATTGCTGCAGCGGGAGACGCGGTAGCGTCACTTTGCCAAACGAAAGACTAGAAGTCGTGGTGACTGTTTCGCTAACATATAGCGGCTCCATTTTTGGAGTATGCAACGAGAAAAAAACACAGCGGGCCTGCCCTGTGGTTTCCTCATGGAAGAAATCATGAAATCCCACAAGAGTGAGGTCTTTTAGCGAGAACAGCACTGCCATTGGCTCATTAGAGGTTGATATGCGTAGCACGTCGGTTGATAAGGTAGTAGTTGCTAACTATGGGTGCACGGGTGTGGGACTCGTGGAAGCTGTTCCACGGTTTTGAGCAACAGGGGGACGATGTTTTCCAAATTTAATCACTTTGCGGTCTTGAGGCCATGAAGATGATTCTGATACAGGTAAATCTTTGAAGACCACTGGCTCGGTTGAGTTATTCGGCTAATCGGCTTGAACCAGAGGAGTAACCCTCATTCAATGAAAATCAGCCTATAGGTTTTCAAATTCTCTTTTATTGACAAATGGTCATATTCATCTTACTATTCCAAACTGTAAATACAACATCCTCCTTCTACAAAATCATTTCCAGGTTGCCGTCTAGAAAAGGTGGGGCTGTATTTGGCTGCGAAATCGCGATCACTACATCATCCTTCTACACCAGCGATTCATAACTATCACCACTACCGAACATCTTCTTGTTCGGCACCTTTCCTTTTGAACCCACTTCATCAAACAACCTCCATCCAATCATACTTCTAAAATCCTAAATCACTAATCCCCTCGCGGAAATGCCGAACTACGTCTTCAGCCTTGCCCACTTCTGTGAGATCCACGGGTCCTCCATCGTCATTTGCACACAACAGAACGATCTGGACCTTATCAACTCCAGCGCACTGAAACTACTGTCCTGTGCACTGTGTGAACTAGTTCTACCGAACGATGCTGTGAATTTGGTCAGTCTGACCAACAACGGGGAAAAGTACGTTTCTACAAGGTACCCGCTGTCACAGAATGTGTACACGGCGTACGTGAAACTTGTAATGAAGCTGTTGTCTGTGGAGACATCGGCGGATTCGCTGAAACCCGTTTTCTTTGGTGACGTGGCAAACGGGTTTTGCATGAGCAGGGTGTTTCGAGTGCAAGACGTCAATTCAAGAGGAGGCGAGCGAAAGTACGCTTTGGTGATGGGGTGTGACGAGGAGCTGCATCTTCTACGAAACTGGGATATCGTCAGCACGTATATGGCTGAAATCATCCTGGCAATACAGCGTCAGGTGGAGAAGCATTTGGCAGAGGAGGCCGAGCAGCTGAACAACGTGGACAACGAGCGCTACTTGCGGCGGTCGAAAATACGACCCAAGTCGCTTGTGGAGTTGACCAATGATACGCAGATCTTCGTCAGATTCCATCTCTGGGCGATCGAGTTGCTCAGAGACGTCTTGAGCTAGGGGGTGACACGCTGGTGTGATTTGAAAGACAGCTCTACAACGAAAGGTGGACATTGGGGAAGAGTGTTTGCCCAGAGGATGCGGGAGTCTCGTCAATCGTACGACAAGCGCTTCTGAAGCCCGACTTTGAGATGATCAGACAAAACTGGCACGTCACCAGTGACAAATATGAACATATCTCTCGAACGAAATCATTTGTCGGTCTTGGACTGCCCATAGCTGGCGATTGAAGAAGTTCGATAGCCCATAGGAGCGCGATCCTGGCTTCTCTGATACCTTGACAAGACCCACACATACGTAACGAAATGTAATGACACAAATCAGTATTCTTCTAATTAACAGGATGTAGGCCGAAAGAAATTGGAGGAAACTTTCCGTCCAAAAACGCTCCCACACCTTTATCTTAACTACTAGTCGTGTGCGCATAGTTGCAAAACATCACCAACTACATGTTCTTCAGGTACGTCACGCAAATATCTAAGAAAGCAACCGTAAGGCTTCGAACAGGGGTACTAGCTGTATTGGGTATGCCTTACCTACCTTCGGCCATAGTAGCTTTGTTGTCGATCATTTGCATTTCTGGTGTTCTTACTGGTTCGTTCAGCAGAGAGTACCCCAGATCATACACCACTATTGATATGAAGGAATATTTGGCTGATCGTAGTCCTCTCATTGGACAATCTTTTATTCCGTGGCCACTTATAGGCGAAAGTGAGCTCAGCAGACAGTATAAAGAGCTTTCTATAGAGTACGATCCACGTCTTCTTCCAGCTCTTTGGCTTGGTGAGATCCTCAAACTTATAGATGAAGGAAAGTCCATTGAGAGCTTGGAACTACCATTCAAGTGGGTGTCGGCTTTAGATTTGCAGTCGAGTCTACAAGCTACAGATATTGCGTCGGTGGAAGATTGTACAGCGTTTCAGTATTCATTGGGTATGAAACAGGCAGAAGGGATATGTGAGCTGATTGAGCTGCCTGACGGGCTTCCCAACTTTAAAATTATGGGCCCCACAGATGTACCTCTTTCGGAGACAGCCAGGACTTATATCGGTGCCAATTATCTATTACACACCTTGGAAATACCGAAACGAGCCGTATTTCTTGGAGCAGGTCTCCAGAAAAATATACTGCTTGCCGTTTCATTGGTAAGCGATACCAAACGACCGTATTACGAGAAATCGGATATCGTCTCGTTGGTGAAGCGTGTCGGCGGCGAGCAACAAATACTGCTTAGTGAACAAGCATTGAAGATAGGCAGACTCAGCGATGCCATTCTCGATCACATTCGGCTTCCCAACGCACCTAATTGTTCAAATCTCAGCGCTCCTGAATTTCTTGTTCCCTCTATGGGCGATCTTGATTCCACTTTGAGGGACAACATCGAATCAGCACACCCAGAGCAGAAATACTTCCATGAAGCCAGTCTTTTTGGAAGTGGCAAGGGTTTCCATTACGACTGGCGATTCTTCAAAAGAAGCAACTACTCCCCTTATGAAAGAACAGCAATCTTGCAACGTCTAACGAGAGCCTGGCTCAGGTTTACCAAAGAAATCGGACTGAAAGCATGGCTTGCTCACGGCACACTCCTAGGCTGGTACTGGAATGGTCTCAACATGCCATGGGATGAGGATCTCGATGTTCAAACCACGATGAAGAGCCTTCTTGATCTTGCAAAAGACTATAACCAGTCGGTGGTCATCGATCTCACGGATATTGAGCCCACTGGTCACATGTATTTCGTGGATGTCAATCCCCATTTTCTTCAGCGAGAGCGAGGCAATGGTGCTAACGTCATTGATGCCCGTTTCATAGACATGTCATCAGGTCTATATGTTGACATTACTGGTCTAGCTGTGTCTGACGACCTTGAAGCCGTGCAAAATTTACCCGGATCAAAGGAACACTCTCGGCTTCATAAAATCGTCGATCCCGATTACGAGGAAACCGCGATGCTGTTCGATTTTGTTGAAGGGCTTCGAGAGTCCACAGAGCTGAGGCTAAGGGAACTGGAGACAGAGCAGTGGAATGCTGGCCTTCTATACAACTGCAAAGACGACCACTTTTTCCTCCTTGACGAACTAGAACCGGAGAAGACGTACTTCGAAGGAGAAGAAGCGATTGTTCCGTCACAGTTCATGAAGATCCTCAATCGTGAATACTTCAGAGGAACCCGAGCATTACAACATCAAGACTGGTGGTTTTCGCATACCTTTGGGCTCTGGCTTCCGAGAGAGGACTGTGATAAAAGCGTTCCTGGCTGCAAGAAGGAGGATTGGATTTTGGAGGAAATGTATACTCGGCCTTATCGACATTCGCCCAAGAACCGCACGATCGATGGACGTGGTGTTCCAAAAATAGATCCATGGATGTTGGAACGTAATGGGAGATTATCGGCTATGTCAAAGGAAGCATGGAATCAAGAGTGGGTACACTAAAACACTTTATCAGTCCAACACTCGGGTCAATGTCTGTAATCCTTTCATTCAAAAGCAGCTCAACCCCTGGTCTATACTTCCGAGTAACACACATTCTATTGATTTCCTTAATCGTTTGACTCCTCGACCTTCGTGAGGGCATTTCTTCCGCCTTTGCTCAAATCAACACCCCATCGGCTCAATGGCCACAACACCAGCACCACTTTCCCCACCACAAGGCCCAGACTCACAGGCCCAAAAGTATTAGAGTCTATAGAGTGAAATGCATTGTCTCCCTCCACCCACAAGTGGTTTCTAGGTACCACTGTAGGCTTCTGTCTGGGGTATTCCGCTCTCGGACTGATCGTGTCTCCCTGGACCCCAACGATTCTCTTGGTGAGAAGTTTTTCCGGGTTCAGCGGCAGCCGGAGCATCACGATATCGCCTCGGCTGAGCAGAGACCCATTGGCAGCCATGAACTTTCGAACTAGCACAATGTCTTTGGCTAAAGTTTCTGTACCTGGATTGAACGTTGGCGTCATAGACATGCCTTGAATTCGGCAAGGCTGGAAGCCGTAGTCCACAGCAGCATAAAGCACGGGAAACCACAGGAGCGTGACTAGCGCCGTTTTTATATGTGGATGCATTAACTGAGAGTTGGAATAGTGCGACTGGAAATTTCGAGATGTAGGTGAGGAGGAAGAGTCACAAAGGTGGGGTGGGGGTGGTGGAATGTTTTATGTGTTTACAAGGGGCCTTGAGCGAGTGGAAAATTTGACTTATCGATTTTTTTTTTTTTTTTTTCGATTTTTGAGTGGGTTATGTTAAATGGTGGTATGGCTAAGTTCGTAATGGCTGCGAATCTCTATAGTAGTAGATGGAGATGTGAGATGTGACAGTAGGGGATTAGGAGGGGCAAGCGTAAAGGTAATTTAATTATTTGAAATTGACGATTGTGGATTCTGTGTGATTAATGAAGCACAGTGGCTTTTGGGTTAGGTACTGCTCATGCCAGTTGACACATCAAAATGGCAGTAGATGAGACCACGGTTGAAGAAAGAACACAATTAAAGAGAATTAAGCAACATTCACTTGTTTAATTCAAGGTAGACGTCAATTTTCCGTTCGGTGTGGATGCGGTGCTTTCAACAATTTACATTGGGTCACTCGGTTAATTATACTGCCATACATTGGCCATCAACGTCAAGACAAGAATGGAACCATTAGCCAGTGTACACAAAGAAAGAAAGCATTTTTTAGAAAGTATTTTTTATTTCTTTTTGCACTTCTGGAAGTTGCCATATTATGCCAACTGCAGCTGCTATCATCGTACCTGTGCATGCAATAGAGAGCTAACGAGTTATCAAAGCAACCCATTTTTATTTCAATCAGAAAGAATGCAGATTTTGAAAGTCTGGTCAATCTCCAGCTTTCATTAAACCTACTTATCTGGCATTAGGAAATGACCTCCAACATCGCTTCTGCGTGTCTGATTGGCTCACTGATAAGCCATGGACCATGTGCCCCGCTACCAACACCACAAAATCCACGAAATGAGCTATATCCTAAAAATTTTCCAAAACACTGTCCTCGTATTTCCAACTTTCAATCTTCTAAAGATTTCCACCACTTTCTCCCAACCCTTCACCAAGACACCTAATCTGGCTGCGAAACTTCTCACCTTTCATCTGGCTGCGAACTACACACTCTTCTTATCATGTCAGGACTATTAGACCAGGCCATGGTGGAGGACATTGCCCGCCATTGTCCGGGTGAGTTTCTTGCGTTCCACAAGTGTATGGCCAAGCCGCCATCGGAAGCTGACTGTGTGGTGGAGCAGATGGCCTTGACCAAGTGTGTGAAGAGCAAAGTGCCTCTTTTCCAGCAGATCCAGAACACCTGTGCTGGCAAGCTCCAGGCGTACGAGGCGTGCTTGAAGCTGAACAACAGTAACCAGAAGAAGTGCCAGGCTGATCTCCAGTCGCTTAGGGAATGTGCCCTGGGTGTTGTGGGAAAGTAACTAGCTGAATGTACGGATAGACAAGCGGGCTGTAGCCGCTGGAGCCAATGGATTTCGGGAGAACGGAAGGGACTGGGTTATTCCAGAGAATAGATGGAAGGTTGAAGAGAGGATGAGAAGTCTACAGTGGGATATTGTTCACTGATGGATTGAAACCAAGTCAATTGGGACCGACATGAGTGGCTGGATAAGATGTGTTTCGAATCATTACCGTGCTACAATTGGCCACCTTCATTCAACAGTGAAGGCTTTTTCTACACGCTGCCCAACTAAGATGTCATTGACTCATTTCTGTTCTTTTGATTCCTATTTGCAGCCAAGGCGTTGCACTACAACTCATATCTTTTCTCCGACACGCTCTGGTGTCGGGAGCCTGGCTTTCCACATCCATCTCCCTCCCCAATTCTAACTTTCATGATATTTCATCCTCTTTCCTGTAGTGCCAAATTGGCACGAGCCCGATCGACTCAAAAGCTGATCAGACAATCAAAGGTAGTAATATACCCTTCTGATCAACCCTTTCTGGCCAAGTACTTCTGTGGCACATTGTGGAGCTTCACGGGACTGGCAAAGTTCTCAGCGAGCTTCCTGACATTTGGATCGTCGCCGTGGGTACCCTCGATCTCGTGGGCATGGTGCAAGAGCTCGTGTTCAATGTCCTCCTTGTGCTTGATGTGCACATCTGGATCCTGGTCCTTGTGGTACTTGTTCCAGTGATGGTTCTCGTACTCAGACTCAAAGTCCATATGGTGGCCAGGACCATAGCCGAAATCAGGCAACTCCTCCTTTCTTTGCACGAATTCTTTCCACTCCTCCAACGTGATGGTGCCATCGTGGTTGCGGTCCAAAAGGCCCATGACGATATTACTGACCTGAGCTTTAGCTTCAGGCGAAACTTTCTCTTCCTGTGCATGCTCTCCCATTCCACTGCCATCACCAACAACCTCTTCACGAGTCAATCCGTAGACGTACAAAACGTCGTCCACCGTCCAGTAGCCCTTGTTCTGGAGATCATGCATTTTGAAGAAACTCACCGCATCGAAACCGTCAACGTGGTGTTCTTCCTTCATGTGCCACTCCTGCCAGGTCATGCCTTGTGGCTTCACGGGCACCTCATGGGAACCGTGGGCAAATACTGTGCTTAATAGAAGAAAAACGGAAGCAAGCATGGTGTTGAATGAAGAATGAAATCGGGCTTCTCAGCATAGTCCAATGCAGGTCACGTGAATTCAAAACAAACTTGCAATGACGAAAGATCTGGTGGGGTAGTTGGAGTGGAAATGATGTGTAAGAAATGACTTGAAAATCCTGAAAATTGAAAAGGCTTTTTTGTTCTATTTATTGTTTGACTTGCGATCTGGATTCTGGCGAGAACGCTCGTCTAAATCACCATGCAATCAAAATTCCAGCAAAGCAAAAATCTTCAGATTTAAGAAAAGAAATCGAAATCTGCTCGTCTCAATCTCAATGATCGTCCTGATTATGATGATCAATTCATGTTGTGGGTCCGGAATAGACTAGACATCTGGGTGCGAAACACCTACAATCAGACAGACGACCAATCAAGCGCTATATCCTTCTTACAATAATTAGGATAATCCTATAGATCCTCTCTATCACCTTTACTCAAATTAGCGCCTCCATTAGCCTCCCCGGTTTTAAAAAGTGCACGTGACATTCTCCACTAGTCTGATTCATCAAGTGCACGGGTACCTACTACTTCAACATGTCCCAGACTACAAACCCCAATATGCCTGTGAAGGCAGCCGAAGCACGTGTCGGTAGGGAAAACCAACGCTATAATCCCGAAAATGGTGCCCGAATGATCGCAGGTTGTATCTGTCTTGAACAATCGAAGGAAAAGTGTATTATGATTTCATCGTCAGCTCACAAGGGCCAATGGGTGTTTCCCAAAGGAGGAATTGAACTAGACGAAGGAGACGACTTTATCATTAGTGCTGTTCGTGAAACCTGGGAGGAAGCAGGCTGCGAAGGTCGAATCCTCAAGAAGTTGCCTATTGTGTACGATACTAGAGGTGCCAAAGCACCTGTTTTGGAGCAGGGCGAAGACTTTGATCCACACAAGGTTATTCCAAAGCTGGAGTTTCACTTTTACGAGATGTTGGTTGAGCAGCTCAGCCCAGAATGGCCAGAAAGCAGCAAAAGAGAACGTAGATGGTGCACGTACAGCGAAGCCAAGCACGAGCTCCTCAAGGGAAAGAGGGCTGAATTGGTCACGGCGCTTGACGCCTCGTGCATTGTCAAAGATAGCGACGAATTTTAAATCCCCAAAGTTTCGTTTATTTGAAAAAACTGCCCATCATGTTGGCGAGCATGTTTCCTCCGCCTGAGGTGTTGCCCAAGTTCAAGTTGAAGTAGAAGCGACCAAGATAGTCGACAGGGTTAACAAGACCCAGCTGGCTGATCAATGGTTTATAGTTGCCGTACAACTTCATGAACTTGTCGCCAGCGTCGGACTTGTCGAGGGTGGCAGCCAACAACTGCAAGAAGTTCAAAAGTTTGGAGCTCTCAAAGAAGAACAACTTTTGGCCTTCCTCCTCTAGCACCTCGACCTTCTCCTTCTCCGCACCAAGGTACCGAGCGAGGAAGAGATTCACTGCTGTGTGAACAAACTTCACATTCTTTAGATATGCGTAATTGACAACGGCTCTGCTCAAGTAGATGCCAGGATCGCCACCCAGCGTTTCGAACCACTTGTACAAGAAGTCAATGTAAACAGGCAAGGACTCGTAGGTGCCCAATACAAGGTGTAACTCGGCCACAGAGAAGAACTTGTGCTTGTCTTCCTCAGAAAGCTGGGATGCAGCGGCGTGAAGCAACTTAACGCCAAATACGTGATGCAAACTGGAATCGCCGAAAATCAGCTTCGTTTCGGCGTAGTCGATGGACCACTGTAGAGCACGTTTGGACAAATCGCCCAAAGCTGGGTCTGTGTCTGGAAGCAAGGAGATCAACTCAATGATCTTGTTTTTCGTCTCCTTGGTACATGGCGTGGCACTCTCCTCGTAAACAGAAATCAAGTACACGATAAGATCGCCAGCTGAAGCGTACTCCTTGTTCTTTGCCAATATCGTCAGTCCCTGGTACAACAAGTCAATGGCATTGGTGTACTGCTTGGATTTGACGTATCTGTTTGTGATGGTTCTGAGGGTCTGGTGGGCCTCATAAAAGTCCTTGTTGTCGATTCTCTGTTGGAATCTGGCGATGGTTTTTTGTAGCTTGTCAGACATGAAGGTGTTGGTTGAGGTAATTTTTTGTCGCACACATGAGAGTGTTGATATATGGGGTGAAGTGGAGGTCGGGCAGGGATGATCTTTTCATTTTTATGACGATTGTGAGTGATAGATTTAATTACTTTCTCAAAATTCAAGAAGATCCCATCTTTTGAAATATCCCTTAGACGGTAGTGTTGTTCATTTGAAGGTAGGCTATTCCATTTGGCTGCGAAAAGCATGTGGACCACTTGGATCAGTTCTGACATGGAGGCTGGATCAAGATCCAATATACGGAGCTACAATTAAATATTTTTCTTCGATTCGTATCATTTCATTAAGACTAGCTCCATCTTAGGGACTACCAATTCCTGATGGAGCTTCTGACCTGTCGTAGAAGCGAAGCTGTCTTGACCATACTCACTGGATCTTGATTCTTTTTCTTCACCGTAACATGGACAGCGCTGGTAGAGCAATCTTCAATCAATACATTCAAACGCCTTCTGGCAGAGACTCGTGGCATCCATGAATACGCATGTATAATGGATGGGTTGTTGAGAATGATAGTGGCTGGATTGCCAAATTTGATGGTACGCTCTCGGGACATGACAAAGGAAAAATCGAGCCCCAAGACCTCCACAGCTTTCAAGGAGCCTTTGCACTTCTCCATGAGCATGAAAAACATGTGTCCGAGACTGTGATGCTTTCGTTGTCTTCGCTGGTACTTTTTCACACGTTTTTCTGACGAGAACTGCCTCTCATAGTCACCAATGTTCTTGGGCTTCTCTTTTCGGAAGTGAACAAATTCTTATATGGAACATTGACTTTTGGTTTCTTGGAGGAGATTCTGAGCACCTCCAATCTAGGGAAATCTGCCTCGCTGATTTTCTGCTCCAATTCACGTTCCCAGCAAAATACCTCCTTTTTTCTAAACAGCCTGTGGTTGTAAATGACAGAAAGGGAGCAGAGCTCGGGATATCTGGAAGTTGGCAAAGGAAGGATAGATCCAAGGCCTCAATAGTCAAGAACCGCAACCTGACAAGACTCTCCTGAGGAAGATAAAATTTGGTGAATCGGTAAATCTGAAGGTCACGCACAAGTGAACAATCGAAATCATTGAAGCTTTCTTTTTTTCCCAGCCACTCATATCTTCCTCCTGACTTTTCTGTTAATACGACAGGGAGCGACGTATAGAGAAAGATGGAGAAGTGCTTGTTTAGGTGCTTGCAAGTCAGGCGGAGATTGTGAAGCAGAGTTAGCTCCATTTCGTCCTCAAGGATGAAATACCCGATCCTGTCAAGGATGCAATCGGGCAATTCGACGAACTTCATTGTAGTAGGTTTGTGAAATGGCTGCGAAAACTACAGAGGAGGTGTATTTACGAGAAAGTCTGTGCATCACAAAAATGGAACAGCGAGTGTGAAAAAATAATTTCATGCAAATAAAATTCATGATCTAGTCATCAGAATACTCAGGAAAGAACGAAAAATGCAACGTGCTGCTTGAAGCTGCACTGGTAGCTATATCCGGAACCTGTTTCACCTCCTTGGTGGTATTTGTGAGATGTCATTTTCACGGAAGCCGAATTTTACAACATCATCAATAGTAAGCACACCTTGAATCTTACTAATAAAAGATCAATCCAATCCCTTTATTTTCCATCCTGCTTCGGTGACTTCCTGGGTCTCTCGGAGTCAGTCGGCCCTGCATACACGCACCCATAAACCGCCGGGGCCAACCGTCTTCAAGTATAATCTACTTCTCATCTCCAGAAATCCACCATGAGACAGTCGGTTGCCTTGTTGAAGCACGTTCCCCTCATAAAGTTTGTCGGTGGCCCTCACCCACACGGTATGTGAATTCTTGATATTTTCATTCAATTTGTACTAACTCCTAGCTGCTCAGTCTAGCAAACCACAACCCCACCCTTGTGCTCCAAACGGCAGATTGCCTCAGGGAGGCAGCTCAAGCGGATCTGCTCCACTCAAGCCTATTGAGCTTAAGGAGGGCGAGGTTCTTTTGAGATGTGAGTTGTCAAAGAGATTCAGATACCTGCCTCCAAGTGCTTCGGAGGTTGAGCAGATCGACAGTGGTGGAGCCGAGCTTGTCTACTAGACGAAGCAATGCATAGTAATAAACAATAGAAAGGAAGTGATGTAGAGCAGGATTTGGTTGGTGAGGAGGTGATTGAGCTCATTAGATATGGTTGAAGCTGATTGGACCATGTATATAACATGGATGGGAAGAGGTTTGCACGACTTTGGCATGATTGATTGGTTTTGAAAGACCCTGGATTTTGAATGGATTTGGAAGGGACCCCAGTCCGATACATCCGTTGCGAGTGTAGTGTTGGAACATCGGCTCACCACAATTGCATATCTCGGTTATTGATTTTAACGGATCGAGAGGAGGTATTTTTCAGATTCTTGAATCGCAATTCGACTAACTCCATTTCTTTGCTGGCCATTTCTTTTCCTGAAGAATCTACTATCTTGTCATTGAGCCCACCGAGCTACTCACTACTAAAAGTGGATCATTGACATTACCTAACGAAACGAATGTACCAGACAAGATGCGTCGACTGAAAGCAATCATTCAATTTACTGTTATAAATCCTATTTCCTACACATCTGTCCACTCTCTTTCCACTTGCTCTCTATGGCATGTTTCGCAGCAAACGATCCAGATCAAAGGATGCAATTCAAGCCCTAACAGTCAATGTTACAGCCTTTATAGAAATTAAGACCCAAAATTTTCCAATCAAATAATTGTATCTGCCTACTTCCTTACGAAACAGCTCCTACGCTATTGTCGGAGGTACGGGTGCGGTCTGGCGATTATGCCTCGCCACTCTCAACTACAACTATATAGTACTTCTCAACCAACTTATCATGAACCACGATCCGTTTGCCTGGGGCAGACCACGTGACGAAGTCTACGGCGCCTACAACCATGCTATAGCCTCTGCTGGCGTCAAGGAGGCATCCGATATCCCAACGACACACACTCAACAACCGATTATCACTGGTACATCTGTTTTGGGGCTCAAGTTCAAGAATGGTGTGGCCATTGCCGCCGACAATATGGGCTCCTACGGATCTCTTCTCAGATTCAGCAACATTGAGCGTTTGATTCGTGTTGGCAAGGAAACCATTGTGGGAATCTCCGGTGACATCTCTGACTTACAGCATATCGAGAGACTCTTGCACCAATTGGAAACCGAAGAGGAGATCTATGACACCGACGGTGGCCACAACTTGCGTGCTCCCCACGTGCACGAGTACTTGACCCGCCTTTTGTACAACAGAAGGCTGAAGATGGACCCCTTGTGGAACGCTGTCATTGTGGCAGGCTTTAACGACGACAGAACGCCATTCATGAGATACGTTGACCTTTTGGGTGTTGCATACGGCGCGCTGGCTCTTGCCACGGGCTTCGGTTCCCACTTGGCCATTCCCTTGTTGAGAAAGTTGGTGCCATACGATCTGGACTTCGAGAAGGTGACTGAGGACGAGGCCTGCGAGGCCATGCTCAACTCCATGAGAGTGCTTTACTATAGAGACGCGCGTGCGGGCGACAAGTTCTCCTTGGTGGTGTTGACTGTCGAGGACGGCAAGGTGGACTTGAAGTTCGAGAAGGGCGTGAAGGTGGAGAACCAGAGCTGGAAGTTTGCGGAGAAGATCATTGGTTACGGCAGCAAACAGCTATAGATGAATGGAACGATAATAAGCGACGAAATTGTAGGCGGCGGAATCAGCAGCGTGCCATTGTCACCGGTTGGTGTTGACCTTGTCAAGTTGACGATAGACCTTGAGGCAGTGGTTGTAGCTGAACTACTTCTTGATCCAGTTTGTGAAACATAGCCAGTATGTGATAATCCACAATCTCCACCTCTACCTTTCCAACCGAAGCACAATTCATACACCGTTGCTCCGTTAAGAACCATGTCTCAACTTTATCCTCACTGCACTGCTATTACTACATCTGGAAGGACCTGGCATGCGGTAAACCTAATTGAGCCTTCCACTCAGCTTTGTGGCTTGTCTCCAAGTAGACCAATTAGAAACAAGCGGGCAGAAGCTTCATATTAAAAAGAAAGAAAGCAGATCTTGTCTCATTGGAAAATCCAGATCCTTTCGCACCCACTTCTTTTCGTGCCCCACCTTAGACCCACAGCTGCTGCACAGTCTATATATGAGATAGCAGCCGTGCCCATACCTAAAAACACAAAAAATCTGACAAATCTACTTTTCTAGTCTCAAACTACAATTGCCCAAAAAATCACGGCCACCCAGCCCCCACACGCTTATTTACCCGAGCCCAACGCTTATCAGGGCCTGCACATTTTGGCGGTAACCTCGTTTATCTACCCATACTACCATGTCTTTTGATATCACCTTTTTGGGCACTCTGGGTGGGCCCATTGAGGCCAGTACATGTGCCTTATTGGTGAAGCCACACGGCGTTGAGTACTCTTCAATCTCGCCAGCCAATCTGCCCCTTTTGCAGATAGACGCAGGTTCTGGCTACCTACTGTTGGCTGAACTCATAGCTGATAAGCAGAGCCCGTCCCGGTTGCTTCGTTTGTATGGAGATTGTGGCAAAATTGAGGATTACGTGGAGCTCGAGCCGTGTTTTCCTTTTGCAGACTTGTCAGAGAACGCTTTTGGCAGTCTGAAGCGTGTTATGCTGTGTGTCCCCACAGTTCTCCTAACCCACCCCCACCTCGATCACATAGCGGCGTTGGTACTCAATCTGGCAGAAGTGGATTTCAGAAATAACGGTCTCACCGTGTACGGCTCGCAATTCACCGCCGAAACCATCAAAAAGCATATCTTCAACGGGAAAGTCTGGCCTGACATGATATCGTTGGGGACGTTCGCATTGGCTCCTGTCGAAGCAAAGTCCCCTTTCACCACCAACAACGGCATTTACAAAGTCACCATGTTCGAGCTCCAGCACGGCGTGACCCACTCAGATAACGGTCCCGTGCCTTACTTGTCCCTGGCATACCTTATACATCATATACCGTCTAACAGCCGACTACTCGTATTTGGTGATTTTGAAGCAGATAGCAATCTGGGCAAGGAGTACAATCGCCAAATATGGCTTAAAATGGCTCCATTCATTACTGATGGGTCGCTCAAGGCTATTGTTTTGGAGTGCTCCATGGCTACTCAGAAAGAACCAGCAGAGCTTTACGGCCATTTGATGCCCCAGCATCTAATAGGAGAACTTGAGGTCCTCCTGGCTTTCTCTTCCAAGTCATTGAATGACTTTAACGTCATAGTCACACATGTGAAAGACACCCCAGGTGCCCTAGAGCCTAGAAAGCAGGTATTACAAGAGCTTCGGGACTTGGCAAAACAAAGCGGATTAGGCGTTCGTTTTTCCATGGCATTGAGTGGTCTTTCGGTGACGATATAGGCTTGCATATCTTGCACAACACAAAATAGCATGAATAAAATAGCATAGAAGGTTTACCAAGCAACGGTAAATGATATGTTTTGTAGATGTGCATCAATTTCGCTGTCTGTAATCATTTCAGAACCCCTAAATCTCCCACTACATTTCTGAGTATTCTACCCTCGGTAGCATTTTTCTTTTGACTTCTTAGCTGCTATCTATTTTCCCTGGTAGTATTTTTACTGCACCGTGTACAGCTCCGTGACAACATTCAGATGCAAAGTAAATGGCAAGGATGCCTCGTCTTCATCGGCAGTGGTAACGTCCAACACCTGCACTTTTCCGAAAGCGACGTCGGCTTCCGTAACGCCCTCGGTTCTATGGATCTCAATGTCCACCAGGATAGGGAACAATGAGTCTTCGTCAACAGCGGGAATGGAGAATTGGAATGTACCCAGAGGGTTGTCGAGAGGGATCAGAGCCAACTCGAAGACAACGCCGCCCTCAGTGTTCTCGTAGCTCACCAGCGCACCACTCTCATCTTCTAGCAGGACATCATCCAGCTCTATTGGCACAATTATACGGACATTGTCAATGCTTTCCTGCGAAGGATGGGAATCAATGAAGCTTTGAGGAATTTCGTACTCCAATGTGACGTCAGCGACGCCATCGTTCACGCCGACCCATGCGGTCACCAAAAGAGGGACCATGTGGTCGCTGGAGCTTTCAGTGGCTCTCCAACGCAACACACCCGAGCTCTGGTCGTTACTAGGGAATGGCTTGGCCTTGTCGGTCATGGCAATGACACTCAGCTTGTTGAACAAGGCTTTGTCCACCTTAGGATGTGTTTTGTACTGGATACCCTGGACGGAACCAGTCTTTAATAGGATCTTACACTTGGCAAGCAGAGGGTCGTTGATACGCAACAGCAAGTCACCCTTCACCTCTGACGTAACAACTGAGCCCTCACGAGAGATGTCAGCGGTGACCTTCTCGGTGACTGTGAGTAATATACCATCATTATGAGGCTTGGAAGTACTTTGAGGAGCAGGTGAGGCAGTAGCTGAAGCAAAGTCTGACTGGATGGCTGGAGATGCTGCAGCGGCAGCTCTAGATGCCACAGGTGCTTGTGCGGTTTCCTGAGCGGGTTTCACGAGATCGGAAACCAAAGAGGCACCACCAGCGAATGGAGTGTTTGTGGTGAGCAATGGCTGAGAGTGGGGGTCATGGTGGGCAACCTTGCCTGCCTTCTTGCCCAATTGCAAGCCAGCGCCGCTGGAAGCACCCAATTTTCTGGATAACAAGTCAGGAGCTCCGCCACCTACGTCGCTTTCAACATGAGCGCTAGTGTCATATGAAGGCGTGTTGTTGGTAGGGTAACCGTAAGTGACATTGTTGGCAGCAGCGGCAGCGGCGGCCGATTGGGATCCAAACATCGCCAGCTGTTGCTGTTCCATATTTTTGCGAGCAAGCTCCTTACGCTGGATCTCCTTTGCTCTTCTTCTGCGCTCTTCAATCGCCTCCAACTCCTTGTTTCTCTCGATGATCTCCTGGATCTTCTCCTCATGCGAGTCCATTTCCAAGTAAGTTTGAACCTGGGACAAGGTGAGCTTTTCCTTGTAGCCCAATGTGGCGATCTCGTCGAACGCCGACAAGATCTCGAAAGCATTGTCTAGCAACTCTTTTTCATCGATACTTCTCACCACATTCAGCACAACAGATACAAAAAGGTGCAACGTGTCGATATCTTGCAAGATGTTCAGCTGTTTGTTGGTCAAAACAACCACGTAGAACTCTTCCAACGGCTGGTACACGTATCTGACGGATTCGTCTTCCACGGTGGTGTTTTGAGATCCCAGTTGAGAAAGAAGTCCTGGAAAGTTGGCCAAAAGCGCCGTAATTCTGTCCTTGTCAATGTGTCTGAACAGCCTCGAAAGGAGCGCTTTGCCACCATGGGTACATATACAAGCTGCTAGGACGACCATGATGAATTGAGATAGCTCGGTTTGAGTTGATCTTGAAAGTACTGTTTTTTTGACACGCACCCAATCTGTGGCGTGCGCGGTTCAAAAGTGCCGTAGTGATTGGATGTGTGAAGGGGAACGAATTATGGGTGAATCATCAATAACAGTGAGGCAAGAAAGGTCTACAATCTTTTGTTTTTGTTTGAGGAAGCATGGTAAAAGTATAAATAGTGTTGATTTCGGAAGAATTGACCATCTGAGGCGACAGGCCTCTTTAGCTGTTCACTGTAAATGGCTGCGAAATTTTCCATTCCATTAAACTTTCAACGGTCAAAGTCCTAGATTGCAATATCACCCTTTCGGCGAACTAATGGATGGCTGCTTTGGTAGGCTGATCTCAATTACAACTTCAACGTTCCGAAGTATTATTGTTATTCAGAACGACAAACCGCTCACCCCATATACTCTATCAAACCACTACTTTGAAGCCGTTCCCCTTTACTCCAGCACAGCAACCAGAGACGAGATTTCCTGCGGCTGCGACGTTTGAGGTGTCGATGCACGAAGTGCTCTTTCCTTCTTCAACTTCTCCATCTCCAGTTCGATTTCAGGCATCAACATCTGATAGTCAGCTTTTCTAGCCCTCACACGAGCCTCTCGAAGAAGACGCTCTGCATCATCTAGTTTGCCAGTATGAAGCTGGATCACGCCCATGCCGTAGGTGGCAAGAGATGCGGTTTCTTTGATCTCGGGGTATGTAGCCGAGATGGGGATATTGTCACAGCCGGTTGCCACGGCCTTATATGTCATGAGAGCAGTTTCTGTAAGCTGCTTTATGGAATCCTCAAGGTGGTTACGTGACTTGATGTCCTCTTCGGTCAAGTGGTCGTACACCTTCTTTTCAAGCGCAGCTTTCTCGTCAGCGCTCAACTTGGACCTGTTTGTCCATGATTCCGCAGAAACACCGGCATTCTCGGCCCAGATTTTTTGCAATTGGTGAAGCGCTGCCTCTCTTTTCTCCATCACCATATAAAGTGCCGAAGCTGTGTTACACTGCGAGAGCATCAACTTGTCTGGTGCCATATTGGCAGCCATCATATCTGTCGTCAGTTGCATTCTTGCCCAAAGCGCAGTTTCAAGGTCACCAATCTGGTAGCTGTGAATGGCCAAGAGGTCACACAAGGCGAAGTATTCCTCGGCATATGGATAGAAGGCATCTGGATTGCTTTCAAATGGCAAACGTTCCTTGAGCTTCTCGAACTCTTTGTTCCCTGAAACAGCGGCAGCAACGACGTCACCCGCCATCTTCAGCGCTATGTTATCATGAGCCACGACGTAATTGGCGAAAAGCGATGCTCTCAAAACCTGAGGCATGCTATCCATGAAGTCGGCAGCTTTCAAAATCGTCCGCAATGCTCTTTGAATCAAGTGCTCACGGTGGAACTGTGACTTGATCTTCTGACCATACTCAGAGTCTGGAGGTGCTGTAAGCACAAGCAAGTAATGGGTGTTGAGTTCTGTAAGCATGAAAACCACATCGTCGTCCATACCCAAGCGCTCGTACATTTCGGCGATTTTCAATTGGATTCCAGTGTACTCGTCGCTCAACCTGTCCATGCCCAACTTGTCACACTCAGCTAACGCCTCCAAATAATGCTTCAAGGCTAGTTCCCAATCGGCATCACCCTTATTGGACTCAGCCCAGAGACCCTTTCTTAATATCTTCGCCACCAGCAGCGGAAAAGTGTGTTTGGGCCAGAAGAAATAGTATGCAAAGGTTCCCACCGTGACCAAGGCCATGGTGAAGTAAAGCAGCTTCTTGAATCTAGAAGGCTGATTCACATCGGGAAGATGAGGGTATTGATTATAGTGAACATTCCGTTGTAAGCGGATTCTCGGAAAATTCCGAGCAAGTGGCACTCTGCCGGGCTTGACCTGCCTTAATTGTGTTTTTAGCGTTCTGGCAAGCATACCGATTCGATCTGGAGATCTCTCGATTCTATGTGATACTAGGGAGGTACGGGTGCAACGTTGGAATGGCTGCGAAAACCTGGTACTTCTGGAAGCTTGAGTAAGTGAGTTTTCTGGGGAGGGCGCTGGTAGAGTGAAAAGTTGAAATAGTTTTAGGACTTGAATTATAAGATAATTTCTAAGGCTTAAAATTGTGTAAAAAGTTGAGTTTTTTGAACTTTTGCAAACTAAATAGGTTTGTCAACTGGTGAGTACTTACCGGAAGAACCATGAATCGAGAAATGAGGGCTCACAACTTCAACACTATCTACTATTCTAGTTCAAGTGCGCTGGAGACAAAAATGTCTTTGAGGTCGAAGATCATGGCAGGGCTTTTCTAAAATTCATATTGGCTGTATTCCATGTCTGGATTTATAACTAATCCTGATCAGGCTCAGTTCTACTACCTTACCTCTAACGTGCTCAACCGAGCCGTCAATCAAATTGCACCAAAAATTACATGATCAACAGGGCCAGACCGGATGTAAGATTTCATGATGTAACCTTTCATGCGGTCAGAAACAAGTATCTTTGCATTCCTTTTCGTTTTCGGCTGCACCACAGAGTTGGATTGTGTCACTTATGGTATAATAGCTCCTAAGTGTTTGAATTATCGCAACTGATCTGGACCCTGAGCCCCTCGTGAATTCAAATTTATAAGATCTCCTTGAAGGTCTCTCTAGAGAGATGCCGAACGTTCCTGTAATTGAGGGAGTTAGGGTAAAAGCAATAATGTTAGATGCTTCATAAGCCCCAACCGCCTTGCTCGTAGGGCCTCTGAGGTCATTTTACGTACATGAGAAAAGAAAAAAGAATCGGAGAAACGTGGATTATTTAAACTCTGGTGGACCTTCAGCTCTCCGGATATAATTCTTTCCTTTTTCAGGGTTGGCATTAACACCAACATTTAAAAAGAGTGTCTGATACAATGGCATCTAAAGTGCGTTACGGTTAGTCTGATCCCGCCCGATTGCCACTAATAACTTGGTTCACTTGAATGGATCTTCATGAAGCTGCTGAATATTCTGAAACTATCTGAAGGGAAGGGAAGGCAAGGGTTAAACCTAGCCAATTGGTTTTCGAAACCGATATTGCTCAGTTGCGTTTCACGTTGAACGTCTTAGCAATGATGCCCGAAAATGAACACCCAATGAAGAACATTAGACTTGCTGGTTTCAGGGCCGCTATTTGTATCTATAATTTCACTTGATGCTGAATCAGCACATTTAGCTTTGAGCAGTATCTTTTGGTTACCAGCAGCGTGGCATCATAATAATCAAGGGAACAAATCTGCCAATTCAATTGAGCAGATTGATCTTTCCTTTAGCCTCATATCAAATACAGCTTTTTTTCAACTTGCAATTGAGTTTTGTCTGTCCCGGCAAAGGTACCGCTTTCCCACCTCAGACGCTCCGTCTTGCGGCTAAAGCTAATTAAAGACAAGACTCCGCCCAAAGTCCGTGTGTCAATACCCTAAGATCGACATTGTTAAGCTAGCCGAAAGCTTACAAAAATTGTTCCATACATCAGACAAACAGGTGACGCTAGGGAAACACAATGAGTGAGAAAGCCTAATTGGAAAAAGCAAAGTCCGAGCAATTCACATGGGAAGCCAACAAACCAGGAAAAGACCCTGCGCCCGGAGATAATACATAACCAAACATGAAGAAAATGCAATAGGGAAAACGCCACTAACCTGCTCTTGGGGTACGCAGACGCAGGGACAAGAGTCCAGGACGAAATTTACCACATGGGGGCCACATGAGACTCGGCAAGGACAAGCGGCGGCAAAACGGACCGCACATCCTCGGGGTGGTCTCGAAACCGTCGGATAGAAGGTTTGGAACGTGGAAGAGAACAGCGATGAAGCAGAGTTTCCAGAGCTTATTTAGCGTTAAAGGAAGGGACGGAGCAGTGCAGAACAAGTGGTTATAAGTCAATTGGCGAGATAAAACGGAGCAAAAAAAGGGGGATTGTCGGGGCATCTTATGATAATCGAAGGTGTTTCTGATGCACGGGAGACCCCAAAAGCGGACCGCAGGTTGACGCAAAAAGGTGTACGAAAACAAAGATGGCACAAAACCACAGCGTCGGTCAAGACCAAGACAATTCTAAAATTCCCGTAATTCGCTTATCAGGCCAGAGCTCCAGATGGGAGGCGACTGAAGCGAGGAAAGCCTCGGGAACCAAACCGTGGTTCATTAATTTTTTTTTTTTTGGTACTGAAACCAAGCGAGACGCAGGGTGCTTCACCGAGGGTATTCACAGGAGCAAGAATGCACAAGACCGCACTCATAACCAGACGCTGGGAACAAGGCTTACGATGGAACAGATTTCGATTCTGGGCTTAGTGGTGTTCCCCAGTCTGGAACAGGCAATTTGGGGCCACAGAGCAAGAAACGAAAGGCGCCGTTTTGCACCCAAAGCCTCAGTTCCCTTGACAACGGCCACAGTGTTGCAGACGCAACCGCACGGGCTACAAAGGGATTCTGGTTGGTTGCAAGGAGAAACGCCAGTTACGGGAACAATGGAAGCGGTGGGAGCCCAGCAGCACCTGGCAACGGCGTAGGGTGTTTCTGAGGCACCGCCGTGCGGTCACGCAGCGAATACGGTAGCAGGATTCGTTTTTTTTTTTTTTTTTTTTTTTTTTTGTTTTTTTTTTTTCTTATCACAATAATCGACGTTGCCGCTGTTTCAAATGTAACATGGCAGGTGCGAGCTTCACTGACAGGCCTCGCGCAGGTTGCGTCAATAAGACCGAGTGCAAGTGCAAAAAAAAATAATAAGTTGGCCCAGGAGCAAGGAAATGCAAAACGGCACCAAGTGTGGAGAGCCACCTCTCCTTCGCCAAAAATCCATGTTTTTGCTTGTCTAAACCGCTGCTTCACCAGCCTCGAGCAATGTAACGCTGTGCAGCAAGCGCAAGAAGAAAGTGCAGACGGCACCCTCGAAAGTGGCTGCGCAAGAGAAGAATCGGAAAGTTACAACGGGAAAGGCCAAAGGAAACCGGCTTGGCCTGGAGAGGCGGGCCGCAGCAGACGCCCATGTGCCGCTGTGACAAAGGTGGTGAAAAAAAGGAATCAATTACGGTGGAGAAATAATTACGGTGGAGGTGTTTTCGTTCATGTGGGCCACACGCCAAAAGGCCACTTTAGCCGCGGAAGGGTCCGATTTTCGAGGGTAGCTGCAAACCGTGGTTACGAAGGGTTAGGCAGCCTGCTTCCCCAGAAGGCAAATCGGTGGTGGATTCAGGGTGGAAAGGTGGCTAAGGAGTGAAAGTACCAACTGGATGCAATTGATCAAATTCACCTTTTGTTGCAATTGTCGAAAGCGAAACGGCGGCACCCTTCAAGGTCCTTTTTGAGCAGTCGTGTTGTGGTGACGCAGAAGTCTTGGCTTGAGCACTGGCCAGACTGCTAGGCACTGGAGGAGAGCACGGGCTGCTCTGCGCTGGCTAAAACCTTCGGTTAAATCGACCATGGGCTTCACAACGGTGTAGTGACAGACGTAGATACGGTTTGACAATGGCGTGTTTCAACGGCGTTGCATGGGGCATGGGGTCCAGGGGCGGCAGTGTCGGAACACTCCCAGGAGCTAAATACTACCGTGGGCTTAATCTGACCGGGTGGTCCATTGAATGGTTCAGTTAGATTGGCTCGTTTGCAGCCATTGCGATTTCGCAGCCAGTCCAGTGCAGCAGACCCAAGGGAGGCAGCCGAAAGAGCTCAAACTGGGTATTTTTCGAAGTAAATTCGCCAATCAGATTGACGAACATCACAACGAAAACAACCCGTATTAACCCCCCACCTCCCTGGCTTCCTTTCCCTGGGGGCCTGCGTATGGGCCCATCGCCATCAGCATCACCAAACATCACCAGTACACCGCTTTCTTCATGTCCAACATCATCAACGTCTTCAATCCTCCGCCCTCCCGCCTGCTAGGCGACGAGGAGTGCCTCGGGTGCACGGCTGTGCAGCTGGTGGTTTGTCTAGGCGGCGGAGGCTACTTTTTGCTGTCTCTTCCTTTCAAAGGCAAGAACGGCACGGTGGACTTGAGAAAACATCCGATCTGGTTCCAGAGAGGAGTCCGTGGCGTGGGCATTGGTCTTGTGGCCTTGGGCATGTACCGTTTGGGCGAGGTGGTGCAGATCTACTCGAAGCGTAACTGGCTCTAGGCAGTAGGAGATCAGGGACGGTAAATGAACGATAACAGCGATAATCGGCCAATGGCGATCAACGGAGAAAACGATCAATGAATGAATCAATGGATGTAAATAGCAATGGGACTTGTACATACGGATGTGTAGGCTGCCTTACCTCAGGAAGCGAGGCTGGATATCAATTTGAAGTCTTCCTTAGAGACAAAACTCAACAATCGTTACGATACTGGACGTACGACACTGCATCAAAATACCCACCCATTCCAGCTAATCCGATTTGGATGGGTTCTGCCAGGATTCCATTGATAGACGTCAGTCTCCATTGGCCAGTCTCCCCGTCTTCCAACCACTGTATTGTTCCCCAGGCATCAGACCAAGTCCCCCTCCGAACGATCCCCTCCGAATGACTCTTTCTCGTATTCTCCAAATCAGCCAGAATCCACATCGTCACAGCAAGAGTTCAGAGTCGTACAAGGCAACTGTCCCCTCTTTTGGGGACCCTGCGCTGCCGAATCTCCACCTATTTAACTTGCTAATGACCCTGGACCAACCACGGAATTGCAACTGGGGAGGTGGACGGAAGTGTTCAGTTCGCAGCCATACAAACGCTGCCAAGGAAGAAGGAAAGAGGAGGCGGCGCTTCAGCCCAGTGTGAGAAACAAAACAAGGGCTTATGGAACAAAGCCTAGAGACTGGTCCATGCAAAGAAACCCACCCACGCAACACATCCCAACAAGTTTGGAGAGGGAAGGAAACGCCCTTTGATTGAGCACATTAGTGGAAATGGCAGAAACGAATAACTCCGTGCATGCGCCGCAAACACCCCGTTTCCAATATAGAAGGTCCTGTTTTGAGAAGGCCAGACCAGTGCCCAATTGGTCGCCAGGGTCCTGATTCTAGCAACGGTACATGGACTAGTTTGCATGTCTGTGGTTAGGGCAACCGGGCCATGCACGCGGGCCTCCACATCTGCACGCGTATGCACGGCTGCATGGGGCACGAAGTGGCACGAAGTGGCCCGTGGCGGGATCCCAGAAACCTATGAATTCGATAGTGACGCTCTCCATGCCACGGCAACCACGGCAATGTAATTTTTGTCAACTTTGCCCAGGTAGATCGCTCAAAAGTGTCCACCGTCTTCGCTGCCAATTCCGAGGGTATGCGTCTGCAGGGTTGCAGCACATGAATACATCCAGACGCACAGCACCGACCCAGCTACAGATATCGCAGCGCCGGCGGATAAGATGCTGTTTGAATTGTTCTTTTTTTTTTTTTTTTTTTTTTTTTTCTTACGGCTCCATTTAAAGAGCCCGTCCCCAGTAAACCCCAGCCCACATCCATGGGACGCGATCCCCTTCTCCAGCTTCCTCACATTCACGCCTCCTCGATCGCCTCTAGATCACCTCTGCAACCCATCCTCAATCTCCCCTTATCATGGACCAGTTCGTGGAGGCAGACAATATCAAACAGGGCTACCTGGTTCCAAACCAGGAGTACCAGCCCATGGACAAGTTCTACCCTCCCGAGCTAAATGCACCCCAGGGCGCCCCACAGCCAAACGGTGCCCCACCACAAAATCTCCAAAACGGCGTAAACATGGCGGCAGGACACCCAAACCCACCGAATCACCAACTCCCACTTCCCCCACATCTCCAAAACCCGCCACTTCAGCCCCAGTTTTTCCCATCTTTTCCGGCGCAGATGCCTTACTCAGGAAATATGGACGACCCGCGCTGTGTACCTCAGGACGCCATGTCACTGGTGAGAGACTTGCAAAACAACCGCATGCGAGGACTCTACGGCTACCCTGGCGGGTACGTGCCTCAGGTGAACAAAACGGAGCTGCCCAGCCAGCCGACCTCGTCCGAATACAGCCCGATGAAAAAGGAAGACCACGGTCTAGTGCTGCTCATCCCACCGTTGCATGTTCAGCAGAAAAACGCCTCCAAGGAAGAAATAGAGAACCACCACCATGCCGTCACCACCAAGTGCCTGCGTTGCAAAAAGGACTTTGTGCAGAGCTTCGTCAAGGGCAAGAACGGGAAACCCGACGGAGAACCCAAGATCTACAAGTTGTGCCACCACTGTCGAGACTTGCAGAGACAGAGATCCCGAAGGTGGCAGAAGAAGACCAAGGACAAGCAGGGAGCGTGTCGTCGTTGTGGAGGAACCATATCCGAGGAAGAACAAAACTACGTTCTTTGTCCACAGTGTCGAGAGTCGCTACGGCTCCGAAAGGCCAATAGGGCTGCTCAGGGCAAGTGTGTGCACTGCCTGGGGCCCATTGGTGCGCTGATAATCGGGGACAAACTGGGCGAAAGGCGGTCCCACACGGGCCTGTTCAAGGTGTGCCAGCGGTGTAGAGAAAACGACAAAATCAGACGAACCAACTTGGAGCGCATGGGCAATTGCAACCGTTGCGCCAAGGCCTTGGACCCGTCGCAGCAAGGAAAGCACAAGGTGTGTACGTCGTGCCGCCAGAAGAAGAAGAAGGGTGCTCTGCTGCTGCCTCTGGAGCCCGATAGCTCTTTGGGCATAGAGATGCCTGTTTTCCAGAACCACACTGTCCAGAGCATGCCCCTGCAGAACATGCCTCTGCTCCAGCCCCAGGCGCCCATGGGCATCGGCTATCCTATGGCAATGGGCCAGCAGATGGGCCAAATGGGTCAGATGGGTCAGCAGCCGGGTCTTGGCCTGGACTACTACCAGTACAGCCAGCCTGTGCAACATCTTCCGCAGCCCATGCAGATGCCTCAGGACCAAAACCAGTCTTCGTTTTCCGTTCGCGGACGTCTCCAATAGTGCCATTGTCGGAGAAGTAGCGACAATCCCGGTGACTGGTGGACCGTGTGGAGGTGCGAAGTGGTGATAATGAGCAGAGGGGTTGTCAGTGGTTGAAAGTGTTTGGGAAACGGAAATTTTGGAGGTTTGCTTTTCTGAACTGTTGTGTTTGGCTCTGAATTGAGCGTTGGAATATTCAGACTTGCACCGTCAGATGGGCATGCAAAAGATAATTGTCCACGATTTCTGAATTTTCAGTCTTTTCGCTGCTGTAAACTACCACAGCGATCTCTCGAAAGCTTATTTTGAAGCGGTTTTTTTATTCCCCAAATTGCTGCAAATATCCATCCAAACTACCCCAAAGACATTTTCAACGGCTACCCTGGCTTCCCCGGCTTCCCCTATGGCTCGCTGGCATCTCACTACCGCCTCCTCCAATATATTCAAATACCAACGATCACTAGAGCCACCTGTCGGTCTCAACCGTGGTATGCGCCGCCCATGGCCGACTAATCGTGGATCAACGTACCCCAGGACAATCCTACAGCTGCAGCGGTGCTAATCCGGGCTTTGCCCTTTGGACAATGGCGCCTGATTTGGATCGCAGAATTGGTCGAATCAGGAAAAGCCCTCTTTGGCCTACTGGTGTTGACCATACTGCTATGAAACACACAATCGGCGAGACATCGATAAACAAATAATGCAACATTCAGCAGAGCCAGCGGCTCCTGGCAGCTCTAGCCGACCCGCCGCTTTGGACCCAATTCCCCTTTCTACCGGTGGTTCTGGCTTCCAGGTCCCATCTCAAGTACGCTCTACCAGAGCCACAACAGTACATAGACGCCCTGCCACGCCACAGCTAATAAGTAATGGAATTCCCCAGCACGCCAGCCCTGTGGTATCTAGCCTAATAGACTCTTTTTAGACATTCCTGGTGCACCATTTGCTCAATGGCATACTACCTAATCGTACCACACGCACTCCATTTTCTATATCTACAACACCCAAACGTACTACTTCCCAAAAGCACCACCACACCCCGCCACAGCAATACACACTCGGCGCGGGTACCAAAAGAAACATTGGCATTGCAGATTTCCCAAATTTTTTTTAAAAAAATCAAAACCCCCTCTGCACCATCCGTCCTCATATCCACGAGCTGCCCGCCCTGCACTCTCACCATCAACTCACATTCTCGAGAAGTTGCTCTTGAACAAAAAACCAGCTCCATGCAGCTGAACAACCTGTCACAAACGTCCCTCTCCTCTCGGGACAAGGACCTTCCTCCCGTGCCTCCTTTGGACACAGCCCGACCTGCTGCTTTTCTGCTAGCTTCTCCTACAAGCCCAGCAGACGTGCTGGCACTGGAAATGGCCCGATTCCAGAAACTCAAGGCCCAGCAGCAGAAAAAGAAGACCCGTCCGGCGCCGTTGCTCAACTTGGACAAGGCCAAGCAGCCGCAGCTGAATTTCGTGGAATCGTTGAAAACGCTAGACATTCTGGACGAGCCCCAGACCCGAAAGAGACAGACCGTGATCAGCTCCATCTCTCCGACAAAGCTGGTGTACACGCCTTCGCCTCGAGACCAGAAGTTGCCTATATGGGGGTCGGCGTCGCCCGTGGCCACCACGTATGGCTCTCTGGGCTACGATCTCAGAGACGAGAAGTTTGTCCATTTAAAGGACTTAGGTCTGGGCAACCTGGGGGTGGTGCTGAAGGTGCTCCATGTGCCGCTGCAGAAAACCATGGCCCGCAAGATCATCCACATTGAAAGCAAACAAGACGTTCAGACCCAGATCATTCGGGAACTACGGATAATGCACGAGGTGAGGTCGCCCTTTATCATCGAGTTCTACGGCGCCTTTCTCCGGCCCAACAACTCCATCGTGCTATGCATGGAATACTGCAACTGCGGAGCTCTCGACAAGATCCTTCTGCTCTGCGATAACGGCCAGTTCCCCGTTCCGGCGCTCAAAAAGGCGCTGTATTCCATTCTCAGCGGCCTAACGTACCTCTACAACACACACAAAATCATCCACCGTGACATCAAGCCCTCCAACGTGTTGATGACCCACAAGGGCGAGTTCAAGCTCTGTGACTTTGGCGTCAGCCGAGAACTCACCAATTCCATCCTCATGGCCGACACTTTTGTGGGCACCTCCACCTACATGTCGCCTGAGCGTATCCAGGGTCTCACCTATGGCGTCAAATCAGACATTTGGTCCATGGGTCTCATGCTATATGAGCTTGCCACGGGTAAGAGCATATGGGTAGACGACGATGCCGACCAGTCCAAGCCGGCAGGCCCCGAGGGGATCTTGGACTTGCTTCAGCGTATCGTCAACGAAGACCCACCTTGTCTTTCGAACAAAACCAACAAGCTCACTGGAGCGCCGTACGAGCCAGACTTGTGTGAGTTCATCGAGTCTTGTTTGGTGAAGGACGATGCAAAGAGAAAATCGCCCCAGGAGCTTCTCGCCAACGAGCAAGGTTTCCTCAAGGGCGTTCCCGAAGGCGTCTACGATAAAGACGTCAAGGCATGGGCCAAGACAATCCGCAAGCGGAACAAGGAGAAAAACGAGGCCTCTTAGGCTCTGGCATGTAGTGTCTATAAATCATAAGTCATCAGCATCACGACATTAAGTCGCTGGCAAATATAAACGCGTTCATTTTCCGCTGGCAAGCTGGCCGGTTTGTGTAGAATACCCGCCTGGTCTGGCATCCTTGGCGAAGCAAGCGGTTGATATCGGCGGTTGAGTGGCACCGACTGGGGCACTCATTCTCTTCTTCCGTGCAGAGTTTGTAGTCCTCGTCACAAAATAACCATGAAATGTGGGTTCTCGGCTGTTTGACCACCTCTGCTTCTTTCTTGAATCGTAGTTTCTTTTTGGTAACATCCTCCTCGGTGACCAGATCTGAGGAGCTGAGGGTCCCCATACTCATTGATCGGAGTGGTTTTTTGGACTTTGTGGATGAGTTGCTGAACGTCGATAACGTCGATATGAGCTCCTCCATGAGGAATTTGTCTTTGTAGGTGAGTGTGACACGGTAGATGGTTTTGTCTTCGGGCATTCTCGATAATCTCGCATCTGCATTGGCTCCAAATAATGCTACGCTGTATCGCAGTTTCGTAGAAGCTAATTTGGTGTTGATGCTCATGGCCAAAGCGGCCCTTATGGCGTCAGCACCTGGCGCAAACACAAGGACATGATGGAACTCGTTAGCGTAATCGTTACGCACCAAAGCTGGGTTCTTGCGAAGCCGCTCCATATCAACGAACGTCACAAAGAGGTGCTCGAGGTCTAGGTGGTTGATCACCAACAAGCAGTCGTTGGCCTCACGAGTTGCGTCGTTGAGAATCACCAACACTCGAGCTTGTGGTTCCTTGGCCAACATCCCGAGAAGGTGGTCCTTGCAGTATGAGTAGAATGGGAGGGATATGTCTGTGAGGAAGCAGCAGTCATGAAGAGACACCAGTGGAGGTACTTTCAACAACGACAGCTGAGGTTTGGGGACCTTGATATAGTCTTGGAGACCTCCATCGATCGTGTGCCCGTACACAAAGTCTCGTAGGCATGGGAATCTCTTGTGTGACTCGTAGCGACTAAAATCTGTGTGGAGAAGGAAAAGGCAATTTTGGCATGGGTCGTCTGGGGAATGGATCCAGCATGCGGACACGGGGAAGATGAAGAGTTTGTCCGAGGGCAGAAAGTCCGTATTATTGGGCTGTGTGGTTTTAGCAATGATTCGAGAACCAGGCACGACGCCATGGCCTCGAAAGTCTCGGGAATAGTTAACCGCAACGTGTCTTACTCTGAGAAGAGCATCGTGGTCAGGGGACGCAACGAGTCGGTTGAGGTGGATCACAGACTCTTTTAGCCGAGACGAAGAATGTAGTAAGCGACGGATCGGTAGCAGATTGACGGATGTCGATGCCACCAGTGAAGTGTCTGAGACCGGGGCGTCCGGGACACTAATCATGGTAGCCATCAAACGCTAGCGTCGACGGTGATGACAGGAGTAGGCAGGTGTTGGAAAAAAGTAATAAAATAAATACAATCCGCCGTTGTACTAAAGCAGTAATTCAAGTTGCAGTACAGGAGAAGGGTGGGTGCGGCTGCAAAGAGAGCGTGTGAGAGACTTCGCTTAGCTTGCCGGTGTTTGGGGCGCAAGCGGCTTCATGCGGAATGTGACAAAGCTGAAAAAACAATAATCGTCAACACAACAATAGAGCGATGTGATTTCATTGAAGTTTCGATTCTGGAACGACCGGCTGCAGATTTGCCCAAGACGCGTTTCCTAGTGTTCGAATTGAAAGAAGCGCAGCGGGACCCTGTGGGGACGCTCAACTGCTGGCTGAGGCGCCAAAGGCTCGGAAAGCAGGTCTCGAAACGCGACGACTCCAAATTCAGAGGATGGGCTGGTGGTTCTGTGCAGGACCTGATCCCAAAGGTAAACAGCATCGAGTTGCAGCCACCGGGGGGATGGGGTCAGGGGGAGCACAGTCGGTTAGACGAAGGCGATTAAGTAACCCCTTCTTGCCAATGGTAAGAAAAAAGGCCCCCCATGGAGGACCGCGACTTTGTGGCAGAGTACGTAAACGCACTGTCACTATTATACATGTGCGGCCATGCTGAATCAGGAAACCTCATCTTCGAGGTTCTGGACTGGACCACCCTTTTTAAAAAGCTTAATCCAGCAGGAGTGCTGGGCCTGGGCCATCGCCCGGGCTCGCGTCATATCGTGCATCACTATATCCAATATATATATTCCCCCCTCTGGTCTGATCACCTTTCTACAGGTGCAGCTTTTTTCTTCTTTCCTCCTCGTCCGCCAATGAGAGCCGCATCGCTTCTTCGATCATTCGGTCCTCGATCAGCTGCAAGTAGCGCAAGTTTTGATTGTCGCTATTCAGACCTCGAGAGCCGTTCCCAGCACTTGTGCCGCTTCCATCGTCAACAATAAGATTCGAGGCGTGGATGGCACTAGCGGTGGCTGCACGGCGAGCCAATTTGGACTTAGCGCTGGCCAATTTCTGCTCCCAATCGGGCCGAATAAAGTCGGTGGTGACCACACCGACGGCGTCTGCGGGCACAGACGATCTTCTCTGTTTCGGTTTTGCTTTTTGGGGGCTCAATGACCGCAGAACCGGCGTACCTGACGCTTCTTCCGAGGACAGCACCGCATCCTCGGCTGCTGCTGGCGCTTTGTAGTTAGCTGGGGACTGGACGCCTCCAATTCCCACGCTGAGATCTGTGGGAGAGTCGTAAGTGACGCCAAAATTGGGCATGGCACAGAATGGACAATTGGCTGGCTCCAGGATGAGTGTGTGGGGGAGCTCGGCCTTGTTTTCGTTACTCATGTCGTCGTGCGGAGGGTGTGGGTCGAGCCGCTTGATCTGAACAAAGCATTCGCTGCAAATGGGCTGGCCACAGCAGCGGCTGACGTTGAGATAGGGCGGGAAGTAGAGAAAGCAGATCGGACACTCGGATGCCTCGCGGTAGAGCTTGAGGAGAAGCTCCCGGTCGGGCACGTTTTCGTCTGCCTTGGATGCCTTGCGGGCCGTCATGAACTCCTCTTCGTGCTGTTTCTGTACCTCTTTCATGCTGGCCACGAGCTCCCGGACCCTTTTTTTCTGCTCTTGTCTGCGGAAGTAGTTGGCCAGAAGGTGGATCTTGTGATTATCGGCGTCGTCCGGCTCCTCTTCTTCCAGGTACGCCTGGTCAATGGCATGGAGAGGTAGTTGGCTGGCGATGGTGGCCACCTCGTCGTCGGTCCAGGAGGAATCAAAGTCCTGGAGTGGTGTAAAGAAAGGCGCTATTCGTCTGTCCACTATAAGCCCCCGGACAATCTCGGTGTTGTAGTCCAAGTTCAGCTTGTAGATTCCGTGAGGAGCCAAGAACCCGCCGTCCACGTTCTCGTCGTATCTGACGATAAGAGCCAGCAAATGGGCCTGCTTGGTTTTGAGTCTCTCCTCACTCAGCGGCTTATGAGACCCGCTGGAGTTGGATCCGCTCAGATAGACCATGAAGCCGGCGTTTTCAAGAATCGACAGTGTCGTGTGCCTCCTTGAGGATCTCGTGGGGTTGTTGCTGTGGTGGGCTCCTACCGAGGAGGCTCTGGATCTACTCTCCTTGGTCGGAACGTTTCCCATGTTGATGTGATTTTGGAACCTGCGATGGTATGGCGGGTGGGTTGTAAGGAATATGCAAAAAACGTGCTGTCTGTGGTTTTTAGACTTTAAGCACCGGAGTAGTAAGGTGATGAAGAAGACGTTGCTGGCGTGGGGGTGACTGAGCCTAGTCACGTGAGTGGTCATGTGAGACACCAGGACCCCTATTTGGCCGTCAGGGCCCGTATGGGGCATGGTTCTGTCGGAATAAGCTGTACTAGCTAAATTATTTTAAAATATGTATTGATATCAGGCCTACGGGGCTGCTTCGGACGGGAATAATGGGGGTTACCTGATGTCCATTTCCAGTGTATGCAGTACGGGAATCCGTCGAGCGCCTTTAGGTTGATCGGAAGTCACAAGACTTAATAGAAAGGGTCTGGAGACCACGAATTCAGCAGCTATCAAGTGATGGTTGCTTTGCTTAGCTGTATTTCTCGTCAAGGTTTCAGATTTCTTGCATACGGGTTTTTAAGATTCTCACATGTTGCTTCGACGGGAGTAATTTGAAAAGAGGCGCTGCACACTCCATTTGGTTGCAAAACGCAAACCAACGTAGACCCGAAAAATAGCAAATCAGTGAGTTTTCATAATTCTGATGCATCCATCCAAATTACCAACTAAAAACCACCACTTTCACAAAATCTCACAATTTTACAGCGTTCAGGGGCTGTTGGTGGGCCCCAGTGGATTTACCTATTGTCTCACTATAAGCACCGAGCGTCTTCGATTGCTCTGCAAAGGTATCGCAAAACCGACAGTGTCTGGGCTGGACCATTGGAAAATTCCATTTTTCCGCTTGTGTCTCAGACTTAGTATGTCAAGTTTGAAAGATTGCGGGTGATACGTGGAAATGGAAAGCGGCCTTGAGCTGGATCGAGCCAGCATAGACACATAACGGCGAATCCAGTGATGTCATCATTGAGCTCAATGTGACGTATTGCCAAATTAACTAATGTATGCTACAATACTATTGTTTAGGCTTTAGACTATACATATCGCTTTTTGAGGCAACTCTTTTTCAAATGTTCAGCAATTCTACAGTGCCATGACGTTGGGATGTGTATTAATGTATTAGTCGTCACTCGTAACTCGTCTGAGACAATGTCCAGACGATCAGTGGAAGCGGGCTCGTAGGCCGAACGCTATTGCGATTGCTGCAAATACTAGGCATAGCCACACCAAGCCAATGACAAAACTCCAGAGCTTTTGCCAGTATGTGTAGCATGCAAAGTAGCGGCGATTGACGGGACCAAAAGGCACCCGGGGAAGGTAGTGGTGGTAGCCGCCGAAATCGAAAAAGCCAAAGGCTAGAAGGAAGTAGATGGGCACACAGACGAGGCCCATGATCATGAGAAAAGCCCATTTGGCCCATGGTTGGGCAGTGAGCTGCTCGTCGTCCTGAAGAAATGGTCCTTTTTCGATATCGTGGTTGTAGACGCTCGAGTCGTCGTACATGTGGTTGTGAGCTGTGCGTTGAGCCTCCTTGTCTGAGACTCTGGACGATTGAGGCAGAACAGGTGCCAGAGCGTATGGAGTGCTTTGTTCTGCTCCAAAAACGGAATGTCCTGATTCTCGAAGAGCTCTTGTGGAAATTGTGGCAACACTATGGTGGGGCTGGTCGCCTCCAGCGAATGGTCCGTGATGCACAGCTTCTGGTTCAGGAATAGCTTTGGGGACTCCGTTGGCAGAATTCGAACTCAGGCTGCCGGGAACAGGAGGAACGCTCAGCTGGGGAGCATTATTTCCAGCAAAAAGCGACCATCGATTGGGCTGGTGTTCGGCGTCTTGAACCGTATATAGCGTGACCGGGAGCCCCGAGGATGAATCTATACCAGCAGTCAAATTGTTAAGGCCTCTGGAATCTCTGGATCTTGTGCTGAAGCTGACTCTAGATCCGCCTCTTGAGCTCAGCGACCTGCTCGATCCGCTGTAACGGCCTTTGCTGCTTCTGCTTCCGCTTCCACTATTACTGACAATTTCCACACTGCGTAGTCTTCCTAGTAGTTCAGCACTGGAAATCGAAGGACGCTGGCTTTCACGCACAGAGGCATGCGGCGTTCCGTATGAACTGGTGGTTTCGTGGTCAAAAGTGCCCTGGCCTTCGGTGGATCTATCAGGTTTGGCCACTTCGGTAGACTTATCGGGACTGCCGGAGTTATGGCTGAAGTCCTCCATGAACAAGAACCGGGAGTCCCGCTCCGCATCCTCGTAGCCCGAAATAATGGAATAAATTGTCTCTGCTTCCTCAATTTCTGCCTGGGAATGAGCCAGATGGCCCAGTGAGTCTGTGTCTGCAAATTCATCCACACTGACTTCCGCCTGAGACGATATAAGCGAATTCATGGAAGCTGTGAAGGGAAATGACAGAGCCATGTTTCTGGGAGGTTTGACTTGCCCTGATGCGCTAGAACGGGCCACCTGGGCCACGCCTGTCTTTGGTTTTCCAGGACTGCCAAATAGGCTTTGGAACGATCGTCTTTTATTGTTTTTTCCCATCTTTCATGTCCTTGACGGAGGTGTAGTTACTTAGCGAGTGAATTGAAGACCGGAAGCTGGTGGAAACTCCGGATCCCTTTGTTGTTTGTTGCTGTAGCGAATGACTGGGGTATCAATGAGTGGATAACTGAGCTACCGATGGGTAGATAACTGCGTTATTGGGGTATCACGATGGAAGGAACGAAAGGACGCCTGGAAGGGCTGGGTATAAGGATAGTTGTATTGGAAAAAGATGAAATGAAACAATGACTGGTTGTGCTTCTTCGGTCGATGTTCAGATATTCCAGCTTGTTTGGATGCATCTGTGCTTGTTTATGTTGCTTCCCGATTAGGCCAATTACTTGCATGCACAGCGCTTTCTCCAACTCCACAACGAGGTGTCCCACGGTTCTGCCGACTTCTCCGCATAAAAGCATTTGGACTGACGAGCAGAATCCATGTTTTTCGGACTTCAAATGAGTAAATTTGGCTTTTTGGAAGTGGATGTTTTCCAGGTGTCTTAGTTGATGGAAGCATTGCATGCAGGACTGACGCTGGGCCGAGCCGCTTTAGGCAAGGTGAGCTGGGTTATTTCGCAGCCATTTGCAGCCAATGCTGGGCGACTTACGAAAGCGTTAGTGGATATTCTTTGGACCAAGTGGTGGGTTTCACGTTCCGCAGCTCCATATAATTTCATTTGGCATTTTGATTTGGGTTTCTTAATTGAATATTTGAGAGACGAGTTGTAAATCCTCTGTCACACGAAAAGCTTAAGTATACAAGAAAGCTTATAGATGTGGCAGCCACCGAGGCGAGTTCGCCTATCTGAACAATGGCATAAGCCAGCAATGTCAAGAAGGGACGGTTTGTAGATCTGGTTTCCAAAACAGGGCTTCATGAAGATGCTTCTGGCAACAATGGTCGAACGCTCTCCCTCATTACCAACAACATTAGCAAATGGGATTCCAGTAAATTCCCAGATCTCCAGATAGGTAGATCTTTTCAAAGGCTGATCAGTATCATTAACAGTGTAAGCTGAGCCAGCGGTAATGGGATATTCTTTCCCCATGCAACATTGTCTTGTAATCTAGTCAAGATACCTATAGAATGCTACCAAAGAGCTTAGGTTCGATCTCGATTGTATTCGATCTGAGAACTGTTTTATATCTCTAACTTGACGCTACCAAGATCATAACTCAGCTCACAAGCTTTTCACCCTCCAATATCATTAATGAGGTGAAGGGTGAAGCTTAGCTTCCTGACGAAGAAGACATCCATCACGTTTTCAATCTCTGCGCCACAGAAACTGGGTGGCTTACACCAATTGAGCCCAAATTCGAAAGCAGACCGTAAAATGCTATTTTCAAAATTTGTATAATTCTTCTCTCATTATCAGAAGTATGACTGCTCTTATGAGACGCAGCGAAGCTGAAGAACAGCTTCTCACTTCTGGACCATACCCAGACATAAACCAAGTGCCTCCAGCCTTTGCAGTGTCAATGTCATCTTGGAGCTATTGTGGCACCAAGACAATCTTGCAAAATCATGGGGCAAATGTCGTTTTCATGGTCCCCTTTACTCGCCCATTCTGCTCCTTAGCTCGGTGAAAAGATACTCGACCGAGTTTATAGCCGAATACGCCGAGAAATCTAAATCACCTAAGCAAAGAGAGCCACAAGATCTAAGGCGGCGGAGAATACACAGTTTGCGAGGCTGTCGGTGCACATTGACAATACCTACATCTTCAAGCGGCTCGGTTGGAATTGCGTTCGATCTCGTAAAAGCGTCGTACTTTGAAAATACTCAACCAAGTATTCGTGCAATTTAGTTACCTCCGAAATCAACCAAATAATAATTGGCTCTCTGGCGCAGGGTCTCTTATTCTCGGGGCTTATAAGTTGTGGCTCGTGCGCATATCTAGCTATGTGGCTCAAGATTACGAGTCTATCATGGCATTGCGTTATCAATCAAGCCCTCCTGAGCCCCGAGATCCACACCGAAAGATGGGGTATATAACAGGGCGTTTTGCAGAAATCTGTAGTACAAACAAATATGGGCAACTACTGGAAAGTCGCTGGATCTGAGTTGAACGATCAACTCCACTTGAAAGATCTTAAAGAGCAGTACAGCTCTGGAAAGCTTGCAGACGCCAGTGAGGTCGAGAATGAGCTCTCGAAGGTGAAGTACCCTGAATACCTCAACAAAATCAAGTTGGAGGACGTTGCTGTTCATGAACATGTAAACCCAGACCATGTCAAGAACGATAAGGGTCATTTGGGAGACCCTACTTTCAAGAACCTCTTCAAGGCTGGCCTGAAGATTGAAAAGTTTGACTTGTCACCTAACTTGGGTACCGAAATCGACGGCGTTCAGCTCAGTGAATTGGACGATGCTGGAAGAAACGACTTGGCCTTGTTCCTCGAGACCAGAGGTCTTGCCGTTTTCAGAAACCAGGATTTCAGAGACAAGGGTCCTGCCTTTGCCAGAAGCTTCGGTCAGTACTTTGGCCCATTGCACATCCATCCTGTGGCCTACTCTGCCAAAGACCATCCTGAGTTGTTGGTGACCTTTAGAGGAGCAGGTGGACCTGAGAGATGGGAACTGAACTTCCGCTTCAAAACCAACACCAACGCATGGCACTCGGATATCAGTTTCGAGGAATATCCTTCTTCCTTCTCCTTCTTTGTCGCCTTGGAGGCTCCTCCATCCGGTGGTGATACAGTGTTCGTGGACTTGAGAGAGGCCTACAAGAGATTGTCACCTCAATTGCAGAAGTTCTTTGAATCGTTGACGATTATTCACTCCAATGAGGTTCTCCAGAAGGTAGCCGCTGTTAGAGGCCTGTTGAGCAGAGACAAGAAGGTCTTATACACTGAACATCCACTAGTGAGAAGCCACCCAGTTACTGGCGAAAAGAGTTTGTTTTTCTCCAGAGGGTTCATCCACAAGATCAAGGGCTTGAAGGAGTCTGAGTCTGCCTTCATTTTGAACTTCTTGGAGGACCACTGCCTCAACAACCCTGAGATCCAGGTCAGAGCCAACCACAGAGGAACAGATGCCAGGACTGTGATTGCGTGGGATAACAGGTTTTTGGCCCACACTGCCGTGCTGGATTTCCTCAATCACGACACTCCTGCTCGTCACCATTTCAGAATCACTGTTCTTGGTGAGAAGCCGTACTTAGAGGACAAGAGGGTGGAGGACTCCGACTCTGACGGTGAGGACAGACATCCAAGAGCCTACTAGACAGAACAAATATGAGAATATGCTTGATGGTTCAATAGAGTGAAATGATGATTTTGTAGAGTGACGAGTGAAAATAAAGGAATCTGTTTGGAAAATTGCCGAATGTGGGATATTGCTTCATACAGTGTTGGACCACTTCTGGCAAATTTCGCAGCCAATTGGTCCAAACCTAGAAAATATCATCAGCAGGTGGTCATACTCCACTTGGAATTGATATTTGAAATACACGATATGACCAGTAGGGCTGTGCTCGTAATCTTAAGATTTTCTTATTGTCGCTTAGAGAATAGAAAATTCCACAATGAACTCAGCATTCGTAGGCGAGTCGCTAATCTTGAAAATGGCTAAGCCGAATATTCGAAAATAGGGGAATTGGCAGATCCCAATTGCCCGCCCAATGCAAATTCCATTATGAGCTCACCAGGGGGTATCCGTTATTCAAGCCCTATTTTTCTCTTTGTAATCTGCAATTGTAGCTAGACAAGGTCCACAGTGTACAAAGAAATTCAATGAACGGAACTTCGGTGCAACCCTTTTCTTTGCTGATAATTAGGCCCAATTGGTCCAAGTAGTCGACATATTAAGACCACTTTCCTAAATTAGCCGGAGGAGAATCCGAGTGCAAGACTACAATGAGATCCAAGACAAGTTTTATTAAAGTACAGGTATCAAACGAAAGCATAAGGGTTTGCGCGGGAAGAAGAATCAAACATTTGTCATACGGCAAAACAGAAGGGGTCAACGACTAGCGCAGCCCTTAGTAGTTCAACCTGAGCTTCTTGAATTCTCTCTTGTCGTGATACGTGGCGCATGGGTCGGATGGAGCAGCCTCGTGCCACATAGTCAGACTCTTTCTGACGGTGGTGTAGACAGTGCCAACATCGCCATCACCAGCTGGGGCCTGAGTGGTCTTAGGAGTAGAGGCTGGTTGAGTGGTGGCTGGGGTGGTGGCACCAGCTAGGGTGGTGCTTGGACCAGCAGAAGAGTCGGCCTCACCACACTGACCAGTAACGGCCTTGAGCACGTTACGACCAATGGTGGACAAAGTGTCGGAGTCAAGGAGGAGGTCGAGCAACTCTGGGATAAGACCGGAGTTGGTGATGGCAGAGACAAGGTCACCAATACTGAGGTTGGTCTCACCGTCGCTCTCCATGATGGCTCTGATCAAGTCAGCACCAAAGTCGATGAAAGCACGGTCAGTGAGGACGGCAATGACAACAGAGGAAGCCAAGCCAGAGTTGGCCAAACTCTCCAACAAGTTGTCGACAATGTTGCTCACGTCAATATCTCTCTTCTCCATGTCAAGCATGCTTGGTTTCATCAAACCGTCCTTCTTCAAGAGCTCGACAGTCTCCTCGTGGGTCATGACTCCACCCTCAAGAAGCTGCTCACGCTTGTCAAAAAGGTTGCCAAGGAGACTTCTGATAACGTCAGTGGCAATGCCAATCACAGAAACGTAGACCTCACAGTCGCTGAGGACATCAGTGAGCACTCTGCTGAGCAAACCAGAGTCCACAAGAGCCTTCAACAAGGTGGTCAAGTTAATCAGAGAGTTCTCCAAGACCCAGACGATAGCGTTGATGGCAATCTTTCTCAAGTTTTCCTGGGTGACGAAGAACTTCAACACAGTTGGAGCCAAGTCAGTGTCGTCAATGGCGCTCAACACCTTGGTGACAATCTCGTACTCTCTGGCGGTCAACTGCTCGTCCATGTTGGATCTCTTGACTCTCATCTCATCCAACTCCTTCAATTGCAGCAAGGTACCCTCCAAGTCTTGTCTCTTGGCAAGGACAGAGTCCAGGAGGGCAACATCGGAAGATGCGTTATCAACCTGGGCAGGGGCGGCATGGACGGCGGTGGCGGCCAAAGTGGCAATCAAGGCGGACTGACTGAACTTCATCTCTTAATCGGTGGGGGCTTGACAAAACGAGTGTGGGTGGTGAACTTTCGACCGTTTCTTTGGATTTTAAGAATCAGGAAACACTCAAAAATTTATGATGATTTGCAGATACATGCCGCTGGTGTCTTATATATTTAGCCAGTGCATACTGCGTCCAGCAACAACTTTGTTTTGTCGTCAGGATCAAGAATTACTGTATCAAGTTATAACGTGTTTCAGTGGTTGCAAAATCTTTACCCGATTAGGAAGTGACATTTTGAACAGTGCTGCGAGCGTGCAGGCAAATATGCACAAATCTTATTATCTCCTCGATGCGACCTAGTCTGAAGGGGAATAGCCACAACTGCATTGGGAATGCGTCTCTTGTCACTTCCTCGAACGGGTAGGACCCGGATTTTGCGAATAATTTGTGCGGGCCTTAGGTATTGTGGCCTCGGGTGCCGGCCCAAGTCTCGGCAGAGTCGTTTTAGTAGCCAAGGATACCTTCTCGGAACTTACAAGGTTCCGGCACCGCTCGTTCCATGCCAAATTAGTAAACTTGTTTACTTCTTTCTCGCTTGCCAGGTATGTGAGCGTTCCAATGCTTACACTGCTTAAGCATGCAGCATCTTGCTGAATACCCAAAAACCGTGCGCCTTGACAAGGACCACCAGGTTGGCTTAGCAGATCCCCAAGATGAATCAGCGTCTGTCAAAGAAGCTCATTAACAGAGCCTGTTTCTTGGTGCCGTCCGACTTCTTGTTAGAAGGGGTTGCTTTCTTAGGTGCTGGAGCGGCTCTCCTTGCCGGCTTGGGTGCCTCATTCTTCTTGGGTTCCGCCTTTTTGGTCACTATGTAGCCTTCGTCGTCAATTGTTGTAACAGGCTCAGGCTCCTGAGCATCCTCTGCCGTGCCTGCGTTCTCGCCCGCCTGCGGCGTGGGCGATTTGGATGTAAGAGAACGCAACGAGGAACCCTGGGGTAACAGCGGCGCGATTGTGGCTTTGGGCTGTTGCTCGTCCTCCTGAGGCTTGGATTGAGCTTCTGGCTCGACCATGATGGGCTCTTCCTTCTCCTGCGCCTCTTTCGTGTCGTCGTTATCTGAAAAGTCGCTGAGATCGTCCAAGAATAACGAATTGAGATCAGTGGTTTTGGCAGGAGCTGCTTTCTTCTGTGGCTCCTCTTCCTCAGGCTCTTCCGTCTCATTGGAGACAATCACACGCTCCTTAGGCTGCTTGCTCTCCATTTTCCTAGACTTGTACTGGTAACCCGAGCTCTGTTCGGGCTTGCGCTTTTTCGAATCGTCCTCTTTCTGCTTCTTCTCCTCCTTACGAGAAACATAGTTGGATAGCAATGATGCTTGCGGTTTTTCCTTTCTGGACTGGTATTGAAGCTTTGGCTTGGACTCCACCTTGGGGCCTCCTTCTTGGGCTCTGGCTTAGGTTTAGGAGGCTCGACCTTAGAACGTGGTGCAGCCTGCGCCAGAACAGTCTTGAGCGGTCTTCCACGGATCATGCCTAGCTCATAGTAGGATTCTACTTTATCGAAATCCACGGGTCGCCTGAGCTGCTCCAATGCTATGTCGCTTGTGCTGAATGAAAATTTGTTCTGGGAAATGCTGTATATGTGAATGGAGCCGACCTGATCAAACAGATCCAGTAGGTAATTTTCATCAGGGTTTTCCACGATTTTCACGACCGTTTTCGTGCCCTGGGTCCCGCTGGCCACGTACAACGCGTTCAACTTCTCCTTGTTCAGAGAATAGTAGGCATAAAGGATCCGTTTGGCCTGGGAATTATGCACATTAAGATCACGAGAAACTGAACTGAAGGTGACAGTATGAGAATCAAGCTTATCGGCGATATATCTAACCTGATCCGGGGTTATATCCATGGTCATCCTATTCACGATGAAGGTTGATCAGACTACTAAAGCGCGTTAGAGGTAGTGGGAGGAGCATATACAGGTCAATCTTCAGCCAGTCCCAGGGTCCGTGAATAATCAGTATAAGATCGAGAGTTTGAATTTTCAATTTGAAGGCTGATCTGCCGTTGATGCTGAGAATTCGATAAGTTGGAAAAAAACTTGAAAAATTGAGTGTGGGGTGAAAATTCCGCATGTGCTTGAAACACCCTCATCAGATACAATGTTTGGATGGCCACTATTCAATCGTTGTTTTTTTCGCTAATTAGTCCCTTTTCGATGCTTCGTTTTTCTTGAGTTAGTCTTTATTCGTCCATGCACAATCCTTCCCAGAGCACCCCAGTTCGGAAAAGTCACAATACAAGAAAAGAGCATAATGAGCAACTCTCGAAAACCACAATTCCTCATGTTCACCGGGATTACACCCCTCCAAGCCAGAAGTCAAGAAATTTATCCGGGCTATGCTGGACTTCTTGCTTCCCCTCCTATTCTACAATACCACTACAACAATGCGGCGCCAACAAAGGAACGCCGCTTCAATCGATTTTCTTATCCAAACATCCATTTCTATAAACCCTAAAGCTCGTCCTTGCGGCCCAAGTACTTGGCCTTCTCTGCAGCACGGGCCTCCAAACTGCCTCCCAATTGGTTGTTGATCATGTCCTCGGTTACTCCTCCCGAGATAAGGGTGTTCCAGGACTTGATTCTCTCGAAGCCATTGCGGGCGTATTGATAGTCTGTGAAGGCCTGGATGATTCTGTCTCTGCTGGTGGCAACGAAGGGGCCGTGCTGCACAACAGGTTGGTCCAATACCTGGCCACCCACAAGCACAAACTCGGCATCCTTGGTGTTGGTTTCGGGGTACTCACCCAGAATAGTGTCGCCGTCAGCGTTGAAAAAGACATTGTCGAACTCCTTGGCCTTGCGGTCACCAAGCTTGAGAGTGCCGCCTTGCAAAAGGTACAAAAAGAAATTGAAGTCCTTGGGAACCTGCTGCTTGAACAGAGAGCCTGGCTTCATCTTATAGTGGTAATAGTTGACCGGCGTGTAGGCCAAGTCCTTCTCCAGCTTGACGCCCAACGACTCACCGGAAATGACTCTGACAGTGACCTTTCCATCCTGGTCTGTAACCTCGGGAACCTCCCACTCTTTCAAGTCTCTGTATCTAGGTTCGACTTCCTTGAGCTTCTCAGGCAAGTCAACCCACAATTGCAAACCAACGTTGGCTGAGCCGTCTGGGTGGATCACAGGCATCTCGGAGTGCACGGTACCACGACCAGCGGTCATGAATTGAAGGTCGTTTTCTCTCAAAACACCTTTAGAACCAGTGAAGTCCTCGTGAGCAAATGCTCCCTTCAACATCAAGGTGATGGTCTCCTGACCCAAATGAGGGTGCTCAGGGAATCCGCCCTTGCCGTTGGAGCTGAAATGGTCAAACATCAAAAATGGAGAAAAGTTTCTCATGTTCATGTTGCCTATACTTCTTCTCACTCTGGCTCCCACACCTTCAGCCTGTTCGATGGCAGGCATAATAGCTTTGATGGATCTCGTAGTCATAGCGCTTGCAATAGTTAAAAGGAAGCAGAAAAAGATAATTCTCATTAACTTCCACTGTGGGAATCGGCCCCTTATAAGCACGCTGGTAGTCAGGATTTAGTAAATGCACCGAAGACAGCTAGTCAGCGCGGACGGCATACAGTGGCTAGGTATTAGTAAAATACTACCAACTGGTGGAGCAAACCCTGGGGTAATCTATGCAGGAGATAAGCTTGTTTGACAGCGTTAGTCAGATCGGACTGTCCCCGATGACGTATTCTATTGATAAAATTGGGAAACGAGAATTGTTGAATATTCTGGAAGTTTCGAGAAGTCCTAAATTGTACAATGTGTATTTTCGCTTAGACACTCCGGAATTGACGCGGCTGGATAACGGCATTAAGCCTCATCTAGTTGGTCCATCGGTTAGACTATTGTTCCGTGGGGCGTGTTTTGGTTTGAAATCGCCAAAGGTGCATTTTTATTGTTCAAGATCATGAAGTTTTTGATTTCAATGATAAGAAAATACAATTCATAGCAGGGTCCTTTTTAGCGATTGAATATTTTCTCGAGAAGTTCCCTGCTTGTTCCAATGTATAAAGATCGATATCGTTACCCCGGACTTTGAAATTTTTATTTCCGAAACATAATATAACAATGAGTTCGTCTTACGTCTAAGTTTCTACATATTGCTAGCATCTTATGCCTTTAGCACATAATCGTTCATCTATTCATCTACTCATCTAATTCATTCGCAGCAGTGAATGCCAGGCTACACTGCTACTTTTTCGTGGCAAACGTGAAGACCGTGGGAAAGACCACACGCAATGTTTCATCCATACCCACGCCAAGCGCTTCTGCTAACTTGTCAATCAACTCGTCCGCTGCGTCAGGCTTATCTGGATTGTCGTGCTTCCAGTTGTGGTAGCCAGACCAACTCTTTGCCTGGGATCTGAAGATTTCAAGAGAGATGTTTCTCTCAATGTACAATGGGGTATAGCTGGCGCCTCCGTCGTTCTCGTGAGGGTGATAGTAATGTCTCACAATGTCCTTGAACTCCGACTCGGGGGACTAATATGCGATAAGGTGGTTCTGAAGATATCGTGGCCAGGCTGATCGAAGTATGGCCCAAAGAAACGCTCATACGAGTCTCCGTACTTCTTCTTGGACGATTCGTACAGCCATTCAACTACAAGATCAGTGGCCTTCTGGTTGCCCACAAAGACGGGATCGAAGTAGAACCAGTATGCGAGAGTGCCTCCGGATTTCAAGATTCTGGCACTTTCGGCAAAGAATTTTGGATGGTCAAACCAATGGCACGCTTCAGCAGCTGTGATCAAATCGACCGAGTGGGGTTGAATTTCCTCTGGTGCCTGTTCTGCTGGAGCAGCATAGAACCGGATCTTATCGGAGAACTCCACTCTGGGATCCTTGGTGCAATGACCAATCATGGCTGGCGAGAAGTCAGTGCCGATCACTTGCTTAAAGTAATTGAGGAGTTTGAAAGCCACGAAACCGGGTCCACAGCCAACGTCCAAGGCTAGATCCAAAGCGCCTCCATGGGACTTGTGGTGTTCGACCAAGTGGTCGTAGAAGGTGTCCGGGTACGTCGGTCTAGCGGCGTTGTAGCCCTTTGCGTCGAAGTCCTGATCTTGATAGGTAGTCATCCAAAAAAATATAAGGAGCTAGGCCAATTGAGAAGGAAAAGAGGCAGTATTTATAGTTCTATGGTTTGCAGTATGCACTCCACACATCAACCGCATATCCAGGGGTCCAGAAGCAATGCAGACTTGCGATGGGAAGCATAGAATTGGTTTGAATTTTTTTTGTTGATTTCTGATAGGTCCATATTTTCATATTCCGTTGAGAGTTTTCCAAATTTAGCTCAAATGAACCAGTGAAAATGGAACTTTGAACCCTGGATCGGACATATCCACTGCGATGCAGGTAAACTGACCTCGAGATAAGCACATAGATGTGTCAACGACAAACTGATGAAATCAATAACTTTGCATCTTGTATTCATTTAAAGTTGTTTAAATAGCGAGGAATACACTTGTTATGCTTTGCTACTAGTGACTTGGATGCTACTATAATGCCCTAATGATGGCTGCAAAACGGGAGCACCGAGATTTTCGGTAATACCTTAAGATCACCGAATGAGTCAACAATATGACAAATTCAGCCCTTTTGGAGCATACTGATTTAAAAATAGCCTGGTACCGGCTTTTTATTCAATAGCTGCATCTTTCAGCATAATGTGTAAAATCAAAGGTCACGCCGTTCCTTATATAGGAAACCGTTAATTGACATTCAGTGACCGTCTCGGAAAACAAACGATGGGTTTGGGATGTCATGAAAGCTGAACTATATCAATTCAATGCATAAAAAACGTAACAATGGTGTTTCCCGATAGATCATAAAACGGTGCATATTCGGATAGTCTTCCTGCTTATCTCGATGATCAATGCAAGGAATGCCGATCGTGGGGAGCAATGCGTTACATTCAACTTTCTTATCTCTCTACAATACAAAGTCTAATATTTATCGATTGCGTTCCTCATTACATGCTATTACATCGCAGGCCAGGGGGTTATTATTAGGGCTCTGCTTAGATTGTCTTTTTGTTCTCGCTGACAGGAGTGCTGACAGCGGTGTTGGACTCGGACGAGTCGGTGGAGTTTGTGGAAGCGGTTGAAGCCGACTTCTTCATCAAAGCATCCTTTCTCTCTTGTCTGCGAGCCAAGAAAAGCTTGTACTTCTCCAAGGTGATCTTGTTCTGCTTGTCCTTGTACTCTTTGACAAACTGGTACTGGGTGTTGGAGATGCGGTCCCAGATGGTGAAGAAGGGCTGGGAGAAGTTGTTGCGGAAGCCCCAGTTCTGATGGTGGATGTCGTGGTAGATGGCGTTGTTGGGGAAAAGGAACTGGAAGGGGTCCCACGGAAGGCGGTAGCCACAGTGGTCGTCAACGGTCTTCATCGTAGCGAAAACGTAGACGAAGAGAGACTCACGAGGCGAGAGTTGCGTGACGATGCCTGCTATGCCTGTTCCGACGGTGTCGAGCAAGAAGCCCTCTACTGGGTCGTTGTAAAGAGCTCCGTAGGCGTAGGGTACATATAGACGGTGGTGTCTCGAGTGGAAACGCCTGTAGAGGGTCTTGTTCAAGTGCATCGTCCTGTGAAGCCAGTACTGCCAGGTATCGATGATGCAGAAAGCAAAGCCCATGCGGAGCACCAGCCAGCCGTAGGTGTAGGCAAACCAAAGCAACGAGTCAGAAACCCAGGAGGGAGCCCAGTTGTGCTTGAGGTACCATATCTGGTAGAGCTCGTGACCTGTCGTTGGAGGGGGTCGATAAGGTAAACAGCGTAGGCCACCACCAGCTGGATGATATGCTGCACCACAACGTCAAACAAGACATCACGCAAAGGCGCCTTGTTCCGCAGCTCCTCCTCTTCGGAGGGATGGATGCGGTATTTCTCGGCGAGCTCGTACACGTCGATTATATGGAAGAAGGTGGAGTAGGTCCAGTAAGCGATAACTGGAGCGAAAATAGCCAAGATGCCATCGGGAATTCCCGGGATAAGATCGCCCTTGGGAGCAACTAGCACCGGCGGAGGTAAAAGAGCATCGGCCACGGCTGCCAGGATGTTAGCAGGAGGCAGTAGCACGTCCATGTTCAAAAAAGGCAGTGATGTGTTTGTGAGCTGAGGATGCGCAACGCTTATATAGTGGAGCCAGGAAAAATAAAAAGAAACCATACGCAGCTCGGAAAGCACGTGAGGCCAAAACAAGAATAGATGCCACTTTGTAGAAGGACAATTGCGTTTAACGGACGGGTGGAATACGGAAAATAAAAGCGGAAGAATTGAAATGGGGATTGACGTAATTTTTTCAGAATTCGAGTACGTAAATCCGAAGTCCGAGGCTGTACAGCAACTCACCCGGTTGGCCCCTATTCGGAAGAACTTGCTGGATTTTTAAAAAGACTGAACACTTTTGCCAAACATGCAATGGGTGTTTTCTGGCTTGATCCGAAAGGTGGCCTCTTGCTTTGGTAGTGCATCGTCTGAGGTGGTCTGGTGAGATTTGTAAAGCGAGGAGTTCTGGACGGATCGCCAGACAGGATATAGAAAACGAAATTAGTGTGATTTTTTGTTGGCCGTTTTCTGGATAGGGGCATTCCACGTTTCAGCCTCGGATAGGGAGTTTTGGAATTACGGTTTTGGAATTTACGGTTTCGGTGCCACAATGGCCACAAAGGTGGTGAAAGCGCTTTGGCTGCAAACGCAGACTCCAGACGCAAGCCCACATGAAAAGGTGCCGGCAATTGAAGAGTACCTCAAAAATGCACGATTCCTAAATCTGACTTTTTTCAAAATCGATCTTTTATCTGCCTCAACCTTGGCTTCTGGAGGCTCCGGTGAGGCTGATGGACCGAGGTGAAGGAACATCGTGGATCACAATAGCCAGATGCTGATTTATCCGAACGTTCTGGCCCCCTCTTTGCTACACGTCTGCTCATTGTTCTCAGATCGTCTAATCTCAATGGGTCCAGGGGAAACCGTGAGTGTCTCAGATGGCTGGTATAGCACCATAGCGCAAAATGCCCTTGAGCGTCAATGCTGATGTGTGCAGCGGTTTCCAGAAATTTCACCCCATTGTGACTCCTCGTCAACTTTTGTATCGCTAAATGGTGCCCCTTTTCCCTTTCGTCGCTTATCCGGGACTCGTGGGCTTTGTGCTTCTTTTGATAATGGCTGCGAAACGCAAAACCAAAGCCGTTTGCGCTAAGCTACAGTGGCCTCGCAAAACAGCAAACGGTTTTTCCGAAACAATCCTGTGGCGCTACTGTGGTCCACGTTGTTGGGATAGGCGAAGTTGGCGGTACAATAAGACTCAGGCCACAAAACGGCTTTTTCAGGGCACCGACACATGACTGTGGGAAGCGAGAAGCGATTGGCTGGTTTCGTGGTCACGACGGTGATTTTCAAGCCACCATGTGTAGGCAAATTGGTGGCACCAAGTAGAGGTTTTGACTGGGTGCACTAGGGTAGGGTATGGACGTAGGGTGCCTTCTCAATGGACCTTCTTCTCCTTTCTTCTGTTTCTTGGTAAGAATTATAGGGGAATTACATATTATTGGTATCTGCGGAGATCCGGCTTGTTGCCGAATTCGGAGGTGACTGGTTTGTTGATAACGGTCTCGCAGTGAGGTTTCAAGGTGGGTGCTTAGAATCACAAATCCAGATGCAATGCTGGCTGGACGACGTAATTTGATTTTGTGTTTGAAATGGAGTCCTACGAGGTGTCTCAAAAACAGGCAGTTTCCGTTTGTCGGCAAAGCGGGTAAATGCTTTGAGGTTTGTTGAGAAATAGTGTATTGAAATCCATTGCCATAGACCCACCCCAACAAAAGCTGGCTGAACGAAAGACAGTCAGAGAGCTTCCCTGGAGGCAATGGAACAGGATTGAATTGATTGTATGAGAAATGGAACAGAAGACTGAATTGATTGTATGAGAAATTGAAATCAATCGAGCGAACCTACTATTATGCTAGAGCTTGAGGGAAGCCACCATCAGTGAGACCCGTCTAATTGGTTTGACTGCCGAATTCCCAATCCAAAGGAAATAAGTTTGGTCAGTGGCTAGAGACTTTGATTTGACCACGATAGCTGTTCTATTCAGTTCGGTTAGAAGTACGTTAACCAGTGCATTGCGAGCAGTTTTTGAAAGACATCCATACGACAACCCCGACTAAAACGAAAAAGGAGAGTTGATTCGACGAGGAAGACCTAAAGGAAGCCTCATTATCAATAAATAGTCTTCTGAAAGGAATACCCTGATTATTCGCAGCCTCTCACATCTTGAAAGGAGGATACCCAACTTCCCTCGACATCTTGAAATATGAAAACCTGCTTACTTAGCAGAACTTCAGCTTTTTCAAAACCTCTTTTCCTATCCTTTTTTTTCCTTTTTTCTTCCATCGACATTATACCACCCTCCAGACTGGCTCCAACCAATAACCCAAGCGCGTGCAGTACAAATCACCAACTACTTTCTTATGTCGAAATCCAAGTACTCTGCTGACAGCATCTGGAAGAACACCCCCGAGAAGATCGTATGTACCAAGCAAGCTTGACTCAACAATTCAACTAACAACAGAACACAGAGCTTTTCACGCTCACCTACGGATCAGTGGTGGCTCAGCTTTGTAGAGACTTGAACAGCAACTATGCTGAAGTCAACCGCCAACTTGATAGAATGGGATACAACATTGGGCTTCGTCTTATTGAGGAGTTTTTGGCGAAGACTGGCGCCCAGCGGTGCCTGCTGTTCAAGGAGACAGCCGAAATGATCAGCAAAGTTGGTTTCAAGATGTTCCTCAACATCACGCCTTCTGTGGAGAATTTCGGTGCCGACGGCAAGAGTTTTTCATTGGTTTTCACGGAGAACCCGCTTGCCGATTTCGTCGAGCTTCCTGTCACGCTGGACCCCAAGATTCAAAAAGAGCTTTGGTACTCTCAGTTGTACTGTGGAGTGTTAAGGGGCGCTTTGCAGATGGTGCAGCTTGACACGGATGTGTTTTTCGTGAGAGACTCTTTGAGAGGAGACGACAAGACCGAGTTGAAGGTGAAGTTGAACAAGATCCTCAAGGATGAGGTGCCCGCTGGAGAGGATTAAGGCCGAGGAGATTTCTGAAGTTTTGATTGGACAATTGGGCATAGAACGGGCAATGGGAAGGTTCAGACTCGAGTCATCCTATCGTGTCAACTACTGCAGCTTGGGCCATAGATCTGCTGCAACTGGCCCGAACATTCAGCCTTCTTGGTTTCGGCATCCCACCATATTTTGAGTCAATTGCCACAATCACAAATCTACGAGGTTACGACAGCTCACGGCCAAAAAAATACGTGCCTGTTGAACTAGAAACCTTGAAGAGCTCGGTGGCATGATGCCGATATTTTCAAGCTGCTAGTCTTGGCGAATGGCCAATTGCGGCACATTCGCCGTTCGGCCAATCACCTCAACATATACGCCGAAGAGAAGATCAAAGAATGTTCAAGAACCACCTGAATCCCCCCACATCCATATTTAAGACATCCTACCCCGGTGAGCACCTACAAAGCCCTGCAGACATCGCACTAAGTACACAAACCAGGACTTTCCAGAAACACAGAACAGGCACCCAGTAAGAATATCCAAGATATATTTTCAAATTTACGAAATTTCAGAAAGATTTGCAGCTTCCCCAGAAGATCTTCCGCAAACAGCAACTCCGTCTCGTTACACGTGACCATCGGCAGGAATTATACCCCCTCGATCTCAAGCAAGAATCCTCCAACAACCACTGAAATTACCAGCAATGGGTAATCTGGAATTGGCAATCAATCCAATTGATGGGCTTTTCAATGACCCCGAGGCCGCCCAGCACCGTAAGAAGAGGAGCCCTCTTGAGCTCCTCAGAACCATCTTGTTGATGCTCTCGTACGACCTAGTGATATGGTTCTTCAACATGGTGATCCACACATTTTTCAGGGATATCCGTCTGCGTGGTACCTTTAACATCCCTAAGAAGGGTGCCATCATTTTCGTCATTGCTCCTCACCACAATCAGTTTGTGGATCCATTGGTGGTGATGTCTACAACCAGAGCTACCTCCGGCCGGAGAATTTCGCTACTCACAGCTGCCAAATCATACAGAAGAGGCTTCATTGGTACAGCTGCCCGTTTGTGTAGCGCCATTCCTGTGGAGAGGGCTCAGGACTTGGTCAAACTAGCTCTGGGGACGATTAAAGTGGAGAAGTTTGATCCTGACGGAGATAACGTCGACGTCATTGGTGAGGGTACCAAATTCACGGAGGAGGCCGAACCAAAGGGCCTTTTGGGTCTTCCCAACAGTTTGGGTAACGCTCAGATTGACCAGGTGGTCTCTGACACAAGAATTGTGTTGAAGAAGCCTTTCAAGGTGAACTTCGCGAAGCCCACCGAGCGTGACAAGCGTATCATAGATTTACTCACGAACGGAACGAACTACAAGACCGCTCCTCATGTTGACAATCACCAAGTGTTTGATAATGTCTTCAACCATCTCAACAAGGGCAGGGTCATGGGTATATTCCCAGAAGGAGGGCTGCATGACAGACCGGGCTTGCTCCCTTTGAAGCCCGGTGTGGGTATTATGGCATTGGGAGCTGTATCTAAGTCTGATGACCCCGACGCCGTTGTCAACATCATTCCTGTGGGTCTCAACTACTTCCATCCACATCGCTTCCGGTCAAGAGTTGTGGTGGAGTACGGTAAGCCCATCCGTGTGACCAAAAAGGATAGCATCAAGTATGAGCAGAACTCCAGGGAAGTCGTCAACAAGTTGATTGAGTTGGTCACATTGAGACTAAAGGAAGTGACGGTCACTTGCGATGATTTCGACACACTCATGGTGATCCAGGCAGCAAGAAGATTGTACACGGCTGCCAACCGAGAACACATTCCGTTGCCATTGGTAGTGGAGATGAACAGGCGACTCATGAAAGGCTATCAGAAGTATAAGCATAGGCCTGACGTTGCTCAACTCAGAGATAATGTCTACCACTATAACAAGATGCTCATGGCCATGTCGCTACACGACCATCAGGTTGAGGATCTCACAAGCTCCAATAGATGGGTCGTATTCTACCGTTTTGCGGTACGTGCATTCCGGGTGTTCTTCTTCTTGCTCCTTTCGTTACCAGGCGTGTTTATGTTTGCGCCAGTGTTCATAGTATCACGCCGTATTTCCAAGGAAAAGGCAAAGGAGGCATTGGCTGGATCGGTGGTGAAGATCAAGGCAAATGACGTGATAAGCACTTGGAAGATCTTGGTGGCACTTGGTCTTGCACCGGCTCTTTACATCTTCTGGGCTACCATTGCATGTTGGCTTTTAAGGTCTGCAAGTGAATTTGTCAGAAACGAGATACCCCTCATAATTCTTTTCATCGCCATGTATTTGTGGATGGTGCTCACAACCTATGCATCGTTGAGAACGGGCGAGAGCTGTGTGGATACATACAAATCGTTAAAGCCACTCTTGATCTCGATGTTATCGCACAGTCTGGATATGGTTCAGATTGAAGAACTCAAGAATACGCGGAGAAAGCTAGCGCATGAAGTGATGGAGTTCTGTGAAAAGTACGGGCCCCTGATCTTTGACGATTACGACAAGTTCTATCGCGAATACAACCGGATCGACGAGAGCACGAGCGATCTTGGAGAGGTGCTTGAAAACGACAATGTGGAGGCAGCACCGGACCTGGGCCTGGTGTATTCCAGAAGCGAATCCTACTGGCTCGACAACTTGAGCAACATTCCGATTTTCTCTTCTGTTGACGAGAAGGACACTACGACCCTGGAGGACGACACTGATGTCAGTGATATCACGCAGGAAGCACAGGAGAAGGACGGGGACGTAGAGGAAACGGAACGTGAAGTTGAGGACGACGAGGACGAGAGGAGAGAGAATGCCCGGTTGAGGCTTCGTACGGCCATGAAGAAGAAGGCCAACCGGTGGTGAAGAAGACGAAAGGTTTCTCGCGTGGAGTTGCTGGTTGCACGGTGATTTGCAACCGTGACGTCTGGTATGCTAAGCCCACCGCTAATGTGGACGAAATAAACGGAAATCGCTGTGATCAGAGATGAATCTGCTGGTTATGATAACGCGGTGAAGAAGCTGGGCATTGAGCGGCCAGACCGTTGTTGATCTTGCACCACCTTGCAGTGAGGTGCTTTTGGTGCAAAGCTGGGGAGTGCGGAGGAGAGATCCACCAGCCAGGGGAGCTTTGGATCTATTATAGTGCATTGAATATCTACGAGATTTACAAAGGATGGCGATATCTGGGGTTTGCTGGCTCGCTCAAGAGGCGATGCGCTGTTAAGGGCTGTGTTAGCAGCTGTTGCATGGGGCACAGTTGCAACAAATACTGGGAAAACAACATACGAAAAAAGGTGGCTCGGGCAAAGGCGAATCACGCTAAGAAGGGAAAAAATGGCCTGAACGGGGCACGAAAAATAACCTAAGCCGACGTTTTAGCCTTTTCCAGACGAGCAGAAAAAAACAAACGTGGGCAGAGGCATGTGGTGTCCGATCGTAACTTTGCCCCCTTGCCTCACCTGTGTTTCCCATTGGGGTAAAAATGTTGCCTAGCCCTGGCAGCGCGGCCGAAAAGGTTCAGCTCCAGGTGCGTTGCAGCCATGAGATAAATGGCGCCAATGTAGACCAAAAAACTCGTAACCACTTTTTTTTTTCACGATTCAGCTCTGCCATGAAGCTTTACTTGTTTTTGTTGGCGTTGGCTGCCGCCACGCCTATTCCAGCAGATACAAAGTTGAGAGTGACCACGTGCTCCATGTCGTCCACAAGAACGGATGATGTTGTGGAAGAAGAGCCCTGGGTCCCCAAGATTCTCCAGGCTATTGACATTGATTTCAAGAAATGAGGAAGAATGAGAGACGAAGATGTTGAAGTTGTTCCGGCTCCATAGGGTGATGCCGGAACTGAACGGTGAAGAACGGAACGAACACTGGATTGTGCCAAGGGCACGAGAGAAGCAATTTCGTGATTTCCTAGGAAGCAGCAAAAGAGGTGGATTTCAAGAAATGAAGCATTCACCGGTATATGGTAGTCTGCTGATGTTGTGGATGTTGATCATCATACGACGCTACCTCACGAAGCCGAACACGGCAAGTCACTCGTGAAACAAAAAAACATGAACTTTTGAAAAGACTTCCCAGTTCGGTTATTGCCTCTTACTGAATAGGCAAGCCTGGGAGTCTGAGACTTCGGTGGACCTCGGTTGATAAACAAGACGTAAGCCTCGGCAATCACATACCCCAAACCAAGCTCCCCAACGAAGTTTGTTTGTTGATGCCAGACGTGTTGAAAAGGCTATTTCACCAATCAAACTACCCTTTTTGGATCCGTGTTTATGGCTTTGACTTCGATCTAAGCCTAGCACGCCTGGACAACCAGGGCGCAGTATTTCTGCTCTGGCAAAGTTTATTTCTACAATACGGCGGCCGGCCGCCAATAACGAATAATGAATAGATGGAATGAGAAATTTGGAATTATACGAAAGTGAAATATCGGCACTCTGCCCGCTAAAGCCGACGGGGAACCTGTAGCTGTATTCCGGTGGACCGAGAAAACAGAACTTTTTATTATTTTCAGAAATCGACCCAAAGCTGGTTTTATGAAACTTGGGAATATTCGTGAAAAATGTGGTTTCAGGTTCCCGTCGCTTGTTTCTTTTTGCAAGGCGACCCTAGTTTAAGTGCAATAGCGGAAACTAGACCGCCGATCACATGGCTCGTATCTGGAAGGTTCCCGTGTATTCTACATTCCACGCATAGCAGGGTTGAAAATCCTGAGAATTTTTTAAACTTTCAAGGTCCGAAAATATCTAAGTATCGGCCCGCCTGAGAATGTCTACTACGTCATTTGCACATACGGTAATTTCCCCGGTGGTGTCCTTTGAAACCTGACAATTTCAGAGCTTTAAAATAACAAGCGGTCTGGGCTCAACCAAATTCACCAAAATACTTCCACCTGCCTCTCGTACATGGCTTCTCCTTCCTCTTTTTCTACAAAGTGTGATGCAACAAGGCGCTCGGTATGCTCGTGACCGCTGACTCAGCCATCACAAGACAAGACCCACAAAATCAGACTCTGACGATCCACCATAAAAGAAACGCCAAACCGTGAAACTCCACCTTTTTTCTTTTTCTTCGTTTTCCCACATTATCCACACTTTCATACTCCACATCGACCCAGCAAGTTAAGCCGCACTGCATACAACACCGCCTGTTATCGCTGATCCGCTATCGCCCGAGCCACAACCTATTGCCACTACATCTTTTTCCTGAATCGCTTCACCAAAACACATAAAAACGACCAACAACCCGCTTTTTTACACTTTCCAAACCACCGCCTTCCAATACCAGCAAATACCCAGCCATGAAAATCACATTCAGATTATCTACCGAGGTGTCCTACTCGGTCACAGTCCCAGACAACTCCACGGTTGAGGATCTTGCCAACGCCGCCAAGGTCGGATGCCCGCCAGACACTTGCTTGCCTTCCGACTTCAAGCTCATTTACAACGGTGCTCGTTTGGCTCCTTACTACAAGACGCTAGACACTTTTGAAATGGTGCCTTCCAACCCCCACAATACTGTCATTCTCATGAACGCCGCCGAGGCGCCCGAGGTGCTGGCTCCGGCCAAGGCGCCCGTGACAGCCACAAAGAAGAAATCCAAGAAGAACCGCTGCTGCTTCAGTCTGTGCTCATCGGCTGCTCTCAGAATGGTGGGCGACTGTGGCCACTGCAACGGCAAGTTCTGCGCCAAGCACAGGCTTTTGGAGGACCACGCTTGCACGGGGTTGCAATACTGCAAGGACGATGCTCACGAAAGAAACGCCATGAAGCTCCAAAGCGAGAGCACCATTGCATCTAGAGTGTGAGTCACCCTGCCAATGATAGAGCCTGCCTGCTTCATACCTTTGTACGATGAACACGTTAACGATAGATGAATGTAGAACAGTGTAGAGAAGAGGAATTTTTCACTTAATCTTGAGTTGAAGCCGTTCAAGCAGTTCTTAGATTTACACGGGTATCCGTATACTGCTTGAGTCGTGACTGAAAACCGAAAGATAGTTTAGTGATCTTCAAGTCTACCTGAATCTCAGAATTTCATTACAGCCTATTCTGTCCTACTAGAGCAACTATGCCTTCCAGATAATGAAGTCCATCAATATATACTGCTACCATGAAGACATTTTTGCCTGGCCCAACCAGTTTCATAATCTAGACGCTTCTACAACCACTCTAACAGTGAGCCGATCGTTACTATACAGAAGTCATTAGTCCCTGGGAATGCTATCAATTATTCAACAAGTTATGCAAAATGTCATCAAATTTACCGTTCGTAGCGTTGTTGGCCTTCACCAAGATGTCCTCAGCGTCCTTGTAGGCCTTTTCCTGGTCTGGACTGTCAAGATCGTGGACATTTCCTAGCAGAATCATGGCCTCGGCCACATTCACCCAGGTTTCGGGCTCGTCCTCGTCTTGCGAATCCTTCAAGTACTTGAGTGCCGTCAGGTACAATTTTTGACTGGCTTTCTGAGCCTCGTCCTTCGAAAGACCGTCAATGTCCTTCTTGTCCTTGGCATAGTAGGTCAAAGTAGTGTACACGTTGGAGGGTGTTTCGGCCTCCATAAGGTAGGACTGGCCCAAACGCTTGCACAATTCCCTGCGCAAGGTGGTCAACGGGTGGTCCTTGTCTTTCTTTCTTTCACCGGCTAGGCGTTTGTCCAAGTTGCCCAAAAAGACGATCAGGTGATCTCTCCACCATTTGTTGTACTTGTCTGTGTTCTTGATGGAGAAAAGCGGGTGATTCTCGTCCAACCTGTGCTCCGGAGCGTCGTCTTCAGCGTCAGAATCCTCACCTTCCATGTGCTCCTGGCCAAAGTTGTCCACCACATCAAGGAGGTCGTCCAAAGCCTGTAGGAAATCCAAGCTCTCAATGTTGTAGTAGTCGTACTGGTTAAGTTCGCCGGAAATGGCCTCGGCCTTCTCCCACTGGGCAAGACACTCGTCCAAAAGCTGAGCACCTGTCTGAGATTTTGCACCCACTCTGCTCTCGGTGTCCAAACGAGAAATCACCGTCAAGGCGATCTTGTTGATCATGATCCGTGCCTTGGCAAAAAGAATGTCTACAGAGTTTGGGAAGAGCTCCTCGCCCCGGGCTATACGATCCATGGCTTCCGTGAAGTAGGCCTCCACCTTGTCTCTTTCCTCCGTGTGGAAGAAGGCCAAGTTGGAAAGCGCCAACGCGTAGATGGCGTAGAAACGGCCCGTGATGTCCACGTTCTCCTCGTCGCTGTCCGACTTGTCCAGATGGGCTTTTCTCAAGATTCGGTCGCATTCGTGGATGATGCCGTTGAGAACAAGCTCTTTCTTGTCTTCCAGAACAAAATACGTTCTCCACAAAGCGGCCAACTGGCCCACGGCGTCGTTAGCGTCGATTTCAGCCCCCAACTCCACGGTGAGCTCGTTGGCTTCTTCAGAATTCGATCCATTCGTTTCACTAGCCACAGGAGCATCAGAGACGCCGTTTTGAGCTCCATCTTCGCCTGCGGCTTCGTTTTTTTGCTTTTTCGCCCGGGCAGCCTTGCCCAAGCCCAACGGTCTCTTTGGAGGCATGGATTTGCAAAATTCAGTATGTAGCTCTTAAGAAGAAGAGCTTGTTGCAAAGAGAGAAGCGAAAAAATGCACGCCTCATTCGCCTCATGTGGATATACTGAAAGATGCACCGCTGCAGTGGGTCTGTCCACGACATCGCGACACTCCATCGCGCGACATTTTGTTCGACCCTTACCCACATATTCCATGGAACCTAGCCTGTTGAAACTTACCCGATGTGCTTGCAACGGCCCTACTTCCCGCTCGATCGTCACGGCTACATGTATTGGTGCACGGGCGTACCAAACCCCCTTGGCTTTCCGGTGAATTCAATCAAAAGTCTCTGTTTGGTCCCATTTGCAGCCATCCTTCTTCTTCATCAAAATATCGAAAAACACCATGATTTGTATTCAGAGGCTCACCAGCCTCATCACAGCCCTAGCTTCAAGGTACCCATCGGCGCGTGACCCAGGAAAGACGCCCTGAGCTGGTGAAAAATCAACATCTACCAAAAGAATCCCCCACGCCCATTGGACCGAGCCCACACCGACGTCATGTCCATACTGATGGCCACTTTCTGTCCCGCCCGCCGAGCCCCAGGCGGGTATTTTGCTATGGACCACTTGTCGGCGTTTGGAAGCCCTTAATTTAGACGCCTTTGTGATCGATCACGATGGTGGAAAAAACACCTCTTTTAGGTTCGCCAGTTGCCCAAAAAGCTAAACTGAAAGGCGTGTCAGGCCGCCAGCAGAAGCCGCTTATAATTGTCAGCTTTTGTCATTGGTTGCTCTGTCGACTGGACCAGACCGAGTGAAAAAGCTTTCTCTGTGGCAGGCCCATGCATTGCTTTCCATGCGCGGCGGGCAATGTTGCTTTCTTCTTTTCTTTTTTTTTTTTTTTTTTTTTTTTCCGGGATTTTTTGCCAGCATGAAGGCTTTAGCGTAGTAGCAGGAAGGGTAAAGATTTTGCAACCACTGAGTTCTTATGATCTACATGCCCCGCCCCCACGCTGGATTTTGCCCCGCGTTGTAATTGTTATATTGCATTGCGGGCCGCACGCGGAAGGGGAAACTTGGTCCGAGAAACGGAAATCACGTGGCAAAAAGGCACGTGGCGCGAAAGCACGTGACAACGGTCCCGTGACTGGCGTCATCCGCTTGCAATCACGTGCTGATTACATCTCCTCACGTGCAATACTCACGTGCAAGTAGCTAATCAGGACGGCTGCAAAGTACATAATCAAGCAGGATCCATCAATAAACCCCAAACCTCCTATGACCCTTCTAGCGTCACTCAACTGTGCTGGTGAGCTGCACGTGATCGTTGGTGGAAAGGCTCCTGTTGCTGCCATCAGAGCCAAAGCCATTTTGGCTGCTGGAGCATCCCCCATACTTATTGAAGTTTCCGATGACCTTCCCAAAACCTTAGAGGGACTCGTCGAAGAAGGCAAAGTGAAACATGTGAAGGAGGAGTACTCAAAGACCCTTCTTCAACAGCTCGGACGCCCGGATGTCGACAATGTCGTGGACAGGGTCTTTGTCACCTTATCTCACACCGAGCTGCTTCTCAAGAAACAGATATCTGACGACTGCAAGAGGCTACGGATTCCTGTGAATATCACCGATTCGGCCGAACTCAGCACCTTCACTTTGCTCTCCACACACACCGCTGGCGACTTCCAGTTTGGCGTGACAACGTCAGGTAAAGGATGCAAATTGGCATCCAGAATCAAAAGAGAGCTTGTTTCCTCTTTGCCACCCAACATTGCTGCAATTTGCGATAGAGTCGGTGAGCTTCGAAAGCAGATTCAGGAGGACGATCTCGAGGAAGTTGGTGGCCACGATGATGATGCCATAACCACCAGTAAGCTTAATTCGTTGGTTAAGGAGTTCAGCATGACCAGACTGCAGCAGGCCACGCAGCGGTCCCGCTGGCTTTCTCAGATTGTGGAGTACTACCCACTTTCGAAATTAGCTGAGATCTCATTGGAGGACTTGAAGGAGCAGTACAGACAAGACAAGGAGGAAAGCCTCCAGAGAAAGAGACAGAAGCTCCAGAAGAAAGGAGAACTTTCTCTCGTGGGATCCGGTCCCGGCTCCGTTTCCATGCTTACGCTTGGGGCACTTCAGGAAATCCACTCTGCTGACCTCATTTTAGCCGACAAGCTAGTTCCTCAACAGGTGCTCGATCTCATCCCTAAAAAGAGCACCAGACTATTTATTGCCAGAAAGTTCCCCGGCAACGCTGAGCGTGCCCAGCAGGAGCTTTTGGAGATCGGGCTTGATGCCCTTCAAAAAGGTGAGAAAGTGGTGAGGTTGAAACAGGGCGATCCGTACATATTTGGCCGTGGAGGTGAAGAGTTCAATTTCTTTACCGAGCACGGCTTCCCGCCCGTGGTTCTTCCCGGCATCACTTCTGCTTTGGCAGCACCCGTATACCTGAATATTCCAGCTACTCACCGTGAGGTTGCTGATCAGGTACTTATATGCACCGGAACCGGACGCCGTGGTGCTCTTCCGAACCTTCCCGAATTCGTGGAGTCCCGTACGACCGTGTTCCTCATGGCTCTTCACAGAATTGTTCTGTTGATCCCCCACTTGATCGAGGAGAAAGGCTGGAGAGCAGATCTTCCCGTGGCTATCGTGGAGCGGGCCTCCTGTCCAGACCAGCGGGTTATCCGAACGACATTGGAGAAGGCGGCAGCAGCTACTGAGGCTTTGGGTTCGAGACCACCGGGATTATTTATTGCAGGTAATGCCTGCCATGTTTTGACAAAGAAGGGTGACGAGGACTGGACCGTTGAGGAAGGTACACTCGAGCCCAAATTGAGCGGATTTTTGCAGCAGTTGAGCCATCCAGTGGAGGGCGAGAGAATTGCTGCTGAGCCGCTCACGCCCGACTTGAAGGTTCCAGTTGTGGCGAAGTAATTAGCGATTAATGCATAGACAGTGGAGCCGTTTTTGTAGTTGGTGGTGACGGCCTTACAGCAGTAGCAAGGACCTCAGATTCCAACAAATGAAGCGAAGTTTGTGGGGTGGATTTTGAAAATGTTGATATAAATTGCAATGCACAAGTTACATGGGCTATAGCCATGTTGGAAACACGCTAGGAACTATTGATACACCTTAACATCAAGCGTGTCAGGTATCAAACATAGATGAGAAGTTCTCCGCTAAAGCTAGTTTCCTGATTTGAAGAAGGACAGGTGATACCCTGTAACAGGAAATTCACGATCTCTCAGATAAGAGAACCGCTTTAGGTAATGAAAAGATCACAACAGACTCTATCTAAGTCAGTACTTGAGTGTTCTTAGTCCTCTTAGTTAAGAAATCAAGGAAGTCATATCTAAGTGTTATTCGTAATTTACCATGGATGCACCCGAGCATCCTGACAAGCCATACGAGTAACATGACATAATTTTCAAGCCGAAATATCACATAGCTTCAACTAAAGCATTTCTTTTACGTAAAAACGAACGATTATTCAACGAAGAACATTAGAGCTCGAAGGTCTGCTACCAGCAATTATGATGCACTATACTACCGTCTCGGATTTTGCAGCCATTGTAAGGACCATCTAAGCACATGTCCACGGACTCTAAAAGAAAGCTCTATTTTGGGTTACTCCTCTAATTTAATAACCCCCTATTCCAAACAAAACTACAAATCGACTTATTGTCCCCCTTTGTGCTCTGAATACTACCTCCTCCTACCTATCCTATTGCGCGCGATATCAACACTTCAGAACACCTTATCTCAAATAGACTATCCCGACCATTACGCTCCACAATGCTTTTGGCACCCACATTAAAGCAATTGTCTAAACGTGCATTCATCCCTAGAACCTTATCACTGTACCGTTCTCGCTCAGATGTGGCGTTTGTGTTCGATATAGATGGAGTGCTTATGAGAGGATCAAAGCCGATTCCACAGGCTCACGCATCGCTCGATCTTCTTGACAAAAACAAAATCCCATTCATTCTTTTGACCAACGGCGGTGGTGTTTCTGAAAAATCTAGAGTTGACTTTCTCTCCGAACAACTCCAGATCGACTTATCGCCTCTCCAGATTGTCCAAAGCCATACACCAATGAGAGTGTGGGCTCAAGAGGGAAAATATAATAGAGTGCTTGTTGTTGGCGGAAATGACGATAAAGCTCGGTACGTGGCCGAGGACTACGGTTACAAGGACGTGGTGGTGCCTATGGATATCGTGAAACTGAACCCTTCTGTTTCTCCACACCACAGGTATCTGGAGAAGCAATTGGCCACCATGGCCCGCAATGTGGACTTGAGTATTCCATTTGATGCTGTTTTGGTCTTCAACGATCCCAGGGACATGGGCACGGACTTGCAGATCGTGATGGATCTTACCAACTCGAAAAACGGTATTGTCGGGACCAAGAGAGGCCTCGACGAGCGTTCACCAAAACCATCTGTGCCAATTGCGTTCAGCAACAACGATTTTGTATGGGCCAACGACTACGTGTTGCCTCGTTTCGGTCAGGGAGCTTTTCGAATGGTGGTGGAACGTCTTTATGCCGAAATGAATGATTTGAGGCCAGGACAGAACCTCGAGCTGACCATCTTGGGCAAACCTTTCCCTGTTCAGCACGATTATGCCCATTGGGTGCTCATTGAGTGGCACAAAATCATTCATGGACACAAAGACCACGGGTTTATTCCTAAATTGCACGTCAGGCCCGAGAATTCGCCATTTTCAGAAATCTACATGGTGGGCGACAATCCAGAGTCTGATATTGCCGGAGCCAACGCTTGTGGATGGCGATCTGTTTTGTTACGGACGGGCGTTTTCAAAGACGATGACTGGGCGGTGATAAAGCACAAGCCTAATGTTGGGGTGTTTGACAATGTTCTAGAATCAGTCGAGCACGTACTCAACAAACAATGAGCCAATGACGGAAGTACGATTACTTACAGTCATAGGCCCGCTCTGTGAACTTGCAGCAACTCTTGCCGGAAGGCTTGTTTCATGAAACAAGAAGATCGCAAGTTGCGCGATCTAAAAGCTAATCCCGCTGATGACGGTAGAGTTATCCGCAAGACAATGCTGTTGATGCGCCCTACGACAATCATTATCCCCTCGTGTCTAAGATAACAATGGCAATTGTGTCCTCAGCGGAGAACGAGGACGGGATGAAATTGGGCGACTTTAAGAGACGCCCCTGCGATCCACAATGGCAGATTGACCGATGAGTGACTTGTGGAGAATAATGAACGATCTGGTGATCTCAATGAGCTTCAGATTAACGGCCGCCTTATGCATGTACGCCGCCTTACATCACGATATGCCTAAATTTGGATGTTGAGGGGCCTTTAGTTTTCACGAGCTAGATCTACGTTTCTAGAAACAATCCGGGGAGCCTCCACGCATGGGAGATCCCAGCGTTGGTCGAAAAAATATCAGCACGCGAGCGCATAATTGCGTTTCACATCACTCCACAATAGGGCGATCGGCGTTTATTGCAAGGCGGACTATGGGGTTGTAGCTTGACTTGTTTTCAAGAAGTAAAGAATGTTCCATGATCTCACACATCCAACAAAGAGATTGTTGAATTGCGATGAACGGAATCTCACCTTCAAAAAAACCGCCCGTTTTTATTTGGCAGAGTTTCACTTGGATAGTCTCTTGGCGAAGGCGAGCTTTTTTTAAGCGAGAGAGCGAGAGACATGCAAGGCCTCTACAGCGAGCTAAAAAATATTTTGACGAGTTTCCAGAAGACTGGGTTGCAGCTGGCCGATTGCCTGCAGGATGTGAATGAACCGAGAAGCCGCCCCTCCTTTGTCTCACTCGCAGGGCGACCGCACCTCCCATAACCGGACGTCAAACCGAAAAAAAAAAAAAAAAAATTAATCCTCTCGAGTCTGCATCACTGGTTAAGTACCCTGTCTTAAGTGTGAGCCACGAGGTGCTCCATGACATCTCCGAGGAACGGTTAGGATACTAACTCTGCTTTGTGATTGCAAAGTTATAATCCAATAGCTCGATCGACATACCAGCGGACTTCATCTCTCGAGGACAATGAGTGCCTTATTGTCGCGAGACAATGAACCTGTCGCTTTCCTGTTGTGGAAGAGGAACGGTGATTGTTGATGGTTGGAGTAGACGGAGCGGAGCAATAATTAGCAAGGTGGAGCTGGCTACCTGATTTTAAAAAAATACCTCCAATGTTCCTACATGATGAATGATCAAGCCGGAGAGCGCCCTGGTTAGCGATGCATGTGATAGAAACCTACCGATGGGAGTTACCGCATTGGTGCTGAGTCAAGCGAGTCATCCTGGCTGAATCATCATTGCGATTGGTTGTGGCGCCTCGAAATTGAGAAACAAAGTTGCGCAATTTCCAACGACCGAACGAACACAAAACAAAGAATCGGGCGCCAGATCGATTACCAAACTTGTTGGAATGGAGGGCGCTTTACCTATTATACCTAAGTTTGTTTGCCCATGGATCTGAGCCACCGTAACAGCGCAATAATGCCCGAGACGCGGGAGGCTTTTTTTTTTTTTTTTTTTTTTTTTTTTTTGGCCCACCAAAGCCACCTGCCCGTTTGATCTCTACTCAATCGGCGTCTTGCATGCTCATCCAGCCCTCTCACGAGCCTATTGCAGATCCCTGCATTACCGGATACATCATGCGGCGCTGTGCGTTAACCTTGCCGCCTGCCCCCCACATCAACACATTGCAATGTCCTTCTTCTATGAGAGCGTAAACTCCGTCGCTCCTCTCAAACACGTTTTCCTTGAAGGCTTTTAGATCTGCAGTGCCACAAAGTTCGCCCTTTGTGTATTTGAATGTCTGGCTATGCACCCGTGATAAAATTGCGCTTTGCTGCCACCGCCTTCCTGCAACGCGGCAAGCTTTATCGTAGGCTGCGCATTGGCTCGGTCTTATACCGGTGTTCCGTCCATACACTAGGTTATTCGATCGTCCTGAAGCTGGCGTCGTTATGCAGCCATGGTGCCTCAAAAATCAGCGCCTGGACGGTTATCTTGATGTTACATGTCCTATGTTGCAGAAGACCCGGAGATAGGTCAGGCGTAACCATTGCTATACCAAAGCTCTCAACCCGCTGACACCTACGGGGGCAAGTTGGTGGCAGGAGTTGTAGCACGTTTGTGGCGCCTGTATTCCAATATGCTAGTTTGGGCGTGGCCTCTCTTGTGCGTGAGTACCAGGACCCTTGGCTACAACGAGCATGTGTACCTAAAATTCCTTCTATAAATGCCCAAGGGCGAGGTCGCCAGACCTGAATTGAACGGTTTTGAATTAAGAATAGACGTCCGCTTGTCACCTGTACACGGGGTATTCGTGGTACACCGGCGAAGACGATGAGGAGCTTGTGGAAACAGGCGTGCTGGATGCTGGAGGAGACGCCTGTTGCTGCTGCTGTTTTTGTTGTTGTTGCTGCTGGTGCGGAAGAGGAGGAATTTCAATGACCTGCGCCTGCTTCAGTCTCTTTTTCGACTCGTCTAGCGCCTGTTTCTTCACCAGAATCCTTCTTCCGTTCTTCCCCTTGCACACCTTATTGTTGAGCACTTCCTCGGCGGCCCACGCTGCTCCTTTCCTTCTGACCAATTTGGCATGGAAAAGCCCACAGGCGTTGCATAGCGTCCGCAACCCGTTGGGGCCTCTTCTCCATTCTGGCGTTTCCGTAGTCTCGCATCTGTGGCACTTGTTCATGGGTTTGTTGATGATCTCCGGTACCCTATAGTCCGAAGCCGGTTTTGCCAGAGGCAGACTCACCATAGGAGGCAGCGGGTAGTACACTGGCACGTAGTGAGGCAGCAGGTACTGAAGATGAGGTGGCGCCTGGCCATAGGAGTAGTATGAGGAGGAAACTGGAGGAGGAGGCTGCATGAGGTCATAGCTGTGCTGCCTTTGGAAGTGGCGCTGAGGATTGGGA